ATAAACATAAATATTATAAAATCGGGTCCGAAACCAGTCAGATATTATATGACGGAGGACAGATGTCTGGGTTGTTTTTAAATAGAGTGACATCAGCAAAGCCGACGTCATTCTTTAGATTGTCATGGTTTTCACTTTTAAAAGCAAATAGTAGTAGTAGTAAATAACAACAACAATAGTAAATACCACTAAAGATGTCTACCAAGATGTTACACACAGTCGTACATAGATCCGCACAGTAGTCAATAAAGACAGTTAGATGTATTCCAAGGTCTCACAAACAGTTGTGCGTAGATCCGAACAGCCCGACGGATTGAGCGAGAATTACCTAGTACGTGCTGGTCTTCACACCGTCCCGCAGGGGACGCGTGGTGGCTGGTTCGGGGCTGTAGCCCCCTGCCAGCGATATCTACCACAACCCCTAAACAGGGGTAGGTCCTGGGCTGTCCTTATGGTAGGTTTTTTCGAGTTTGAGTGGCTTCGCTCTTCACGCCGCCTCGGCGGTCTAGCTCGAGCCAGGTGAGACCCCAGGCGAGCTCCGAGCGACCAGCGACAGAGGAGGCGGCTTGTCGCGAAGTCCCACATGGTGTTGTCCGGGATGTGTGGCGCCGTCCGCACCGCGATGCGGTCTGCGGGGCTGACCTAGTATGCGCAATGCAGCTCGTTTTTATAGGCGAAATAGTGGGGTGATTGTTATGAGTCACTTGTTTACGCCGCTCGGAACACGTGCAAGTGACGTTGTTGGTGTTGCTAGTGTTTAATACTGTTTTGCGCCGATATATACATACGTAACTAAAACCGTTTCTTCTTTATGAGTATCATAAAGGGTTACGGCGTACTTTTTATAAAATTATTAAACTTTTGTTGTTCGATTAAATTGTGCAACTAATATTTGAGAAACGCTTACTTATTAGTTAACTAAGGCATATTTCTAGTATAAATAGTCGCCTAAACGGTTTTTCAAATAAGATCAATCTTAATATTCAATATGACAGTAGTTTGGCAGTATATATTATTACTCGCAATTGGTGCGGCCTTAGTAACTGGTAAGTTCATTGCTATTGCTTCTTTACTTGTCTTTAGAAAATGTAGTAATGATATCTCAAATTGTAAAGATTTATTTTTATCTTTATTGTATACAGTTAACACATAAGTTACTTATAAATATATATACGTAACAATCGGCGGTCTTATCCCTCACGGCGATCTCTTACAGACAATCTTAATACGGATATAAGATATTTAAAAAGTTGGGTAGTTTACATACACTTAACGCATTATAACGTGAAAATTTAAAAATATCAACAAAAGCATTCATACACATTACACATAGATAAATACACATACATACATATGTACATACACACAACATATATATATACATACAGTCAAAAATATATACTATATATAATGAAAACAGTATTTAGAATTTTAAAATAAAAATCCTTCACTAGCTTTTTGAAAACCGTCGAGGTTTTAGCTTGTCGGATTGTCAAAGGCAAGTTGATTCAAAGTCTTACTGCTTGCACAGTAAAAGATTTGTCTGCAAACTGGGTGGAATGTTGTGGCATTTTTAGTTTTACATTCTCCGATGACCTGAGGTCCCAGTAATGTGTATTGTGTAAGAATTGAAAACGTTCTTTGAGGTAAGAGGGTGTGTGGGGATGAAACAGAACACTATGTAAGAGAGAAAGCATATAAAGATTTCGGATGATCTTGCCATCTCAAGCCAAGATCTTGAGCTCAAGATGGTGCTGACAAAAACGATTAATATCAGTATTAAATTTTAATAAAGGAAACTGGTTATTAATATACTTATGGTTTTCTTGCCTAGTTACTAAAAAAAATGTTTAGTGGAAAATTTAGTGCTTATTAGAGTACAGTCGTTTTTCGATAGTGGGTTTCAGATGTTGAATCTGGTGTAGGGTTCATTTGACTGTTGGCAACACTGCATAAGCCTCCTGGGGCGTCTTCTGGCTATGCATTAAGGGCGCTGTCCGTCACATTGCTAAAAATACTTTCTTTTTTATCAAATAAAGCATTGGTGAAATGAGTTCACATACCAGACAAGCTCATACCTTCAGCTCTATTTGACCCAAGTCCACCCGCATGGAATACTGTTCTCAAATCTATGCAGGGGCACCTCAGTAGCAGCTTCTCTCTCTGGACCGCATCCAAACGTCTCCGATTGGCTCGATCCCTTGGCGTTACGTAGAGATGTGGCTTCACTCTGCATTCTCTATTGCATATATCATTGAGAGTGCTCCGAGGAATTGTTCGGACTAATACCAGCCGTAAATTTCCGCCACGGCAAAAATTTTCATCCTCATCACCTGGATAGTTGGCGCTCCACTACTGTGCGCTTTTTGAGACACTTTTTGCCCCGCAGAACCAATCTGTGGCGCGGGTTATCGTCTGCGGTATTTCCGGACCGATCCGACCTTCAAACGTTCAAGAAAAGAGCGTACTCCTTCCTAGGGTGTCAACGCGTTTGTGACTCCTGAGTTGCAGACGTTCATGGGCGGCTCTGTCACTTTCCATCAGGTGACCCGTCTGCTCGTCTACCCCCCCTGACATAAAAAAGGTAGTTTGGACATTTACAGCTGCTACGAATTTCTCCTAAAAATTGCTGATTTTACAAAAAAAAAATTGAAGATTGGCTTCAAAAAGTTGTTGATTTGTTTTTGCCTATACTTTTCTAATATATGTGTTAGTTATGTGTGTGTTTTTAACTACTTTGTTCAAGTTTTACCAACTTTACCAAGTAAATAATTTACGGTAAAATATTTACGGTATTTATTACCTTGAAATGCATGATTGAATTAATCTGCGATCTTCAACAAGTTTATAGAAGTTTTTTAATAATTTTTTTAATACGTTGTTTTTTTTGTCTTAGAATGTGTGAAGTTCAGATGTGATTATTATTACACTGATGTAGGATGGTTCAAATACCATGAAATACCCACGACATGGTACGATGCTCGCTTACAATGTCAGCTCGAAGGTAAGATTGCCAAAAAACTGCCTAAACTAAGTCATTTTAGTAATAAAATATTGCTCAGTTTTAATCTTAAGTTTTATTTCTTCTATCAGTAATATTTGTAGGACGAGGTGATATGAGATATAACAATTAGGAGTGGTGGGAATCATAATCCACTATGATTTTCGTTTTTAAAGACACTTCCTCAGCTGTTCTAATTTCTTTAGTAGAGAAGAAAGTATATTAGAGCCATAATCTTAATTAAAGAATACTATTAACTACAGTATAAAGTAAAAGCACTATTGTAGGGTACTTTTGAAAAGGTTTTCTTTGCCATCTCCTTGACAATGTCATCATCAGCCTGAAGCAGTCCACATAGACCTCTCGCATTGCACGCCACTTAGATTGATTTTGGGCTTCTCGCATCCATCTGTAATACTCATCACTCATTTAACTGGAGAAGATAGTGCTTTTGCTGTACTAATTCTGGTCGTCAATTATAAAATAAATAATATTATTTCTTTCAAACTGCGAGTGTAAATCAGTAATCAAAAATTTAAGTTAAAACTCCTAATTGTAAAAAAAGCCGTTCAAACATAATTGACAATGAAGTCAGTTTAAAAATGGAATTTACAATATTTTGTAACGACCCCTTATGTTTGTCATGTCATGCGGAGGGATGAGGAAAATGTGGCGAAGAAAGTTTTAGGTATGGGAGTTGAAGGGTACAAGAGAAGAGGCAGACCGAAGAAAAGGTGGATGGACTGCGTGAGGGAGGACATGGCTAGGAAGGGAGTAAACAGTGAGATGATGCATGACAGAGTAGAATGGAAAAATCATACATACTGCGCCCACCCCAAATAAAATTGGGAAAAGGGTAAGCAGATGATGACCCCTTATGTTTGTATATTTTTCTTACCGATGTGTTTAGCTCTGACAGGGAAACTGAAAATAATGACACTTATTGAACTGCCACAGGTGCCATATTAGCTTCTCCTACCACACCCCAAATGAAATACTATATGTTGCAATCATCTTGCAAACCTCAAATCTTCACTGGAATCCACGCTATATTAGCCAAAGGACAATATCATTCCGTAGAAGGCAAGTAAAGTAAAATGATATCTTATCGAAAGTTACCATTTATTTCCAGCTCTATATAACCTTTTAGTGATAGCAGCTCTCCGCCGTACATTAGCAGTGTTCATCTGAGAGAGAGGCTCTGGTAAATAGGCTATAAATACATGTAATAGATGTTGTCATCATCATCATCATCAACAGCCTCTAACAGTCCACTGCTGGACATAAGCCTTTAGGAGGTTTTGGCCTGTTATACCATAGGGTTTGGGTCAAGTTTTCTTTCTCTTTGCAGTGCTATCGTTCTGCGTAGTTTTCTCCCTTAGTCGGCTCTTGCCGCACCCACGGGATGAATAGGGGTGACACTCTGTATTCTTAATCTGTCACCATACGGGTGTCAGGGTGGTAGATGTTGGCATGTTTCAAAGTATATTGACAAAGCCTTTGTCAGAAGCGGCGTTGTTAGTTCATAAATTATTTGAACTGAAGTCTACATTACTACACTACACTACACTATTATTGATAGAAGTATGATCTATAAACTTAAGTTAAATTTAGGGGTGAGTGCATTGTAAGTTTAAGGTACTATGGGGTGACATGGTCTTATGTGTGACTACAAGCCCCTAAATAAAAACAGATTTAAAAAATAGTAGTATTCATGGCTCCCATGGTTCGTTGGTTTTTAAAAAGGACGTAAATACGCTTTGTTTTATTAAAAAAAAAACAACTAGGTCAAGGGGGACTTAACAAACATTCATAAACCGGACACAAAAAACACCACGACTCAAAATACCATGGCATCGCATGTTTGTTGCGGACCCATATTCCACTGATTCAATTACTTTTTATAGTCACTACTTTATTATCATAATCGTATTAAAAATTGACAGTTTTGGAGTAAACTAGAGCATGGAGTTAAGTATAGATTATTGCCTGATTTCACATGCCTGCACTCTATTACTTTGTAGGTGTACCGCTTGAAAAAATACAACACGAATGGGCCCAAAATGAGCCTGATAATAAAAATAATGCAGAAAGCTGCCTCGCGTTGCACTCTGATGGAAGAATGTCAGATGAAAGATGTGATGAACCTCGCCCTTATATTTGCTACAGGCCGCACTCAGACGTCGAAGCCAACGTGTGTGGCACTCCAGATCCTGGTAATTATAGATATTCAAGTAGTTTTTTTTTAATCTATTGGAATCGAGATAGTTCTTTTAAAAAATATGAATGAATGCCTAGTTAACAATGTTTAGTTTTGGTAAGTTAGAAATGAGTCGCCACATAGAGAAACTATCTGGTAGGCTAAACTCAACAGCTTATGCTGTAAAAAATTCGGCATTTAACTGATGTCGATACATCTAGAATAGTTAATTTCAGCTAGTTCCATAGTATATTGACTTCTGGTATACTTATCTTAGGTAACATTTCACATTGTATTATATCATATTTGTCTTACAGAAACACAGCTAATGAGCCATTTATAAAGTAGGTCCTCGAGTTTCTCCCGAGATAATAAGTCTGACTGCATCTTCACAATACACATATAAAACTTTAATGTATGTCCAAAAAATATCTCTAAGTTTACAATAATGAGTAAAGTTCATTTTGTAAAAACTAGAAACAAAAATAATCTAAGTGCTCATGTCACTCATCTCCACAGAGTAGACAACTCGTTCACGGGACATGCATACGTTTTTACAATAGACTTCAAATTGATATTAGGAGTTTACCGTTGTTAAGTTATCTACAAAGCGTAATATAAAACCGCCTGTGATTTAGCTGCTCATTTTGTATATCACATCACATCAACAGGCTTTAATAGTCTACTACTGGACATAGGCCTCTCCTTAGAATGGCGGTTTTGGCCCACTATGCCACGCTGGCCAGACGGTTTTCCTTCTCTTCGTAGTGCTGTTGTCCTGCGTAGTTTCCTGCCTTAATCGGCTCGTACGACACCCACGGGATGAATAGGGGTAGTGACATTCTGTATTCTTAGTCCATCACCACACGGGCATCATTCTGTACATGTTGTGCTTTATTTTGACGTGACAACGTCTTATAAATTGGTTTGCCGGGTGACACTTCAAGAAACTGCGTTACGCTCCGCTCACGTTATGCGCTCACAATGAGAGCGAGTGAGAGGCACGCGTCCCTTCCACTCGGGCATGGTTAGCCCGCCTAAGAGCGAGAGAGACAGACATAAAAAGTGAAAGGCACGCGTCCCTTTTTTAAATATAATTCTTTGTATAAATAAATGTTTTAAATTGTTACTATTATTTCATCCTTCTTCCTACTATACGAATGAATATTCACATTAAAATTATTTTACCACTCAAAGTCGTTGTCACGTAAAACTTTCGCCCGTATACCGACTTTACAGGCAACCAATTTTTTTTAATGTTTACTTTTGTCTTTTATTTTTGATTTTGGCGGACCGATAATTTATTATTAAAATTTGTTACAAATTTGTCATTATTTCCATTTATGGATATTTATTTTTTACCGAATTATAATAAGTATGATAAAGAGAAATTTATGTAATTTCACCTAAAGAAGCTTGTCTGGACTTGAAAATAGAGGATAATCCCTGAGTTTGTTTCGTCCTTTCTTCTTAGGTATAGTCCAGTTTAGAAAGGCTGAACTCATCTGCGCTAAAAAGTTTGACTTGTAAAAGTGTTCATGTAAGTAACCTATATGCGGAATAAATGATTTCATTTCATTTCGTCCCGTTTCGTTTCGGTTCATTTCATTTTAGGGTAAGGTCGAAACAATTTTCCAAGGATGATTACTTAATAAGTGAAAATATGCTAACAATAGTTTTTATTAGTTCTAGTATTTTTTACCCTTTTGCTATCCATGTGGTAATAAAAATAAAAAGTTACTATGTTTGATCTTTCAGAATACCACTTTGAAAGTAGAACCAATAAGTGTTACAAATTCCACACAAGTTCAAGAACATTTAAAAGAGCTAACTTTGCCTGTCAGGCTGAAGGTGGTTATCTTGTAATCATAAATAGTGAGGTTGAAGCACAAGTCATACGTGATATTTGGATCAAGTACCCAGCCGTAGTAATGATAGGACCTTTCTGGAAAGACGTTGCCTATGTTGGAATGTACAATTGGGATGAGAGCGAAGACTGGACAACCATTCACGGTAATCTTTCTCTTACTTTATTAACATACGCTGTGTTGTTGCTTGTATTAATCATTTTTTTAACTACAATGTGTGGCGACTCCCACATACGAAGAAACAGAAACATACTACAGCGCCATCTAACGAAGACACACCGAACTTAGAAGTAACTACTAAATGAGAATTGCTAATTCTGTACCGCGATATGAAGAATTCTCTTGCCGATTAGCATATATACAATTGCCCAACATCAACCGTAGAGCCGTGGCCCGCCAGGCATGATCACCTCGCCTGGTCGGAGGATCCTCCCTTTGTGTTAGAGGACATGATACCTGTTCCTCCACAAATGCTAACTACCCAATATATACTATACATTTTAAAACCAAGAAAATATAGTATTAAAAAAACGGCTTCGAGTTTCTTGCCTGATTAAATGATTTATCATAGAAAGATTTCATTTTAAGAAATCAAATCATATATTTTGCACTTTAATTAAATGCAGAAAATATCTAATTTCTACGTTAACATTCCGTTTTTAAAAGATATGTTCAAATAATTAATGTTTTTTTGCTGCTTTTAGGCCAATGGCTTCAGGAAGCTGGCTATGCTAAGTTTTCTCCAGGAGAACCTAATAACTCAACTACAGGTGAATATTGTGGTGCAGTATACCGTAATGGCATGTTCGACGATCTGTATTGCGAACAGGATTACGCATTTATTTGTGAAAAGGAACCCAGTTATCCTCCTGTATGCGATAGTGATAGCCCAAGACCATTCGAGCCTGCCATTTGTCACAATGGTGTTGGACAAGCACAAATACAGCCTGATAATCAAATGAATGAAATTATGAAGACACAGACATCTAATGTCGTCATATAAATTATAAATAACCATTTTGTAACCCATTCTGTAACCTTTTCTAGTTAAATAACTATCTGAAGATCACCTAGTGGTCGTATTTCGACTATTTAATTTCTTGTTTCATTTAAATGACCAATATAAACTTGAACTGCCATTGTATAGACTTTCATAACATGAGAGGTCAACATTTTATGTAAACTTTTGACACAGTTTTTAGCATTTTGCACTTCTACATAAAATATAAACGTTTAGTTTTCCAACTGCAAGATAAGAGATTAAAGTCTACAATATAGATAAGAGTCTAATATTTAGTATATTTTATAAGAAACCTGTATTTTGGTTAGTGACCGAAGTTTTGGTTTTGATTTTGGCCAGTTTCGGCCAAAAAATCTAGTTTCGGATTCTTGCTTACAGCCGCACCGAAACTCAGTGTTCGTAAAGTATTGTGCGTCGTTCGGTTAACTTCGTGGCTAACTAGTGGACATCGGCTCTGGCTCAGTTTGCCTCAGTCTGGCTCAAATTTTTTTTATGGTGTTTAGGGGCAAGTGTGCAGACAGGTCGAAATATGGTAAATGACTACCGCCGCCCATGGTAGTGCTACTTCATCTGCAACTTAAGAGGCACCAGTGAATAGCCGCCCTCTTAGTTCCTCCCACCAGAACCAGGGGAAAGGGGGGGGGTGTAGGCTCCAGTAACCTCTCTCATTCGGTGAAAAGCAATTGAAGAACGAAACAACTGCTTAACAGGGTTTCTTTAAGGCCGTGGTATCACTTCGATCGAGCCTGGTCTATATGTGCCAGTCTCCAATAACTGCAAGGAGGAGTGCAGGTACTTGCGTACTGGTGCAAGCCAGTGGTGTTTATCAGCTTCCATACTGCGAATTGGCTTACTAGGTAGCGTGGCGTTGCGGCCCGTGTGCTTGTTCGAGGATCTCGTTCAAAGAAGTCATGGATTTTTTCTTCGACCTCTATTACAAGTGTCATTGCAGTACCCAATGTGATGGGGTTCTAAACTGTCCGTAATCGAGGGCTCTGATTTGTGGATGGAATCGTTTGGTGCTGATTAATTTTGTATACCTTGTCTTCAGGGTCGTGGTATACTTTTCGACTCATGCAATCATTGTGCACCATTTGGGCTTACATCATTACGGATTTAACAACGTAACCTTTCGTTATTAAAAAGCTATAATTAATTAATTTAAAAAAGCACGGTCAAGGTCACGCTGCATAACTAAAATTGTTTGTATATTGTAAATTGAAGTAGTTGGCTTTAGAAAATAAAGGCCTATTTTATAAATTGAGGACGTTTTTTTTTTCTATATTCACTGAGTACATCAGTCAGTCCATTTTTTTGTCGTATGATAATTTTGGGGGGCTTAATCACATGTTTAGATAAAACATCTGTTTTTGCGAGAAGTGTTTTAATATTGCACAGAGCAGAACACCTGATAACATTGCAATGTTATTGCAGCATTATAAAGAAAACTATATACTATTATTGTAATTTTTTTGCAGTAGTAACGCTCATACATCCGTTTTTTATTTATTTTCAAATTAAATCAGGATTTGGAAAGTAATAGGTCATTACAGTACAGGTACAGTGCTTATTCAAGCAGAAAGAGCGCAACGTTCGGTACTTAAAGTGATGCACAAGAAGCCATTTCGGTACCCAACAACAAAGCTGTACGAGGAAAGTCAAGTGTTGAGTGTACGCAAACTATTCATTTTAAAAACAGTCCTTGCTGTTCACAGAAGAATAATTGCCTCGCAGGAATACACAGACTTACTTTCACTTCGTGTATATAGATTACCAGTGCCCAAAATCAAAACCAGCTTTGCTAGACGATTTACCCCGTTTAAGGATAACTATATATACAACAAGGCAGCTAGTGCGTGTGATATCAAACAATGTTCTGTAAGAGAGGCAAAAATCAAAATACTTAAGTGGCTCACCTCTCTATCCTACGACTCAACAGAGAGTATTTTGTTACCCTTATTGTAATACATATATTATGCACATAAGTGATATACACCTATCTTATTTACTTTATATGTTGAAATTAATCATTGATTATGTATGCATGTGTATGTGTGTGTATGTGTGTGTATGTATATGTATATATATATGTGTGTGTATATGTATATGTATGTGTATGTGTATATGTATGTGTATGTATATATGTGTGTGTGTCTGTGTGTATATGTATGTATATATAAATTAATCCACATCATCAAATCTTAAAATGAACATACATAGAACCTTATATACTTACTCATAACGCACGTTTGCTTTGTATAAATATCTATTTGTATTTACCAAACAATAATTAACTTAGCATGTAGTTAATAAAATTGTTTTAATGTAAGCTTAATCTAAATGTTGAACCTCTGATAAAATGTTGTCCGAGCTAACAATGTAAAATTAAATGTGTAAACTGAATTGGGTACCCACAGGACAGGCTTGCCTAGTGTGGGGCCACAGGACACTGTTGTCACGTTGTATTTCTTATATGGTAATAAACATTTTTTATTTTATTTTTATTTTATTAGGTCACCTGACAGTAAGTGACCATCACTATCCATTTAAATCTGTAACTAAAATAGGGTTAGGGCTGAAGTAGGTAACCTCATCATCATCATCATATTAACATTAGGCCGGCAACGCGTTTGTGACTCCTGAGTTGCAGACGTTCATGGGCAGCGATGGTCACTTTCCATCAGGTGACTTGTCTGCTCGTCGGCCCCTCTAACATAAAAAAAACAGCCTTCAGTAGTAAACTGCTAGACATAGGCCTTTGTTTCAAGATTCCCTCCTCTTTGGAGTGCTTTTGTCCAGCGTAGTTAGCTTCCTTAGTCGGCACCCACGGTATGAATAGGGGTGGTCATATCCCGTATTCTTAATTCGTCACCACACTCGTCAGTCAATCAATCAGGTAACTTCAGTCACTTGAAAAACTCGAAAAGGCAACGAAAGTGGAAATATATTACACTTGTTTTTTTTTAAACCCCCGACGGAAAACGAGGTGTGATATAACTTTAACCTGTGTATCTGTGTACCTGCGTATGTGTGTATCTGTCTGTGTGTTTGTGGCATCTTAGCTCGTAGCGTCGCTTGCCAGGTTATTAGTTATACATTTTAAAGATCATCAGCTAACTTCCTGGGTGATGAAGGGATCTTACTAAAACCTAAAACTTGCTGCTGCATCAAGTAGTTAGGACGGCGGTGTTTAATTATTAAAGTAATTGTTAAATTATTTATGAAGCCGTGGTATGACTCCTATCAAGCAAGTCCATATGTGTCAAAGTACTGGGTCTAGTAATAGGGATGACCTGGTTTTGACAGCTCATAGCGACCATATTTGATGATGGATCTTTGACGTCTCTTGACATTTTTGTTCAGTAAGGTTTGCCATTTTATCATGTCATGTTTCACTTTAAACCAACGCTTGGAAATTGTCCAAAACTATTACGCAAATTCGCGTTCTCCTACCGCTACAGTAAGAGCGCTTCGCGCAAAAAACGGTCGTCATAGTGCTCCTTCTGTGCACGCTATAAATCGCATAATAACAAAATTTGAAAGTGAATTCACTCTCCACAATACTGCTGTGCCTGTGAGACAAAGAAATGCCCGTAGTGAAGAGAATATCGCAGCCGTTCAGGCCAGTGTTGATGCGAATTCAAATCGATCAGTTCAACGCCGTTCACAAGAGTTGGGGCTCTCTCCAATGACCACCTGGCGTATTTTGCGGTTGGATTTGGACCTACACCCATACAAAATTTGTTTTGGAACAAGAATTGAAGCCATCCGAAAATTGTATCCGTCGTGAATTTGCCGATTATGCACTGGAAATGATGGAAGCCGATGACGATTTTCATCGTAAAATCATCTTCTCAGATGAGGCCCATTTCTGGCTCAATAGACTTGTTAATAAACAAAATTGTCGCTATTGGAGTGAGTCAAATCCACATGTGGTTCATGAATCACCATTGCATCCGCAAAAAATAACAGTTTGGTGCGGTTTATGGTACGGTGGAATCATTGGTCTTTGAAAGTGCCGAAGGAAACCCCGTTACTGTGAATGGCGAGCGCTATAACTCGATGTTAACCTAATATTTCTTTCCGGAATTTGATGATATTGATGCAGACGACCTTTATTTTCAACAAGACGGTGCACCACTTCACATTACTCGAGTGAACGTGGAATTATTGCGTGGAAAGTTAGGAGGAGTCGTTAATTTCGAGAAATGGACCGATCAGTTGGCCACCAAGATCATGTGATTTAACACCTTTAGACTATTTTCTTTGAGGTTACGTTAAATCTAAAGTGTACAGCAATAATCCAGCTACAATTCGTGACCTTGTAAACCAACAATCGACGAGCCATAGCCGACATACCGGCCGAAATGGTGCACCGCGTCATCGAAAATTGGCGTGAGCGGATGACCGTCTGCAAAAAGAGCCGCGGCGGTCATTGGCCGATATATTATTTAAAACATAAATTGCATAAAATTATCTATCAAATAAATCAATCGGATGCATTTTTCATAAAAAAAATTGTGTTTTATTCAATTTTTATTTGACTCTCCTACTGTGCCACAGCAAAGCTTGGCAGGGTATTTATAAAAAAGCAAATAACTTAAAGATGTTTTTAGTACAATGATGATCGATAGCTGATATCTATCTGAAGCGTCTCTAACTATATGAAAATTATTACAGTCACGTTTCAGTACCCAAGAGTTGCGGTATCCTATCTTCTTTTCCTATCCGTTTTTCTTTATACGAATTACCTTCTTCCATTGTGCCGCTGCTCGGAACCAGTCAAGATGGAGACTTTCTTCTGTACGCCCTCTGCCCTATCCAGGGGACATAGGACGAAGAACATATATTTTGCCATCTGATTACGGTCATATGCCCAATTTCGACCTATTTCGACATAACAAAAACCAACTAACATCCCTTTTTGAGTAACATTAAATATTACGGCGATCTAAAATAAAATTGTGAAAAATGTTGGTGAGGATGATTACGAAATAATACTAATAATATACCTAATATTGAATTATAACACGTGTTGAATTACTATACAGATAATTACAGCACAGAATGGATTGGATTTTGTTACTAAACGATAAAACATATTATAAATATTTCTGACACGTTCTCTTATCCTCACTCGGTGTCATCTGTTCATAAAATGAAATACATTTTAAATTTGGTCGTGACAATATTTTGTTTTCCAATATCAGGTATGTTTTTCTATTTATCTTTTATGTTAATAACATTACACAATAATAGTATTCTTATCTTAAGTTTACTTTAAACCCGTAATTATTATGTGTGTCAACACATAATTATTGGCTGCACGGAGGGCGTAGTGGTTTAAGTGGTCGCCACGCCGCTCACTACTACGCTGAGTGCTATGGGTTCGATTCCCACATGGGAAGACACTTTGTATGATTCACAAATTGTTGTTCTGAGTCTGGGTGTTCTTTGTGTCCGTTTCATGTATGTTTGTCAACTCTTGTTACGTTCCATTTATGCCATATTTTACTTTTAACTAGCTGCTCCGATTTCTTTTCCCAGATGGATAATTTATTTACGGTAGCTATAATCTTGCACAATTTTTTGCAATGACTATTTGAATTCAATTAATCTCAGGTTGAAATCTTCACTAAACAAATGTTATTCATAAACTTGAATGTAACTATTTCCACAAGTAATAAGTATTTTTGTTTTAGAAAGTGTAAAGTTCAGATGTGATTATAGGCATACTTATCTGGGATGGTTCAAATACCATGAAATGCCTGCGACATGGTTCGATGCTCGCTTGTTATGCCACCTTGAAGGTAAGCTTTATAAAACAAAGTAAATTCGTTTAAATGTACAAGTGTTACTTCTAAAACATAGGATACTGGTAATTTCTTTGTAACGCTTTCTTCACTCATACATCAACAACATAGGACGAGATGAAAGGACGATTGGAGGGGACCTGAAATCACATGGGCCGGGTCCTTCCCAGAGTAGAACGCCTCAGGCTGGCCGTCGAGGTGCTTTTATTGGAAACACTATCTACTCCTAGTGCCTACGTCCCCTAAGTGACGCAGATCCGATGGGGTTTTTATTCACCTGTTTTATTAACATACTTTTCTTACCGTTGTATTTGGCTTTTACTGGTGAACTGAAAAAAATAAATACTTATTCATATTGTTTCCACAGGTGCTATATTAGCATCTCCTACCACACCCGAAATGAAGACTTATATGTTGCAATCATTTTGCAAACCTCAGATCTTCACTGGAATTCACGCTACCTTGACCAAAGTACAATTCCATTCCGTAGACGGTTAGTAACATACGAGTATTTCTTATTAAGAATATTAATTTATTTTCAACTCCATGTATTTAGTTTTTAGTCACATGTCGTTCACACACATTAGCATTGTTCGTGATTCCGAACATACTGCTTTCTGCTTTGTTTCTGAGATCTTATACTAACCTTATTTAAAAATTGCATTATAATAGAATTATGAAATAAACCGAATTATTTCCATACTTTACATGCCTGCACTCTATCGTTTTCTAGGTGTACCATTTGATTTAATACCACATGAATGGGCTCCGCTCGAGCCTGACAATAAAAATAATGCTGAAAGCTGCATCGCCTTGCACTCTGATGGGAAATTTTCGGATGTCAGATGCGATGAACCTCGCCCTTATATTTGTTTCAGGCCGCATTCGAATACCGAAGTCAACATATGTGGCACTCCAGATCCTGGTAATTAGATTAATTTAAATAGTTTTATTTCACAGGAGTGAAAATGTTTATAAAAATAAAAAGTTACTATGTTAAATATTCCAGAATACCATTTTGAAAGTCAAACAAATAAGTGTTACAAATTTCACACAAAGCCAAGAACATTTAAAAGAGCTAACTTTGCCTGTTCTGCTGAGGGCGGTCATCTTGCTATCATAAATAATGAGGATGAAGCAAAGGTTATCCGTGATATATATACCAAGTATCCAGCATCAAAAATGATCGGTAATTTTTGGAAAGACGTTGCGTTTGTTGGAATGTATAATTGGGGGGAGAGCGCTGACTGGACGACTATTCACGGTAATTATTCTCTTGCTTACTTTATTTAAACAACTAATACGGTTTACTGTTGTAGTAACTACTTTATACCGATTGATACTCTAAATTTTAAAAACTACCTATAGGAAAGAAAAAAAACTGTTCATAATATGTGGCTTCGAATTCTATTGCCTATTCTTCTCCATAGCATCTATTATTAGTATCTGTTAGTAGTATTAGAACAGAACTCCTAACTTCATGCCGATCTTGCCGACTGACCCCTGAAATTAATGATTCAAAAAGAAAGAAAGAAAAGATAACAGAAAATCAAATCGACCATACTCTAATCAAAAGCAGAAATTACATATTTTCTTATTTAATATTCCACTTTAATAACTCAAATTCAAATAATTTTCAATTTTATTTTTCTTTTGGTTTTAGGCCAATCGCTCCAGGAAGCTGGCTATGCTAAGTTTTCTCCAGGAGAACCTAATAATGCAACTGAAGGTGAATATTGTGGTTCAGTATACCGTAATGCCATGTTCGACGATCTGTGGTGCGAAAAGCATTTTGCATTTATTTGCGAAAAGAAACCTGATTATCCTCCTGTTTGCGATAGTTCCGAAGAACGCCCGTTCCACACCCCCGTCTGTGATAACGATGTACGCCCAGAATCAAATACTGATGATCAAATCGATTTTCGAAGCGATGGCTCGAAAACTTAAACTTGCATCCAGTATCGTCCAATGAATTGATTTTTTTTTATTGTAAACTTATTGTAATAAAACAAGGATTTATTTTATTTTATGTTATGTTCAGGATTTGTTTTATGCTTATTTTCAAAGGAGAAAAATCGATGAAATAATTCATTGCATCAGTCTTCATCAACAGCCTTAAATAGTCCACTGTTTAAATAGGAAATTTTGGCCTATTTTACCGCACTGACCGGACGGGTTAGTATATAGTTTGTTTCCTTTTACTTGTCACGCTGTTGTACTGCAGAGTTACCTCCCTTAGTCAACTCTTACGACACCCACGGGATAAATGGGGGTGGTGACACTCTGTATTATTAATCCGTCACAGTCCGGACAGTCATCAGTCTTATTTTATTTATATTTATCGAGATGTTAGAAAAAAAAAACACAATTATTTCAATGTTAATTTCTATTACCTAGAGATCATATGGCGGCTGAGTTGCCACCGTTTTGAATGTTTTGTTTTGTGTCAATGACCGGTATAACTTAAACTGGCATAGACATTACATTCATTTATAGAATAGCTATAGCATATTTTTGTTATGTAGCTTTTTGCATATTTTTAGCTTCTAACCCACTTACATTTTTATTTTTCACCTCATCAACCCAAGTACTAGGCGATATCGAAGTTCTGTGGAAAGACTGTTGTGGACTTAACTACCCGTAACGATTGTCTCAGACGGACCGACGGCTTACCGTGCTTCCCAAGGATATTTACACTTATTTGTCATGTAAATATTAAGTATTCTCATCATCATCATCATCATCAACAGCCTTTAACAATCCACTGCTGGACATAAGCCTCTCCTTAGAAAGGAGGTTTTGGCCTACTATACCACGCTGGCCAGACGGGTTGGTATAGGGTTTGTGTAAGTGGTCCAGAAGGCGATAACTACCTGGGCCCCCCCTAAACTGGAAGCGCAAAGAGGGCACACCGTGTGGTTTTAGTCGGTTCGAGTCCGACACACCGCCCCGCCGAACGAGAGCCCCGGCGGCGGGGTGACGGTCCAAGGGGATTTAAACACGCAAAAAAAAAAAAAAAGGTTTTATGTAAGTATTTTCAATATTAGGTATATACAAAAGTGTGTCATATTAGTTTAAAAATGGTTACCAAGGTTTTTTGTAAAGTGATGATTTTTTTAAGAAAGCAAATAGTAATTTATGACAAAATTTCTAAATTAACAACTGCAATAATAAACTTTTTTTTGTAAATAAATGTAATTTTTTTATGTTTTAAGTTACATTATGAACAAAAATATAACCTCCAGTTCTTTCACTGTTTTAATACTTATTTATAACAAAACCACACATCATCATCTTTATCTCAAACGAAAGACGTCGAGTGCTGGACGTAGGCCTCCCCAAGGTTCTTCACGGCAACCGACTTTTACCAGGCAGTTGGACCACCTAGTGGAAAGCCACTCCAGCACCATCGTCTCTGCGAGCAGTGTGTCCCGCCCACTGCCACCCAATGAAAGCAAGGCACACTATTATATATATAAAATCCTTTTACCCAAATACAGACGTCAAAGGAAGAGCACTATATATTTCAGAATTAACATCATATTGCTTTTGTTAATACTTATCACTAAGCGGGACTACTAGCGGTTACACAAATAATAAGAATCGCTTATCGCCTCATATTGAATATGTAGGTATTAATTAGTTAACTACGATTTCACTCATTAACATTATAAAATAATTTATCAAATAAATTATATGAGTTCTAAAAAAATGTATTATGCAAAATTTCCTCATTCTTATAAAAGTCTTAAAAGTCCAACATCTTGAAAATGGTTAGGTTTGGGATATGGTATTTCATAGTGAAATCTATCAGAAATGATGGCAACTACAACTTGTTAAAGTATCTAGGTCGACTTATCAAGGAACTCTGTATATACATATATGTTCATACATAATATTGCACTCACGTGAACTATAGAAATTAAAAAAGGAAAAATTCGAGATATTAAAAGGAAATATACGTAGAAGGAGAGGCAATGGAAAAAATGGATATTGCTTCTGGGAATGGATAAAAGAGTGTAGATGAGAGTTCAAGCAAGTCAGGTGCGCAGACTTCTAAATGAATTAGCTGTTAGCGAGATGCCAACCAGTGTAAACTTTAAAGAAAAGCAGATGTGGTCGTGTGATACATTTTTATTTATTACAAAATAGCTGCAACTTTCCATAAGTGCCTCATAAGAATATCGTCACAAACAACAACAATATTGGACTAATACACGGGCCCCGGGTAGATAATGTTACGGGATGTAGAGCCAAGTTGTTTTTCATGATCTTGGATATCATTTTCGCAGAATCGGGAGTGATTTGTGTTACTAACATTATCACAAACAGGAGGATAGTTGGGAGCTTTTTCACAAAAGAATGCATAATTGACCTCACAATCTCCATCGTTTAGCAGCCCTGTCCGGTACACTGTTCCACAATATTCACGATTTTTAAAGTTGTCTGGTTGTCCTGGAGAAAATTTTGCATACCCAGCCTTCTGAATTGATTCACCTGGAAAAAGTTTATTTTTTATCTAAATTGACCAACTTAAATTTGTCTTATAGTAAATTTCAGTTAGGTCTACACAAATGTGCTGATTATTTTGATTAACGACCATAGTACTGTTCCTGTATATCACCTGATCACTTCAAACTGTATCCGTCAAGGTTAGTAAGGACTTTCACCCTACAGAAGATTGTAGATAAATGGTACTAGCAAATTAAAGAGATAGTTTTTATGATACAAACGCAAATAAGCGGACTCGGTTTGAAGTAAAAGTATGCTCTTTTCCTGAAGAGGGTCACAAATTACCTCTGGCATATAATTTGTTAAGCAGTTTGATTGTGGCAGGTAAAATAATTTTTACAGTGGATCTTTAACTATCCTTCTTTAGGCCTTCCAGGAATAATCATTAAGTCTGTTTAGTTGTCATATAAAGTAGTAGTCACCTACTAAGGTACTTTTTGTTAAACTACATTAATAGTATTGTAAATACCATGAATAGTTGTCCATTCTGAGTTTAAGCCCCAGTAGTTAAATCCGATTATGGCAATATCTTGATAAATACTACCGACTATGTTTGCTTTGGGATATTTGGCGAAAATTTGAGTAATGATTTTCGCTTCTTCTTCGCTGTTTATGATAGCAAGGTGAGCGCCTTCAGCAGAACAGATCATGTGGGCACGTTCAAAATTTTTCGCTTTTGTATGAAATTTATAGCATTTGTTTGTTTGAGTCTCAAAATGGTAATCTGGAATTTTCAACATGTATATGAAATTTGAATTAGCGTTATTTTAAATAGCATTTTGTTAGTATTTGTCGTAAGTCAGTTTTTTAATTAGAATGTCCTGGATCTGTTGTTCTGGATATTTGTTCATTTGTTTGTTTGAGTCTCAAAATAGTAATCTGGAGTTTCAACATGTATATGAAATTTGAATTAGCGTTATTTTAAGCAGCATTTTGTAAGCACTTGTCGTAAGTGAGTTTTTTTAATTAGAATGACCTGGATCTGGAGTACCACAAACGTTGACATCAACGTTCGAATGCTCCCTGTAGCATATATATGGTCGAGGTTCATCACATCTTACATCAGATAATTTGCCATCAGAATTTAAAGTTATACAGTTTTCGGCATTATTTTTATTATCTGGTTCATATGGAGCCCATTCATGAGAAATTTCAGCCAAAGGTATACCTGTAAAGCACAATATTGGTTTTAGTTGATTATTTAGATAAATACCCGCTAAATCAATGAGCCTTGTGAGAAGAATCTAGCGAGCAAACTCGTGGAGACACTTTTGTATGTCTCGTGACGTGCGAACTTTTAATGAAATGGTCAGATCTACCTTAGTCAATTCTGATGTCTGTCCACAAGATATGTAAATACTATGGTCTGGATTATTTTTATTCTCTATTGCGGATTCTAATAGAACTATTATTACTGAAGTTGAAAATCACGTAAATATACATATTTTCATAATAAAGCAGATTGTTTAAAAGGTTAATTACTTACCAGCGATTGTAAAATAGTCTCCTTTCGAGAATATAGCAGCAATTCCAGTAAAGATTTCAGTCTTGCAAAATGACTCCAACATTAAAGATTTCATTTTAGGTGTAGTAGGAGAAGCTAGTGTACCGCCTATGGAGTTATGAAAATAGTTTAAATGTTAATAAAATATCAACTTTATTGCGTTTAAATAAAGTTAAGAATACACTGTTGTACTTGATTACATTACTCGTACACGATTATCAGCTCCATTTTAATGGGATCAGTTAAATATGATTTGACCTTTCGTAATGAAATATTAATTGAATTAAATAAGCAAAACATTGATAACTTTATGAATATTATAATTATTATTTTTAAATACAACTCCCTCGTTAGGAATGTATCCTGTGTCGCGGGGGACTTTACGAACATACATGAAACGGACACAAATAACACCCAGACTCAGAACAACAATTTGTGGATCACACAAAGTGTCGTCCCATTTGGGGATCGGACCCAAAACACTCAGCGTTGTAGTAAGCGGCGTGGCGACCGCTTAAACCACTACACCGTCCGTGCAGTCAATAATAAGATGTCCCTACATTATAATTATAAGCTGTGTGTTACCAACCAGAGACAATGTCCTCTATTGCTTTTGAAACTCATCAACCTAGAAATCCTAAAGATATAATAAACCAATGTTCGTTTGTTTATATTTTACCATACCCTCCTTTCATGTATTAATTATTATGAAATTTCGCAAATAAGTTTACAGGAATACAAAAGGACACCGATTATTTTTCGTCCAAGAAAAAAGTTAGTAGCATTTGAAATGTCGTATTATACGAGTATGTTATATTGAACTTTAAATTAGTGATTTTATTTATGCGTAAATCTCCTGAAGTGATGGGGTTATAAATTATAAATACCAATCATAGTAGTACTTTTTGCAATAAACCGTGCCCTTTACAGATTAGATAGCGAAATTAGAAGAATATTGGAAGTAAAGTAAAAAGTAAAAATATAAATAATATTGACTGCATCAGTGGTGTAGTGGTATGCGACTGTTATGTTGAAGTCTCGGGTTCGATTCTCGGGTTAGACCTTATGTTTATATGATCTGCAAATATTTGTTTTTTATGTAAAATATGTTTACAGACAAAAAAGTATATAAGTATTCTATCAGTCAATCTAGCTTTTATAGTACAAGCTCTACTTAGTTTGAAACTAGATAGCGTTGTGTGTCAGATGTCCGAAATATTATTATTATCTTTATTACATTTTAAAATACATATTGATTACATTTATAAATATATTACAAAGAAATACATTTAAAAATATGAAAAGAGAGTAGACCACCACCATGGGATCGGATAGAACCCAAAGACAGGAACCTCCTCACAATACGGGCCCTATACTTATTATTACTATTAAAGGTAGATAAGAAACGCAGGCAATCGCAGGAAACTGATATTTCTTAAATTAATACACTAATACTGAATTAAATTGGCCATTCCCTAAAAACGTGAGGCCATTAACCAAATAAGGATAAATACGATTAAATTTTTTTATTAAATGCATGTTAGTAAACGGTCAGATTTCAAGGACCCACCACTGTGTTTTCAAGACACTTTTTGCCTCGCACAGCTAATCTGTGGAACAGCCTATCGTCTGCGGTATTTAAAGACCGATACGACCTTCAAACCTTCAAGAAAAGAGCGTACTGTTTCCTAAAAGGCCGGCAACGCGTCTGTGACTCCTGAGTTACACAGTACATTTTCCATCAGGTAAGGTGCCCGTCTGCCCCCTCTTCCATACAAAATAAATTAATACTGAAGCAAATTCAATTGGAACTCAATGATTTTGTTATAATAAACACTGTTGTAAGTGATCAAAGATGTAAACACTATGTGTTGGTGTGTGCGTCATAGCTTGATGCAGTCACTCGCTCAAACCGGAATCAGTACGGGATCCCCCTATTTTCCGTGAGTATTTTACTCATATCTTTAATAATTAAGCAATTTAACTTAGTGTAGTCAGTTCAATTACTTGTGTAATGTTATCATAATATATTATCCAAAAATATGAAAAAGCACATTCATAACAGCATTAAGAGTATTTAATAAGCTCCCGCTAGAAAGAAAGATATTAGATTGAAGAAAATTCAAGAACGCTCTAAAAAAATGGGTAATCAAGAATGTGTTCTGTAATTTGCCAGAGTATTTTCTCATTTGCATACTTGTTAATTTCATTGTAGTCCTCCATTTTTATTTATAGTATACTTTACAATTGCCCTATTGGGTAACTGTTGAAACTTTACCTACTACAATACATCTATAAATGTAACACATTTTTATCCAATAAATATATTAGTTTGTTTTAGTCTTTGTTATAGCAATAAAATTTGGTATCTTACCTTCAAGATGACATCGTAAACGGGCTTCGTCCCAAGTCGCTGGTATTTCGTGGTACTTGAACCATCCGATATCAGTGTACCTGTAGTCGCATCTGAACTTGACACTTTCTAAAAGAAAAGTTAAAAACAAAATATAAGACCTTATACACGTATTATGTGGATTCTTCATAATTCTTCTTCTGTTTTTTTTTTATATTTTTTAAGGTAATTTACAAATAGCAACTGGGCAATTGTACTTTAATTTTTTTTTTTAATTAACGTCTTTTCTTGCTAAAGTTTGTTAAATTTGACAAATTTAAATAACTTTTTTTCTTTTTGATTAATCCATAATTTATAATCATTGTACTAAATTTAATATTATAAAAATACGTATTTATTTAATTTTACGAAATTAAATAATGAACAATTATGAAGCCAAATCGCTATTAAAAAACTCGAATATCTGTTAATTATAACTATCATATTTTTAATGTACGGATTTTAATTTGTAAATTTATGTTCGTGGGTGATTGAGAAAAAAATATTTTCTTTAAACGTTTCCAGATATACATATTTTAACTAATTAAAGTCAAATACAAAATATCAAAAGATTAAAAACACAACATTTCAAATATAAAATGCAAAAATAATGATAATATCATTAAACCTTACCCAGAAAAGTAAAATGTAATATTAACACAACACATTTTAAAATGAACATCTTTTTACGTCTGGATGTCAGCGAGTGAGGCGAATCATTACTTATTTACGTTTCTTTATCATTTTTAAACAGAATGGAGATAGCGTCGTCTCACACTACACTACACGTTCTACGAATGACTAAGAATTTCGAAAGAAATATCTAAATTGTTTATCACTAAAAGTTCTACATTAAATTTTCATTGAATCACACAGATTTTACAGGTGCTTGAACGATGATTTCTAGCATATTATAGCTTTCTTATCTAAAGTTTTGAAACAATATTATCAAGTCACAATGTAAAGGTTAATTGTGATCTACTTAAAAATAACATATTCTAATAATAATAACTTTACACATCTCAGACTAGACAGTTTGATCCAATCTAGGAAAGCTTGTACTATGGTAACCAGACTGTTGATAAACATGCTTATGTTTTTAAAAGCAAATTATACCTGGTTATATTATGCTCTTTTACACATTGAAAATTCAAACTTTTCCACAACGAACTAACGGAGAAACTAAACTGTCCTAATTAGTTTTGAGATAAAAACTTTATGTGGTGCTGCTGATGGAATTGACTAGTCCTTAGTGGCATAAAAATGATTTGGATACGGATTTAAATATAAAACTGAGGGTCGCTATCATTTAAAATCTTTTTCATTTCTCTGAGTATTTAAAGTATTGTCAAGTGCAAAACTATGTTCTTCTTTCTTTTTTGTCTGTGTCATCAGCAGGCTTTAATAGTCCAATGCTGGACATGATCCTCTCCTTAGAAAGGAGGTTTTGGCCTACTATGCCACGCTGGCCAGACGGGTTGGTATAGGGTTTGTGTCAAGTTTTCCTTCTCTCTGCAGTGCTGTTGTTCTGCGTAGTTTTTTCCCTTAGTCTGCTCTTACGACACCCACGGGATGAATAGGGGTGGTGACACTCTGTATTCTTAATCCCCCACACGGACTTTCTTCTGTGTATTTCTTTCTTTTTTTTAAATTATGTTTATTTTACCTTAAAGAGTGTACTCCCACTTCTAAGACCGACAACGTATTTGTGACTCTATATCTATACTTAATATTATAAAGCTGAAGAGTTTGTTTGTTTGTTTGTTTGTTTGTTTGTTTGAACGCGCTAATCTCAGGAACTACTGGTCCGATTTGAAAAATTCTTTCAGTGTTAGATAGCCCATTTATCGAGGAAGGCTATAGGCTATATATCATCACGCTAAGAGCAATAGGAGCGGAGCACCAATGAAGAATGTTTCAAAAACGGAGAAAATTTATTACTATTGAGAGACGCAGACGAAGTTGCGCGGGTCAGCTAGTTGCAATATATGGGCACCAGCATTTACTTACATCATCATCATAAAAAAATCCTACATTCATATTAATCAAGGTGTTCATAACAGTTCATTCCTTTGTAGTTTTAATCATCATCATCATCAAAAGCCTATAACAGTCCACTGCTGGGCCGCACCTTAGAAAGGAGGTTTTAGCCGACCATACCACGTTGGCCAGACGAGTTGATATAGGGTCAGTTTCAAGTTTCTATGCAGTGCTATTGTCCCTATTTGCTCCCTTAGTCCGCTCTTACGACACCCACGGGATGGTTTTAATACTCTCTAAGTATAGCCAACCCAAGTGCCGGTGCAAGTTTTATAAATCTATTTGTGTATCTTGTACGCTTTTCAATACGATTCATTTTTAAGTACAAGTGGGCGTTATTGTGACATAAACTTGCCGCTTGATTCAGTTCCTTCTCGTCTCACCGATAAAATACAATAGGTTTACATAAATAGAACATCTGTTACTACTAGTGCATGCAAAGATATACCTATAGTTGTTTAAAAGAGGAGAAAAGTTTTGTTTATTTATTTAAAAGCGATAATCTTTGGAACTATTGGTCGGAAACAAATGATTCATTTTATAGTAAAGATTATAAAACAGACAGTAAAACCAACCACTAAAACAGGTGACTCTGCTGGTAGTGGCTAGTCCCAAGTGATTTCCTTTTATTCATTCGGTTAGTCGTATCAATTGTTAATGATTTTATTTGTTGTTCGGTTGGGTCTATCAATCTGTGATGAAACTAAGCTTAGAGAAAAAAAAATACACCTATATGTTAATTACGCTGTCAAAGTGGAAGTAGAAGTTTCTTAAAAAAAATATAAAAAACTTTATACTTAAAAAAAACACATGTTTTTAAATAAGGGCTCGTGGCTAAGTGGTTAACATATTAGGAAGTTCACCTTTCTTAACACATTGAGACCCCTTCGTGCCTTGGAGAGGACATTAAGCCGGCGGTTTCGGTATCCTGGGTGGTTGAAGCCCTGATAAGTCCGACAACCTTCTTTATACAGAAGGTTGTGACGTTTTAATGGCAGACACTCCGCATGAAAAAATCTAGGTTCAGCTGTATCATAGTAAACTTAGAGCCGACCCCTACCTAGTTTGGGTAAAGACTAGGAGAAGGATATTGGTAAAGAAAAAAATTAAAAACACAATACTGTTTATCGTTTACAAATCAGCTTAATAGAAAAACACGATTTATTTCTTAAAATATACGGCCAAATTAAATACAAGTGCGGTATTACGTTAAAAGTTTTAAGCTAATACACCGGACCACCACTTCTCATGTCGATGTTATTGGAGTCAGACCCTAACTGCTTTGCTTGATTTTGAATATCATTGTCGCAGAAACGGGTGCGATTTATTACACGTTGTCCACTGGTATTATCACAAACGGTAGGATATTCTGGTTTCTTCTCACAAATAAATGCGTAATGGGTATCGCAGCCTGCATCGTTTAGTAAACCACTGCGGTGAGCTGATCCACAATATTCAGAATTACCAGCGTTATCTGGTTGTCCTTCAGAAAACGTGGTGAAACCAGCTTCCTGGAGCGATTGACCTGAAAGTAAAAAGTATCATTTATATTTCATTTTCATACTGCCTTGGTAACCTTTTCTACTTTTTCTTTATCTACATATTTGAGCAAACTGGAAAGTCACAACAATAATATTTTAATAATAAAAATTGATGAACTATCTGCCTATAAACTACATAAATCATTAAAAAATATCCACTTGCACAGAACTCATAAATATCCATAAAATGAAGAAAAAAAATCTTTTCTTAACCCGTGACGTCAGATTTTTTCTCAATGAAAAAATCTGACGTCCACTGCATCGTTAGTTATGTAGGAAGCATATTTAAAATCATCATCATAATCATCAATAGCCATTAATAGTCTAGCCTTGGCTTTGGCCCACTAAATATAACTATTTCTAACTATAAGTCATTAAATGTTTTTTTTTTATATTAAATTAAGTCTTTGACTTTGTCATTTTTTGAGATTTAACGATAAGAATATAAAAATCAAATTATACAATTGATTTGAAGAAACCAAATTTCAAGTATCACACAAATACCGTGAATGGTGACCCAGTCCATGCTCTTTTCCCAAGTGAGGAATCCGATGAAAGCAACATCTTTATAGAAATTTCCGAGCATTTTCGATGCTGGATATTTGTCATACACTTGAGCGATGACCCTGGATTCTTCTTCGCTGTTGATAATGGCTAGGTGACCACCTTCAGCGGAACAGGTAAAGTGGGCTCTTGCGAACGTTCTCGGAATCGTGTGGAATTTGTAACATTTGTTTGTAACACTCTCAAAGTGATATTCTGAAATTTAACATAAATTTTGTAAATCTAAGTAGTTATGGAAAAGAAATGAAAGTTAAAGGAGATTGATGAGTATTTTTTCTTACTGTAATACAAACAATGTTATGCTCATAATATTTCATTTTGCATGATAAAACAATAATTTGCTAATCCATATAAATATGCTCATAATCAGAATAATAATAAAAGAACAGGATCAGAAACAGACGAATGTGACATTTTTTTACCCAAATGCCATACAAATGGTTTTAAAAATTTGTCAAGTATAAAAATGAAACAAGTGATGATGATCTTCGAAAAGACGAAGAGACTTTTTTTAATTATAAACTATAAGAAACACATAGATTAATAAGTAAGCAAGAATGATTTGAGGCATCATTAACAGGGCCACCTGATCATAAACTAGGCAGGGCAGGTAAACGTTACTAAATATTATATACGTAATAAAATGCCATGCTCATCACACAATTATTTTCCCTGAGTGATAATCAGAAACAATGACCTCTTGGCTCAGCAGTCAGAATCATTAACTATCAGATAGCAGGTCCATCGTATACATACAGGTTTTGTTTTGTAACAGCATGCATGAAGAAGTCCTAAAAGCAGTTAAATGGATGCTCTAATCTGATCACCGCAGTCAATAGCCTTTGTTTTATCAAACTTTAGCATTTGCATGGAAAGATCAATTATGGTTTATTTTGCTAAAGTTCGTAACAGGCTAGTAATAATTTAGTTACCTGGATCTGGAGTACCACAAACGTTGACATCAGCATGAGAATGCTGTCTGTGGCATATATAAGGACGAGGCTCATCGCATTGTACATCAGAAAATTTACCATCGGAATGTAATGCGATACAATTCTCGGCGTTGTTTTTGTTATCAGGCTCAAATGGAGCCCAATCATGTGGAATTTCCGATAAGGATATACCTGTCAAATATATTACAAAAAATAATTAAATCAATCATTAAGGAGAACCGTAGAAATCTGCTAAGGATCAAATCACAAATCATTTAAGAGAGAGAGGTAAAGTATACAAAATTACTTCCTATCAATCGATACCACGTGTTTTGTGGTTTTTCAAAAATATACCTTTCAGGATGTAGAGAGGTAGACAGGTGAAAAAATCAACATGGGTCTCAAATTTACTGTTCTCAAAAATGATGTTTGAATTCGCTCTCAAAATCTTTATCCTAACTAATATTATAAAAGCAAAAAGAGGGCTAGCTAGTTTGTTTTGTTACTTTTCACGTCTTATCTACATAAAATTACCATAAAATTTAGTGTAAAATACTTTGTTATAGAAAGGGACCTTAAAAAAAAATTTGAAAATTTTACCCTTTAAAATAGAACCATTCATTCATTGACAAAATCTACATTAGTTATACCGTATGTGTGGGTTTGGTTGCTTGGTTTGTTTGGTTCTTCTCGAAAAAAAGCACGATTTTTAAAATAGTTTGGTTCCTTAAACTGGTTTCTGTTAAATACATAATTACTAACTAACCATCGATAGTATAGTAGTGTCCTTTAGAGAAAGTAGCATGGATTCCAGTAAAGATCTCCGGTTTGCAAAATGATTCCAACATAATGGATTTAATTTCAGCTGTAGTAGGGGAAGCTAGTACAGCACCTGTTAATCAAAGATTAGCTTAATTCATCATTATATCCTCCTACTTTTCAAGATAACATTGCAAGGGATTTTAGGTTTTGGACGCCATGTCTTCTTGCAAACAAGCCAATAGTTTTTCACATGAGAAAAATAATTGCTATCAATTCAAAATGGTGACCAAACCACCAATTATCAATAAATGGTTACCACGCTGATATTGCTGTGTTAACCACGATTTCCACAATCCAGGAAATTGACGCATACATCATTTTTTTGTGGTAACTATCTAATAACACATGATTAGTTTTATTTACTGTATTTAAAACATTTTTAAATATTGACGTGTATTTTAAAAGGTGTTTCATATTCTGTCTTATGATAATACAGTCAAATATAAATCCGGGGCACGTAGACACCTGAACATTTAGTAAACTGATTATAGCTTTGAAATAAATTATTTTTAAATACAAATAGACCATTATCATAAATACGAATGTTTCTTCTGTTTTCAGACCAAAATTACTTAACCGATTCTAATGAAGTTTTTGCATACGTGAAGTAATTAACAAAAACTAAATGAAGCATATTTTCAATGATTTTAGTAGTAAATACCTTCCATTTGGCATTCTAAACGAGCATCGAACCACGTTGTTGGTACCTCGTGGTATTTGAACCATCCTTGGCTAGTGTACGTATAATCACATCTAAACTTCACGGCATCTGAAAAAAATCGTTCATAGTAAAACAATTTAACACATTAATAAAGCTTATAATGGTAACAGACTGCTAATAAAAAAAACTTATAAACTTATATTTCTAAATATATACAATATATTATCGATAAATTACACAAAGATACAGAGAAAATCATCATACTCACCACGCAAGTATTTGCTAGGTGAGAATCAAACCCACAAACTCTGATTTAGCAGTAAGAAGTGGTAACCACTGGACCACTAGGCCAGTACTTTCAAACACCGTTACACGATGATTTATGATATAATGCTGAATGGTGCCGATATATCCTAAATAATACTCTTGAAAAGCAAAAGCTAAAACCCAGGAGTCAAGTCTTTATAAACTCTATAACTGGTTAAGTGCCAGTCATGATACCTATTAAAACAGATAAGTCGATTCTTACAAAACTCAAACAGAACTAGAGATTAGAGAGCTCCACAATTAACCGGTCCTTCGCCGCAGTTAAGACATTCAGGAAGACTAATGAAATAATTAAAGCTGCCAGACGCCAGAAAAGTCTTAAAATTTCTTCAAAATGATTTTCCTGCTCTATTCCAAATTTAGGTTCAACTCACACTAAACAAATATCAAGTAAAACTCGCTTCGATAAAGTAACACATGCTGTATTAATTAATAAAGTAATTTGATATATAAAAAAAACAAAACAATAAATAATAGAAGATTTCCTTGTATAAACTAAAAAGAAAACCTATATAGCACTAAAAAATATTAAGTACGCAAAACATAAACTTCCCAAACATAGAAAAAATAATTCTAATAGAAAACAAAAAAAAACTTACCAAGGTATCCAAAACAAACAATGAACAAAACACATTTCGTTATGAACTTCATTTCGCCGATGGATAGTAGTGAATGAGGCCAAGTGACGGTGGTACACATAATATAAATCCTATGTCACTTAGAAACAGGACGGAAATATCAAGTCAGTAGCTCTCAACATACTTAGATGCATAACTTTGGTTTACACGTTAACTTTGAACATCGCTGCAGCATTAAATACACCACTTTTGTTTGTATTCTCTTTTTATTCTACTTCCACTTGGTACACGTTGTGTGGAGACGGATTAAGAATACAAAGTGTCACCACCCCTATTCATCCCGTGGCTGGCGTAAGAGCCGACTAAGGGAGAAATCTACGCAGAAATACTTGACACAAAAAAAACCCTCCTTTCTAAGGACAGGCTTGTGTCCAGCAGTGGACTATTAGAGGCTGTTGATGTTGATGATGATATGTTTTGTGGAAATTATCGGGAAATAAGCAAAGTATAAAGCAGCAGTCACTTTGTTATGTAAATTTACTGGAGCGAGTGATTGACATTATCCTAAATTGTACAACTTTTTGCAAGAAAAAAACTCTCAAACAGATAAAATATAAAACTTACTCATGTGCATAGCGCAGGCGTTTTAACGTAAGTATTTACTTAAATTGACATCAAAATCCTTTCAGTAGTTTTTGCATTTTGTTTTGTAAGAGTACAAGATTAACAACTTCCATCCATCATTATCTTTACGTTCCCTGCTGCAATGGTTACCAATTCATCAGTGCGTAGTCTGCAAGAACTGACTTCTTTTTTTCTTTCCTCAACTCTCCATAGTTACCTGAATACCTCGTTCCCCACTTTCGTTTATTTTGCTCCAATCACGACCGAAACCTTCATTCAACAAACATTACGCTTCTTCTATGCCCCCTCACACCTCTTTATTAATTCTTCCCTATATGCAGTCAGTTCTTTTCTGGAATGCCGAAGTCAGGATATCCACATATTAGATTCAAGACAAAAGTACGCAAAAGTCTTCGGAATGAGTTGGCAGAACAGTCACAACGATAGTACCTGACTGTGTATCTAATGCCTTTAAACGAGAAATTCTTGAATTTATATATATATATATATATATATATATATATATATATATATATATATATATATATATATATATATATATATATATATATATATATATATATATATATATATTGTGTGTATATATTGTGTATACTTCTGGGCTTCTATGTAAATAATATATGTAGCAATGTATTTGTGTATTTTAGTTTTATCTAATATAGGTTTATCTTTCATTTAACAAATTATTATGAACCACGACAAATTTAATACTTTATCTTTGACCATACCGCATCACATTTCTACATCACCTGATGAATGTCGACTAGGAGAGAATGCCTCATTAAGGCATTATTATTATACATTTGTATTGTATAAATATTGGTATTGGTATCTCAATGTAATAAATTGTAAAATGACAGTGCAATTTATTACATGTTGAGCTTTCCTTGGAAGTTTGATTGGTTTTAGATGGAAGAAGATAAGAAGAACAGAGTATTCCATGCTGGTAAGACAAAACGAATGGGGCTTATAATCTTTCTAGAAAATCCATGTATTAAACACGGGTTTTTAATTATAAAAATGTTTTTTGGCAAAGCCAGCCGGAAGCGGTCTGCATCTGGTCTTTACAAAATCTTTTAAATGTAAAGTGTTTTAAGTTTTAATAAGCCTTAAGCCTAACTTTAAATCTTATTATACAATTCATGATCATCATTTTCCGGCTCTTTTCCTAATTTAATTTTTAATCAGTGCATTTAGAAATATTGCAAAGGGTTGTAACTACCTTTTTTTTTCTTCTACGTTCACCACCTGCTTGACGTCTACCATCCTTATGAATGTATGGAATGGTTTTAAGAGAGGATAAAGGAAAACGATGAATTGGAGTGAGTAAGCTCTTTTATAATTGTAACCAGTAAATAATATTACTATTGAGATCAAATTCTGGGGTCTCTTTATACACTTTGATAATGTTTTAAAAGCTTGCTCTTAATTAGGATGGAGAATATATTTAGGCTTTATTTAAAGGGCATATGGAAGAGACTTTTTTACAAGAAATCGATTTATTTGACTTATTTATTATCATGCCCTTATGGTAAAGTAAAGCCAACTAATGCAGCAAACTACGCAAGATAAAAGCACTACAAAGAGAAGGAAAACTTTGCATAAAACCTATACTAACCCGTCTGGCCTCCTTTGTAAGGACAGGCCTATGTCCAGCTGTGGACGATGATAAATGATAATAAAAAAATAAAAACGATTTATAGCAAAACTTTATTTCAGTTTTAAAATATATTAATAGCAAAGTATGATTGATTTCTTTTAGAGGCAAACGTGAGCTTTTAGTAGCAGTACAGTATTTAATAGTAGCAGATCCTTGTTAATGTGTGTGTGTTTTACACCGGCCCAGCACTTCTAATATCGATGTTGGTAGATCCAGCCCGAGACTGTTTTTCAGGATCTTCTACATTATTGTCACAGAAACGTATATGGCTAGTTTCATTTTGCAAATTATCACAAACGGCGGGATAGTCAGGTCTTTTTTCACAAATAAATAAAAAGTGCCTTTCACACTCTAAGTCGTTTAGTAAACCATTACGTAGTACTGATCCACAATATTCTCCTAAGGTAGCGTTATCCGGTTGACTTGGAGAAAACCTGTCGAATCCAGCATCTTTGAGTGATTGACCTGAAAAAAATTGAATTTTGAGTGATCATTTGTCAAACCTAAACTATACTTAAAATCGATCAATATCAAAATGTTAAGTTGTATTCGCTTCAAAAATTCAAAAAGTTCTACGCCGATTAAGCTCAAATTTTGACACAATATACAAACCGCTTAAAAAAAACCCATTAGCTTTGTTCCCTATTTCTCGTCAACGTACCACAATATGCTACAGCAAAATGTGGTAGGGCATAGCTAGTATCTTTAAAAGCAAGTGCTGGCCACTTCGTCTGCAAAGATTGTCTTTGAAATGAAAAGTTTATTCCCCTGTCTATATTCGACTTAGCTTGAATACATGAGAGCTAGTTAGGCATGCAGAGCTCTGAACATTCGTTTTTAAAAATTTCGAAAATAATAATCAGTTTTAGTTTTAATGAAGAATTGCTTTGTCATTTGTTGGGTCAAGCATTATTTTTATTATCTGGTTCGAATGGAGCCCATTCGTGAGGGATTTGCGTAAAAGGTATACCTGCAAAGTTATTTGATTAAGATGAACATTTTAATTTCCTTAAAAACTTGCATAAAATACACTGCAAATCTTTAGTTTTAATAATTAGCTTTTAAAAAGTATCAACGACTTTAATGCATCTACATCATGATGAATTGGACTGCGTTGGTTTAAGCGACTGGTTTATCCATCCCATGGGTGTCGTAAGAGACGACTAAAGGAGCAAACTACACAAGACAACAGTACTGCAAAGAGAAGGAAAACTGAAGACAAACCCTATACCGACCGGTCTGGTCAGCGTGGTATAGGCCAAAACCTCCTTTATAAGGAGAGGCCTATGTCCAACAGTGAATTATTAAAGGCAATTGATGTATTATGTTACACATATCATTCCTTAACTTTGCACCTTTAGAATCTGAAAATGACCAAATTATGAGGTAGCAAACATGGAACACATATAGCTGAATCGTCCCTTTCTTGAAGTTTGTTAAACACAGTTCAAATAATTTGAAAATGAAAGGTGTTTATTTAAACTATTAGCTTACTAACCATTAATAGAATAATATTGTCCTTTGGAGAATGTAGCGTGAATTCCAGTAAAGATCTCGGGTTCGCAAAATGATTCCAACATAATGGATTTTATTCCGGCTGTAGTAGGAGAGGCTAGGATACCACCTGTTGATTTAGGAGAAAACTGTTACTAGATACTTGTTGATTAATTTTCCAGAGTATTCCTGAAACCTTCAGATGATCTCGTAGAATAATTCACCATATTTGTCCTTACGCTTATATTGCTTTCTATTAGATCAGACGATAAAGAGACATGCCTGTCTTAATTATTAATAAAATAGCCATAGTAATAGATTTTAGTATATAGTAATTATTATATTTTAGTATATTAGTGTATTATAAATTAATTTGAATATTCAAAAACTTTTTTTTTTGTAAATTCATATTGTCCGTGTGGTGACGGATTAAGAATACAGATTGTCACCACCCCTATTCATCCCGTGGGTGTTGTAAGAGTCAACTAAGGGAAAAACTACGCAGAACAACAACACTGCAGAGAGAAGGAAAACTTGACACAAACCCTATACCAACCCGTCTGGCCAGCGTGGTATAGTAGGCTAAAACCTCCTTTCTAAGGAGAGGCTTATGTCCAGCAGTGGACTATTAAAGGCTGTTGATGATGATGATGTTGTCTAGCCCGGAGATCGAATCCGAGACTTCAGTACAGCGTACGCTAACACTGCACCACCGAGGCAAATAATGTAGTAAATTATATTTACCTTCAAGTTGGCATTGCAAACGAGCATCGTACCATGTTGCAGGTATCTCCTGGTATTTGAACCATCCCAAAGAAGTGAACCTATAATCACATCTGAACTTTACACCATCTAAAAGAGAAACAAATTTTGATTGTGTAGGCAATATATTTCAATTTTAGAAAAAGTTAAATTAAATACACCCATACTTAATATATATATATATATAAACATATTTTAACTTACATAGGGATGCAAAGCAAAATAATAACACTGAATATTTCAAAATTGACTTCATTTTGCGAATGGACGTTAGTGAATGTGACCAATTAATGATGATACAAACAATTGTAATTCTTTATTACTTTTTAACGAGATGGAAATTACTTCCAAATGGTTCTCAACATTGTCGTCGTCACGTAATTGTAACAAACTTTGAATACCTCTGGACTAATCAATTGTTCAACTTTTTTTACAACATTTGTAGTACTTTGCCGTTAAATGTTTGCGAAATATACTGTCATACGTATTCCAACTATACTATTCTAACGGATTAAGAATACGGAATGTTACCAACCCTGTTCATCCCGTGGGTGTCGTAAGAGCCGACTAAGGGACTAAACTACAAGACAACAGCACTGCAAAGAGAAGGAAAACTTGAAACAAACCCTATACCAACTCGTCTGACCAGCGTGGTATAGTAGGCCAAAACCTCCTTTCTAAGGAGAGGCCTATGTCCAGCGGTGGACTATTATAGGCTGTTTATTAATTGATTGATACTATTCTGACTATAATGTCATATGCGAATAAGGTAGATAGCCTTGTTGTACGGGAATTAATATATTTTTATGTTCCCGACCAACATATGCGTGCCGTTGGAAGACGACAACATAGACTCCTGAGATGTCCGCCTACGTGGCGCTCTCCCCAGGCTGACAATAGTCCCACTGCTATAGCAATTAGGCTTATCAATGAGTTTCTTCAGTATAGTCCAGATGCAGATATATTTTTTGACTCCTAAAGCATAATTTTAAAACATATTTATACTTATCTAAATTTTAAACAGTAATATTATAGTTCCTAAGTTGATGCAAGGTTGTTTTTGTTTACAAATTTAATGTTTTTCTTTTTGTAGGTCTGAGTTTTACAATTGTAATATTATGTAGTTTATTTTTGTTAAAATTAGCATAGATATAAGCAATTTGGTGTACACTGTGATGCTTATATTTTATTAATAAAGAATTGAATTGAATTGAATGTGCATAAAATACAAAAAATTTAAAATACAAAAATTGTCCGGTCCGTGTGGTGACGGATTAAGAATACAAAGTGACACCACCCCTATGCATCCCGTGGGTGTCGTAAGAGCCGACTAAGGGAAAAAGCTACGCAGAACAACAGCATTGCAGAGAAAAGGAAAACTTGACACAAACCCTTTTTTTTTTTTTTTTTTTTTTTTTTTTTTTTTTTTTTTTTTTTTTTTTTTTAACGTGTGGAAATCCCCTCGGACCGTCACCCCTCCGGGGTTTGCGGCGGGGTGGTGTGTCGGACTCGGACCGACTAAAACCACACGGTGTGCCACTCTGCGCCTGTAACAGGAGGGATCCGGGAACAGCTGTTGTTAAGACATCCGGACCCCTCCTAGCGCCAGCCCGCTCCTGGTGCGGGCTCCGTCTCAATGTGGATGTTCCTCTCTTTAGGCGACGTCCGGCACACGCGGACGCCGCCCCCTCGCGGCTGGCCAACTAATGCGGGTGGAGGGGAAACCCACCCCGTCCACCCGCGGCCACACTCAGGGCGGCATGAGGCTGTGGTAGGCGGGCCTCCGCCGCCCGGTTCGCCGGCGGCGGATCGGGTCCGAGTGGAGGTCGTCCTCCCGGGCCCTCTCCGCCGCCTCCTTCCGCGAGATTACTACCTCGCAGAAGGTTGCGACCGCGGTAAAACAACTGTCGCTACCGGCCATGGAGCGTACTACGGCCGGTAGCGAGAGATCCACTCCGATGACTGCAGTGAGGGCCCGGCGCTGCGCCGCCCATGCGGGGCAGACCGCCAGCGTGTGCTGGGCCGAGTCCTCACTGCAGTCGCAGTGGTGGCAGGCGGGACTCAGTTCCCTCCTAGCGACCGTGTGCAGGTACCTTCCGAAGCAACCGTGCCCGGAAAGCACCTGCGTCAGTCGGAAGGAAAGGGTCCCGTGCTGCCGCCCTGCCCACTCGGCGATGACCGGCTGGAGAGCCTCCACGGCGGCGAAGCCAGCGCGTGGAGTCTCCAGCCGGAACGACCAACGAGCCATCGTGGCTCGGCGAGCGGCTTCGCGCCACTCGCGCACATCCTCGGGCGGAGGGCGAAATCCGCTCTCCGCCCGGAAGTCAGCCACTCGCCGATAAACTTCGGCGAGAGCACTTCCGCCTCCAAATCCCACGGGGGAGTTCCGGCCAACGCGCATGCCACCTCCGTAGAAACGGTGCGGTAACCGCGTATGGCTCTGACCGCCATTACCCTCTGAGGGCGCCAGAGGCGTACCCTATTCTGGGCGGTCAGAGCCGCCGCCCACACCGGTGCACCGTACAGCGCCATTGACCGGACAACCCCCGTGTACAGCCGTCTTGTCGCGACGCTGGGTCCACCCATATTGGGCAAGAGTCGCCCTAGGGCAGACGCAGCGCCGACCAGCTTTGGAGCAAGCTGTCGGAAGTGCTCGTCGAAGAGCCACCTCCCGTCGAGGATCAGGCCCAGATATTTCATCTGGGCCCGAACCGGTACGAGGACCGAGTTGACCACGATTGAGGCGCCAGGGGGTGGACCACGACGGGGCCCATGGAATAACAGGGCCTCCGTCTTATCTAGGGCCACCCGTAAGCCCAGCGCCTCAATGCGCCCGACCACCAGGGAGACTCCCCCTGTGGCCAGGCGCGCCGCCTCTTGGAAGTTTGCCCCCCGGGCTGTCACGAGGGTATCGTCTGCGTAACAGATTACACCCAGCCCGGGGGGGAAATCGGCGCGAAGGGCCCAGTCGTACCCTATGTTCCACAAGAGGGGTCCAAGAACAGACCCCTGTGGAACACCGCACGACATGGGCCGACTCCTCAAATTACCTTCTCGGTCCTCGTACACGACGGTACTGTTACACCCTGTCGATGTAGGCATTAGGGCTGACTAACAGACCCTGGTCTTGCTGAGTCAGCATTGATAAAACCGATGTATAAGCCCTGAGCGCATCGGAGCGTCAGTCTACAATCGAACTCGGTTCGGGTCGGATTCATTATTCTAATTCCTAAATATTTCTATTTCCTTTATTTAATTCAAATAAATAACCTTCAGTGTTTTAAATACTTTTTTTTAAAAAGCTAACTTCAAGGTCCCGCATAACATTTTGGTGGCAGCGGTGGGATTTCGAAAATCCCTCACCCAAATACGTCTCTGAAATCAACTCGTAAATTGTGTTAAAAACCCTAATGAAGTGCTAAACCCAGTTTCCAAAAGTGAGTGCAGATAAATACTATACTAGTCAACCATTTCGTATGACCAACTTGTGCAAGTGCTTTAAGTGAAGTCTGAAGCTGATTCATACACGGAAGTCCGTGTTATCCAGCTGTGTGTAACTACTGGCTGCAGACCAGACGAGCATCTCATCATGATCCTGTTCCTAAGTGCGCTGTTCCAGTGAGTCAAACATCATAAATCGCTATAGAGAATTTCCAACTGAACTCAAAGCCACACTCAACAACGTAACTGCATTTTTTTTGTACAATCCTAATATTAACTTTAATATAATACAATATCATATTATTAATTCTTTCTATCGCTGTAGAATTGTAGACTAAATACTGCAATCAGATTGTTTATATTAACCATCCGGACACCGTGCAGTGACGCACAGATAAGGTCTCAATTCTTAGTTCTAAGCTAGCTTAGTGTGGATAAGATTTTTTACATACATTATTTTTGTTATTAATCTATATCTTGTGTTGTATTCAACTAAATCGTCATAATGACAACCAGGAGTGATGCCAAACAGGAAAAACCCGAAAAAACTACTAGTGTTCCCAGCGACGGTTCTACGTCACGCGTAGAAACAATAGAAAAAATAGAATTAAATGTTCTACTTAAATTCATAAAACCATTCGACGGGTCCAGAGAAAAGTTAAACCCATTTATTTCCAACTGTCAGAGTGCGTATAATTTAGCTAACAAATTCCAAAAACCAATACTATTCAAGTACATACTAAGCCAACTAACTGATAGGGCCGAAAGTACGTGCAGTATAAAGGAATTTGAATGTTTCGAACAGTTCATAGAATTCTTAAAACAACAATTTGGAGACAGGAAGCATTATACTCACCTACTTTCCGAATTACAGGAATGTAAACAAGGTTCAACAGAAACGGTAAACCAGTATGCTCTTAAAATTGAGACAATATTGTCTAAATTACTCACTGAAATTAAAATGTCAATTAAAAAGAAAACGGAAATGGCGGGCCGCGTTGCAGCAATGGAGGACCTCGCGTTACACACATTCACCGTAGGTCTCCACCCACGACTCTCCCAGATAGTGCGTTGTCGTGACCCTGATTCATTAAATTCAGCTGTAGGATTTGCAGTAGCCGAAGAGAAAATATTATCAGCCTCTTACAGGAAAGTAGCCTTACCAAATTCCAACTACGCCGAAAGGACCAAATTCACTCCTAAACGTGATTTTCAAACGCAGTTACATCGCCCCCGAAACACACAAAATCCGCGACCCGACTTCACAAGGAAAATAAACACGGGGGATCTAGTCTGCCGTTACTGTAAGAATATAGGACACGCAATTGAAAACTGCCGTAAACGACAGTATAATAATAGCCGATATCAACCTAATACTCCGACGCCAAATAACTTGCCTCAAAATTCACCTCACAGAACCTTTACCGTTGACTGCTCAGATGATACGGGAGTTGATGAAGTCGATCACAAAGAACATTTAAACTATTAAAATTTCCCGTCCGGTATCGCCCGGGAAATTACCCTTACAAAATCAAAGTCGGTACCTCTAACCCCTCTGTATCCACTGTATCTAAAAAGTCAAATAAAAACGACATTTCAACCACACATGCTACAACATACAGTAATTCAAAATCACTGAATCCTCTGAATCCTACTAAATCACTGAATCCTCTGAATCCTACTAAATCACTGAATCCTCTGAATCCTACTAAATCACTGAACCCTACTAAATCCCTGAATCCTCTGAATCCTACTAAATCACTGAATCCTCTGAATCCTACTAAATCACTGAATCCTCCGAACCCTACTAAATCACTGAACCCTCTGAATCCTAACGAATCTTCTTTAGAACCCCCCTCCTCCAATCCAGAAGCAGAATTTCCACACCCACGAATTCTGAAACAAAAGGAACGTAACATTCGAATTTATGAAATTAATAAAAACACAGAGAAAAGATACTTACCACATGTTATCGTCCAAACTCCTGTCTCAGATAAACCCCTTTCTTTTCTAGTTGACACGGGTTCTTGCGTAAGTTTAATTAAATCAAGTTCTATTTCTAAAATGCCAAGGTTAAGTAATGTTATTATTACACTTAAAGGAATCGATCCCGGTGACGAAGTAACACCCACATTGGGGAGCTTTAAAATGCGCATATTTAATAATTCAATGAAACTTCATGAATTTCATGTCGTCGATGATATAAGCCTAAGTCACGATGGTATAATCGGAAACGACCTGCTTAAGAATTTTAGTTGTCAGGTCGACTACAGTAAAAGAATATTACAAATGGAAAATGATTCAATGAACTTAAACTTCTCTGAACCACTCTATACTATACCTCCTCGCACAGAAACTGTAATCGAATGTACTGTTAGTAACCCCGAAATCTTGGAAGGAGTAATTCTAGATCAACACATTTCCAATACCCTATTAATTGCAAACTGCATTGTCAAGGTTAAAGAGAATAATCGCGTTAACATAACAATAGCCAATACTTCGGAGGAACCTGCCGTTCTTCATTCTGACCTCAACCTTACTTTAGAAGAATTACGCGTTCAACCTTACTCACCTCTTTCTAAATCATTACCAAGTCCCAATTCCCTCACCAGAACCAATGAAGTTATCAAACAACTCAGAACCTCCCATTTGAACCGTGAAGAAACGGAAAGCCTGTTACAAGTCTGCTCTGATTATTCTGATATCTTCCATCTCCCAAACGAACAACTTACCTTTACTACAGCCACTGAGCATCGAATTAGGACAAGCACAGACGTCCCAATCCAAACTAAATCCTATAGGTTTCCAGAATGCCATAAGAAGGAAGTAGAAAACCAAATTAATAAGATGTTGGAACAGAACATAGTAACGCCATCAGATTCACCCTGGTCTTCACCAATCTGGGTAGTTCCCAAGAAATTAGACGCATCAGGCCAACGAAAATGGAGAGTCGTAATCGACTACAGAAAGCTGAATGACGTTACAATAGGCGAAACTTATCCCATTCCACAGATAACCGAAATTTTAGATCAGTTAGGGAAAAGCCAATATTTCACTACATTAGACCTGGCATCTGGATTCCATCAGATACCTATTTCCCCAGAGGATGCAGCTAAAACCGCCTTTTCAATCCCACAAGGTCATTTCCAATTTACAAGAATGCCCTTTGGTCTAAAAAACGCCCCTTCTACTTTTCAAAAATTAATGAACACATGTCTCTCAGGCCTTCAAGGCTCTCGCTGTTTCGTATATCTTGATGATATCGTGGTATACGCACCAGACCTCCCCTCAAGCATACAAAACCTGACTTGCATCTTTGAAAGACTTAGAAGATATAATTTAAAACTACAACCTGAAAAATGTGAGTTTTTACGTAAAGAAGTCGCATACCTAGGGCACATTATAAATAATGAAGGCGTAAAACCAAATCCAGAGAAAATAAAAGCTATCATTGAATTCCCAATACCAAAATGTGCAAAAGACATAAAATCCTTTCTCGGACTCGTATCCTATTATAGACGCTTCATTCCAGATTTTTCTAAACTAGCTAAACCCCTAACATCCCTACTAAAAAAAGATACACCTTTCAACTGGGAAAATAAACAACAATTAGCTTTCGAGAATTTACAACATAAACTTACTACCTCCCCAGTATTAGCTTATCCCGACTTTACACAACCTTTTATACTCACATGCGATGCTTCAAATTACGCTGTATCTGCCATCCTCTCCCAAGGACAAATAGGAAAAGACCGTCCAATAGCTTACGCATCTCGAACACTCAACAAAGCTGAATGCAACTATAGCATCACCGAAAAGGAATGTCTCGCAATAGTTTTCGGCACTAAGGCATTCCGACCCTATCTTTATGGACATCGATTCACTATAGTCACTGACCACAAACCCCTACAGTGGTTGTTTAACTGCAAAGACCCAGGTTCAAGGCTTATCCGCTGGCGTTTAAAATTAGAAGAATTTGATTATAATATAGTACATAAACGAGGCAAAATAAATTCCAACGCCGATGCGCTATCCCGATTCCCGGTCAACCCTGTAGAAGGAGAATTACTAGTCCCCGATACCTTATCACCGAATCCCATTTCCGAAAATCCACTAGAGGATCCACTTTTAGAACTACCATTTCATATCCCTACTACTTTCGATGATGAAAACTTATTAAATGAAAATGTCAGTCGTAACCCTACTTCAGATACTGCGGTAAACCCTTATCAAAACCCAATTCCTGGTCCCAGTACTGTTCCAGACTTCCCGTTAACCCCAGAAGTAGAACCAGAACTCATAGACTTAGGCCCTCTAGACTTAAGCCCTCGAAGTGCAGATCTCGACCTAGATCTCGAAGGTCTCAATATCCCTTCACCGACAGACCTCATTCAACGACCTAGCATGAACCTGAATAATGACGACTATTCCAAATTCCTAAAAACGATTAGTAACAAAGAGAGCGTTTTTGACACTGTCCTAAAAGAACACAACGAGAACCTATTAAAATTCCCCCATAAAATAATTCTAATTCCTACTTCCATTGATCTGGACGAATCCAATCCCTACGTCTCTGAAATTCTAAACGACAACCCAAATAGAGATGAAATCCTTAACGCGGAAAAGGAACCGAATTCATTTCTCAACACTAAATTCGCAGACAAGGAAATTTATTTATTGTTTACCAAAGTACACCATTTCGACGAATCGTCTTACCCTGATATATACGATAGCCTGAAACGAGTAAGAGATCTTATTTTACAAAACGGACCTGTATCAGATATCGCAGTTTCGGATTTTAAAAACCCTTTCGATCAACATTCATACACTAAAATTTACAATATCCTCACCTACGTATTCCACAATACTAAAATCTGTATACACATTTATCTAAATAAAACAATCTACCCAACTCTTAGCGAAAGATCCAAAATTTTACGGGAAAATCATGATATCCCTGTAGCCGGTCATTTAGGTTCAACACGTATGTACAGTAGGATAAAAGAACAATATTACTGGAAAGGAATGAGAGGAGACATAGAAGACTATGTTAAGAAATGTAAAATGTGTCAAGAAAACAAAGCATTAAGGAAACTCAATAGAGCTCCCATGGAAATTACCACTACTGCAACTGCTCCATTCCAGAGAGTCGCATTAGATTTAGTAGGACCTTTACCCGAATCCGGCTCCGGAAAACTTAAATACATTATGACCCTGCAGGATGATCTCACTAAATATTCTATAGCCTATCCTCTTCGTAGTACGACAGCAGAAGAATCAGCAGATTGCCTAATTCATTTTATCTCCCTTTTCGGAATCCCCAAGTCAATCCTCACTGACCAAGGCACTAACTTCACTTCAGATCTCTTCAAAACCACTTGTCGATTTCTGAAAATCAAACAGCTATGGGCGTCCCCTTACCACCCTCAAACACAAGGCGCTCTGGAGCGCAGTCATTCTACACTGAAAGAATATTTGAAATCCTTCGTAAACCAAAATCAAGATAACTGGCCCACATACGTTTACACTGCTATACTCACATATAACACAACGATACATTCTACTACTAAATTCAGTCCATATGAGTTAGTTTTCGGACACAAACCCTTTATACCCAGTTCTGTATACGAAAGTAGCGCCGGTACAACATACTCAGACTATATCCGAATGCTAAGCCACAAATTTAAATACACTAGGGAAAAAGCTCACGAAAATATTCTAAAATCCAAACAAACATCGAAAACTTACTACGATTCCCGAACCAGAAGACCGCCTCAATACAAAGCCGGTGATTTCGTTTATCTTAGAAATCATTTAAGACTCAGAAAAGCTCTGTCTCCCATTTGGAAAGGACCATACAAAATAATAAAGGTACACAACAACAACACTGTCACACTCCTGATTAACAGAAGACACATAAGACACCATTTTGACGAAATCAAACCTACAGAAATCTCACAACCTTCTACTTCTACTACTACTACTTAAATTCAAAAGAAATATTCATTTATTTCATTTTCTTTTCAGCGCTTCAACTTATGCGCATCCAGACTTTGTCAAGCCATACCCTTCTAACTCTGGCATCTTCTTCGACACCATAGGCAAACTTAAAATCACCAGAGGCGAATTAAATATAGTTAGTTACGTAGATATCTCTTATATAAGTCCGCATTTAACCAACTTAAATGAAATTATAACATCTGTTAGATTAATGTGTCATAAAACTAATGACCCAGAATGTAAGAACACCCTATCCCCACTCACAGTGCGTTTCCAAGACATAAAACGTGAATATGACTCTATCTCTCACTTAATTTCAAAACGAAACAAACGGTCAGCATGGTTTGGTGGTATAGGGACCGTGTTTAAACACGTTTTCGGGACCCTTGATGAAGATGACGCCTTAAAATATGACTCCGCCATAGAGATAGTCCAACAAGATCAGAAGAAAATCGCAGAACTCATGAAAGAAAATATCTTAATTACTACTTCCACACTAGAATCCTTTAAACAGACAATGACTACCATAAAAAATAATGAAGATATTCTCAGCGACTCTATAAATAAAATCCTGATAAACGAACATAATCTTACCGAAATAACTAACACCCTACTAACCCAAAATAAAGTCCATTCCGTATTAGCCAACCTCGAGAGTTCCCTATTAATATTATCCTTCCAATTAGAAGATTTGATCAACGCCATAATTTTAACTAGCCAAAATATACTGCACCCAAATATTTTAACCCCAGCGCAACTGCACAAAGAGCTCGTCGATAACGATAGACACCTACCTGGGAACACTGAAATACCTATTCCTCTAAGCTTAGATAATATACACTTAATATTAAGTATATCCAAGGTTGCTTGTCTTTATTATAATAATAAGTTAGTTTTTGTGTTACAAATTCCTTTAGTTACTAATGACGATTTTAACTTGTATCACAGTATACCTCTACCTACTCCTCACGGAGGAGACAGTCCTAACACTTATAGTCTTATATCTCCCTCAAATCCTTTTATTGCTATGTCTAAAGATAAGTTAAGTTTCTGTAATTTAAGTGATTTAAGTAAATGTAAAGTTGTAAGCTTTGAGTTCTATCTCTGTGAAATATCTACGGTGTTGTCGACGAATAGTCACCCTACATGTGAAAGCGAACTGTTAACTAAAACACTCAGTGGCATTCCTGTGCAGTGTAACACGAAGACAATATCTGGTGAACTCGACATCTGGAAACCAGTCACTAATAATCGATGGATTTTTGTGCAATCGTGTCCAAACAAAATCTCTATAGAGTGTGGTGTCACTGAACTAAAAGAGATAATAGTGGTCGGCACCGGAATCCTTCAAACCCCCAATCAGTGCACAGTGTATACAAAAAGCGCAAGACTTATTTCCCCTATTAACTCTATTAATATAAGTGTCCCTAGTCCTAATTTAGATTTTAACATTATTAATGACTCATGTTGTGTATTAAATGGTAGTTTATTAAATAATGTTATTCCTGTTAAGTTAAATAACATAGATTTGGATGATCTAACTGTAAAAACTCATTATGATAACTTGTTTCCCGACCTCAAGAATATTATAAATAAAAACCCTGTATTTTCGAGTTACGAGACTCGTCACACTGTTTTCACATCAATTATTTCTTGTATTGTATTTTCTTATGTATTGTTTAAATTAAGTAAAATTGTTTATAAATATAAGAATAGATTTAACAATTCAAATTCAAATCCGACCTCTACCGATAACGATGACAATTTCCAAAGTAGGGATTCACCCCTACCATTGCCGCGACTGAGGGAAGTCGCCTAACTATTCCTGAACTTCGATTTTTCCTCGAACTTCAGTTTTCCGCGGGGGGTTGTTACACCCTGTCGATGTAGGCATTAGGGCTGACTAACAGACCCTGGTCTTGCTGAGTCAGCATTGATAAAACCGATGTATAAGCCCTGAGCGCATCGGAGCGTCAGTCTACAATCGAACTCGGTTCGGGTCGGATTCATTATTCTAATTCCTAAATATTTCTATTTCCTTTATTTAATTCAAATAAATAACCTTCAGTGTTTTAAATACTTTTTTTTAAAAAGCTAACTTCAAGGTCCCGCATAACAGTACGCTCCTCTAAGTAGTCTGCCACTAGCCGCCTCAGGTACTTTGGCACCCCATGATAGTGGAGTGCTTCCCTGATGCAGCTGAATGGCAGACTATTGAATGCGTTGGCGATGTCTAATGACACCGCCAACAGCACGCCGCCACAGCTCACTGCCTCTTCGGTCACGGCCCTCAGGCGCAACACGGCGTCGACTGTCGAACGCCCCGCCCGAAAACCAAATTGGGCGTCCGACAGATCGGGGCCCACCTCGCAGAGGTGCCGGACGATGCGGGCAGAAAGAACCCTCTCAAACAATTTGCCCACCTCGTCCAGCAGCACGATGGGCCTATAGGCCGCGACCGAATCGGCAGGCCGTCCCGGCTTCTGCAGCAGGACCAGCTTCCCGCATTTCCAGCGCTCAGGGAAGCGTCCGGACGCCAGGCTAGCGTCCAACACCCCCCTGAGGTGGTCCGACATGTAGTCGAGGGCTCGGGCCATCACTCGGGCTGGAACCCCGTCCGGCCCGGGGGCGGTGTTCTTGGATCGAATCCGTAGAACAGCCGCCCCCAACTCCGATTCCCTGACGGGCGGAACATCTACCTCGCTGCCCCCGTCGTCTCCGGCTGATGCAGCCATCGACGGGGGTGTGTGCTCCGCCCGCTGCGGGAATAGGCCCTCGACCACTACCTGCAGGAAGCTGGGCTGGAGAGTCTCCGTAAGGGGGGGGCCCGACGCGCGGAGCTTTTGTCGCACCGCGCGGTAAGGGCGACCCCAGGGGTCACGATTAAGACCCTCCAGCATCTCCTGTCTCTTTTCCTCTTTGGCGCGGCTAATGGCCAGCTTCAGAGTTTTCCGCGCCCGCCGGTACTCCTCATGAAGCCGGTCCTCCTCACCGTCTCCACGGTGACGCCGCCGACTGCGTGTGTAGGACCTCCGGGCACGTGTACAGGCCGCACGGAGGTCCGCCAGCTCCTGGGACCACCAGTAGACCTCCTTCCTTGGAGGCCGACGACCTCGAATGCGGGGCATGGCCGCATCGCAGATATGCGTAATCGCATCGCGAAAGCGGCCAGCCCCCACGTCGACCTCCTCGGTCGGAGCCTGAGGAGACAGCCACGAGTGAATTATGGCTGCCTCCTCTAGTAGGTCCCGGTTCAGTCTGGCAACAGCCCACCGCGGAAAGCGGGATAAACGCCGCGCCACGTGACCCCTACTGGAGTCCTGGGTCCGGGAGAGCTCAAATCGGATATACAGGTGATCCGAGAGCGTCTCAACCTCTTCCAGGACACACCAGTTCCTTACTCGTGCGGCGAGGGCAGGGGTAGCGAACGAGAGGTCCACTATCGACCCCCCCTGCTGTCGCACGCACGTGTTGGTGGAGCCTCTGTTTAGAAGACAGAGGCCCACCGAGGCCGCCCACTCCTCTACGGCCTCGCCCCTTGCGTCCGTCCTGGGGGAACCCCACGCAATGGACTTTGCGTTGAAGTCCCCCAGCACAAGGACGTGCCCAGACGCTAGTCGCCGTATCGAGGTCTCCAAGCTGGTTAGGAAAACCTCGAAGTCGTTCAAACTCCGGTTGGGGGAGAAATAAACACCATATATGGTGATCCCCCCCCACTCGACGGCAACATATCCAGTGCCCTTGTCTCTTAGCGACAAGGGCGGGGAATGAGCCGTCGTGGAACCGACGACTGCCACGGAGCCGTCCCAGTCACCCATCCAGTTTGGACGGGGAGGGACAGAATAGGGCTCCGCGACTACGGCAACACCTATCGACCACTGTGCCATGGTTTGCAGGAAGAGATCCTGCGCCGCGGCACAGTGGTTCAGGTTCGTCTGGACCAGGAGGCTGGAGACCCGATCCATTACTGGATAGTCTCTACAGCCTCCTCCATGGGCGACGACGTCGACGCACGAACTACATCGGAAGCAGCCTGGGTCGACTGGCTAGCCCCCGATGCTTGCTGAGAGTTGCGGGGAGGCTTGCAGCCCCCCTGCCCCATCTGATGATTGGCGGGCTTGTTACCCGCCGCACACACCGGGCAGTGAGGGGCGGCAGAGCATTCCACCGCCACATGCCCCGGTCGACCACAGCGGAAACATAGTCCGCTGCAGTCGAAGCAGCTTTGGCACTTGACGCGCGTGTGCCCCGATGCTAGGCATTTGTAACACCTCATCGGTCTCGCCGCCAGGACTGTGATCCTAGCGCTCACGAAACCGATGAGCAGCCTGCCGGCGTCGGCCAATACTTTGGCCGACGCTACGGGACAGCTGACCCACACGGCGCCAAGCCCCCCTGGACCGGGGCGGATGGTGCCGACCCTGACGTTGTCCGCGCTGCACCCCGTCTTCTCCCGGATTACAGCGCGGACATCTTCGGCCGTCACAGAGTCGTCCAGGCCCGAGATGCGCAGCTCCGCGCACTTGGTAGGCCTGGCGATCTTGACACCATCTGTGGCCGCGAATAAACCCCGCAGCCTCTCAGCGAAAGTGTCCGCCGTCTTGGCGCCTTCAGCCCCTGGGAACTCGAGAACTCGAGCTCCCGTTTGGGCGAGGCGCATCCTGACCCCCACCGTCCCGAAGTCGTTGGCGAGGCTGTCCCGCGCCTTTTTAAAAACGGCCGCGTAGGACAACCCGCCGTCAGCCGCCTCCGGGGACACGGTCACCACTACAGCCGCGGTTTTGGGCGGCTGCAGCTTCCGCGGCCTCTTTGCAGAGGCCGTTGCCACCGGTGGCGAAGGCTGGGCTTGGGCTGCTTTTTGGGCAGCCCTTCTGGCCCGCCTTCGGGACTTCTTGGAGCCCCTCGCCTCCTGCCAGCCCTCGTTGGAGGGGGCAGGTGCGGAGGGGCCCGGCAGGGGTGTCGGAGTGGGGAGCGGAGGGAATGCCACTCCGCTCCTCGGCGCCGTTTTAGGCCCCGTCTTGGCCGGCACTTTGGCCTGCGCCTTGGCCGGCGCCTGGGACGGTGCCTTGGCTGGCGCCTGGGCCGGTGCCTTGGCCCCCCTCCTCGGCTTTTGGGGAGCCGATGGAGTCGGGGCAGACGCCGCCGCCGCGTAGGAGACGCGGCCTCCCACTACGGGGAGCGCGGTCGGAGCGGCGGCCTTAGGCCGCTGTGTCGACGCGAGCGGGGGGCGCACAACCGGCGCAGGGGGCAGTCTCGCCTCCAGGCCAGCCAGGCGTCCGTCCAGCATATTCCCAACTGCGATGAGGATTTCTCGCAGTTGGGAGTCAAATGCCCCTGAGTTGGTAGTAGGGGCAGGCTGGGACGCGGACGGGGCTTCCCGCTCGGGGAGGTTCGCCTGGAAGCGGGCGAACTGAGCGCTCAGCTCGTTCACCCGCTCCGTCAGCCTCTCGTTGGCCACCTGCAGGCGAGACACATCGCCCACTAGGCTCTCCACGACCTCCGACAAAGCGGAGGAGGAGTCCTTAAGGGCCCTCACAAACGAGCCCTTAAGGTTCACGAACTTGGTGGCCACCTTGTGGATGACGGCCACCGCCGCTTTCGCCCTCTCCTGCACGGACACGGAAGCCTGGGGGGCATTTTCCCCCCACCGGCTCCCGAACCTTGAGCAGGAGATCCGCGATCTCCTCCTCCGCTACGGCCTCGCCGTCCACTCGTACATTCCTGTACGACTCCGCGTTTGAGAACGCGGAGCCTGACGGGGTCGAGACCGAGGCCGAGGCAGGTTTGCGTGCCCTCCCTCGGCGGCTGCTTGCCACCTTCGGTGGCATCATCTCCTGGGACGTGTCGGTTTCCTCGTCCCTGGAGCGTCCTCGTTTCCGGCTGTCGCTTCGCTCCGCCTCCATGGCGTCAGCGCCATCCGACGAAACGGCGGATCCGGAGCGCAGCCGATCTGATGCTCTTCGGCTCCCAGAGACCAGCGTCAGACTGACTTCTGGGAGCCCCATCGAGATAGGCGTCCCCGACGCCACCTCACCCTCAGTGGACGACCCATCCGCTCCACTGTTCTGCTTCTCCTTCCTTCGCTGTGCTTCCTTTTCCATTAGGCTTGCCTGTTTTCGTTGTGTTTGTCCGATCGTTTTCTTTTGGTTTTTGTTAGCATTTTCCATAGTAAATCCCACGAGTGGGGGAGAACTAGAGGTCCACCCGGGCAGAGATCCCCCATTACCCGGGCAAGCGTAAGTTTTTAACCCAACCGAGGGGTCCGCAGGTACCTCGGCTTGGAGTGCGCTCGCGACTGAACTTCCCATCAGCCATGCATCCCCTGGCCACGCACCAGAACACGGGATTCGGGGAATTTTTTAGAGAGGTTATCTTCCTCGCGGTCCGGGCGGTTAAGCCAAGACCCTCGCCCCCGATCAGAGCCGCGAGACTTAACCACAGCGCTCTTCTCGGGATTACGATATGCCGACGGTTGACAGGGAGACTACGTCCCCCTGCCTGCTCGGTGGTAGTGTGAGTACACGCCGAGCCCGTCCTCCTTTCTCCACCGCTGTCAGCGGAGAAACTGTGGCCCCTACAGGGCCCCGCCATCAGGTTTTTTACCGAGGTTTCCTCCTCCATGCTCCGAAGAGCGAAGAGCCAGCAGGGCAACCGGCAGACACGCCCACCCTGCTGGACCAGGCCTTGCCCGAGAGCCGATGAACGGCTACCTCTTCTGCTAGAATATTGGCCGCTGGCGATAATCCTCTCCTCCAAGAGGACAAGGAGGAAACAGTACCATCGCCAGCGTTTCCAGGGTGCACCACGAGGAGGTTTTCTAGCCCGCACCCCAACACAAACCCTATACCAACCCGTCTGGCCAGTGTGGTATAGTAGGCCAAAACCTCCTTTCTAAGGAGAGGCTTATGTCTAGCAGTGGACTATGACAGGCTGTTGATGATGAATTGAATGTATTTTCCTAACCGATTTCGATTATCGTGACCATGTGATTAGTGTTCTGCTCTCAAGTGACTGATGTATCCTATGCTGGCAAAGAATTTACGATCACATTACGGACAGGTTAAAACACCATTAATGTAATGGTAGTTTATAGTGGTAGTGCAAGTCCGAGTTTTGTATACATCGGGCCTGGTATCCAGCTCTTTTCTTTATTTATGCTATAAAAACCAAAAGGCGAAATGTCATAAAAAGGTCATAGCTCAGAACCACCCGGCGCCCGAACAGCTCGGGTTAATATTCCTTACATGGAGTACTACACTTAAACACTCACCACATCAACTCCGGAGCGCCTCGCCCGCGGTTTGATCATGCTCGTACAGTGAGTGGACCGGACGTTTCCGCAAGTAGTACATACGCGAGGACGCTGCACACTGCCTCTCCTCAAACGTGTCAGTTGTGTTATGGTTAACAACCATGGAGTGGACCACACGTCGACAACGAGTGGACACCGAGTCGAGGCTGTTTTGGCCGGGAGTCGGGTGGGTGTAACGACCCACCTTTATGTTATAGATAACACGCAATATCAGAATAAGCTCATAAATACTTATTTTTTAGGAAAGATTTGGGATGATTGTGAAAATAAAAATGATATACAGTTTTTTTTTTAAATATAGGCCTATGAAGACCCAGCAACACTCGCTCGCATTGAGACGGTGCCACTACAAATTTGGTAGGCGCTTAAACACTTGTAGTGCAAGAAAAACACATAATGCACAATTTCAAGTTTTGCTGTATGTTTTGTTTTGCGCCTTGAGTACCAATTACGTAATATTATGTTTATTTAATGTAACACTTTCATAATGTTTTTGAAAGACCAATTTGACAATCCCCTACATTCTACTATAGGTACGCGAGAAAAAACATGCTTTGTATTTGTGTATAGGGCAGTTGCCTAAAAAAATATCGGACTGAAAAACATAAACGACGAAACTGAGAGGTTGGTCTAATTCTATAAACAAAAATATGTATTATATTAAATTTTCATTTTTATTAATAATAACACAAAATGATAAATATCTTATGTTCCTTACAGAGGTACAATAAGATACGGATGTTATGGATGATGTATGGTCGGATTTCCCTTTAATAAATCGGGCCCATTCTTATGTCAATTTCAGGTTCTGTTTCGGGTTCTTCAGTAGATTGTTTGTCATCTTCAATATCAGTATCACAGTTTCGAAAGTATTTTGTTCCATCTTCTGCACTAGCAATATCGCAAACTTCAGGGTAGTCTGGTCTCTTTTCACAAATGAACGGGTAATGTATCTCACACAACATGTCATTCAATAGGCCGTTACGTAACAATGATCCACAATATTCACCCGTTGTCGCATTATCTGGTTGTCCTGGAGAAAATTTAGCAAAACCAGCTTCCTGCAGTGGATGACCTGCATAAAGAATTTATAGTTTTTTAGAATTTATAGATCTTTTATGTGATAAAAGTAGCCAATGTTACTTTCTGATAATATATATTTCTATTGGTGAAAGAATTTTTTAAATCAGTTTAGTGATTTAGGCGCGAAAGCGAAATAAATCAAGATTTCATCACATCACATCAACAGCCTATACTAGTCCACTGCTGGACATAGGCCGCTCCTTAGAAAGGAGGTTTTGGCCTACTATACCACGCTGGCCAGACGGGTTGGTACAGGGTTTGTTTCAAGTTTTCCTTGTCTTTGCAGTGCTGTTGTCCTGCTTAGTTTGCTCCCTTAGTCGGCTCTTACAACAACAAGATTTATTGTACCAAAAATCTGTTAAAAGTCCTTTGAGTTTAAGGAAAAAAGAATATTAATAATTAAGATAAATAAAAAAGTACCATCAAGAGTTCTCCAGTCTGCACTCTCGTCCCAATCGTGAAATCCGATAAATGCAGTGCTACCGAAAGTTCCCAAAAATTTTGATAATGGATACTTGGCGTAAAGTTCATTGATGAATTTTAATTCTTCGTCACTGTTAATGATTACAAGGTGACCGCCTTCAGCAGAACAGGCAAACTGGGCTCTTTTGAATGTTCGCCGATTGGTATGAAATTTGTAGCATTTTTTTGTCTGATTGCTAAATAAATATTCTAAAAAAATAGTCAAGTTATTATCACACATTTTCTTGTTTCAATAACGTTTCAAGATATAAATCTACTCGTACATTATTTCATAAAACTAGTATAATTATCCCTATTTACCTGGATCTGGAGTACCACAATTAGTGACATCAACCTTTGAATGTCTCCTGTAACATATATAAGGACGAGGCTCCTCGCATCTTACATCAGAGAACTTTCCATCAGAGTTTAGGGTCAAGCATTGCTCAGCATTATTTTTATTGTCAGGTTCGTATGGAGCCCATTCATGAGGTATACTGGAAAGTGGTATACCTGAAATGAATTATTTTTGCTGTAATTGAAATCAAACTGTTTAATTGTTTTTGGAGAACCTCAAAATTTGCAAATTAACAAGAAGAGAAGAGCAACAGCCAAAAATGCATTCCAATAAACTGCTATCAACAAAGAGTACAAAAGTTTTCAATTATTCTGAGCTTATAAAGAGTGAATTGTATCATAAACCAGTTGGCAATGAATTAGGAGGATTATCACTTTCTAAGTTATATTGTTAGCTAGGCTTCAGCACATACGGGCCAGATCGACTGGACTGACACCACGTCCACAAATAAAACTGGAGTTAGACAATATTCTCGTTGCATTTCAAGCATTGATGGGACCGTTGGTTTAGTGTTTAGTGACCCTGACTGCTAAGTAACAGGTCGTGGGTTCGATTCCCACCCAGGTTAAATAATTGTGTGATGAGCACGATCATTCGCTCTGTGTCTGGGTGCAATTTATCTATATTATATATGTATTTAGGAATATATAAGTATGTTTATCAGCAGTCTGGTTACAATAGCACAGGCTCTGCCAAGTTTGGGATCAGACTGCAGTGTGTGAGGTGTGTGCAGTTAGTATTATTATTTTACCTAGTGAGCGAGGTTACCTAGCCCTGCATAACTCTAGGGAGATTGGGCGCTTAGAGGGCGGCAACATTCTTGTCTGTAGAGTATTCATGGACGGCTTTTTCTATTTACTGACCATCGATAGAATGATAGTTTCCCTTAGAGAAAGTAGCGTGGATCCCAGTCAAGATTTCAGGTTTGCAAAATGATTCCAACATAATGTTCTTCATCTCGGCTGTAGTAGGAGATGCTAATGTACCACCTGTTAATATAAAAGAAAAGTTAAATATTAAAGGCTTAAAAGACTATAAGCAAGTCCCATTAGCTATTTAGACTACACTACAAAGTAAATCTCTATTGGAGGCATCATTCAAAGCAGACTTTACTGTAAGGAAGAATATACAACTAGCTGTATCCTGCCAAGTTTCGCTGTGGCACTTTGATGAGAAATGAGAACAAACATGACGCAAAAAATAGATAAAATTAATCTTGGAAGTGGGTGGTATGAAGCTCAATCGGTACAGAACTTTCTGAGTTTTAAAGTTTATACAAACCAACTTAGTATAGACTGATTGCTAAAGATAGAGGACCGGATATTATGAACTGCATATATTGAGAAATGGTTTTGCAATAAGAGGCTGCTATAAGTTGGATGATTTAATGTTTTTACTCATAGTGTGTAGTAGATGATAGAACTGAATATTATCTATAATAATATACTAAAATATCTATATATCTAAATATGTTCAGTTGGTTTGTTTATGCTTCAAAAACTAAAAAAGTTCTACACCGATTGAGTTAATATTTTGACACAATATATAACCGCATCAAATATACCTAGTTGTATGTGTTCACCTAGTTATCTTTATAATAATAAAAGCTGATGAAGTTTGGTTTAGTTGAACACGATAATCTCAGGAACTACTGCTTCAAATTGAAAAATTATTTTAATGTTGGATAGACTCATCAGCAGCCCCGATCAGTCCACTGCTGGACAAAGGCCTCTCCTTACAATGGAGGTTTTTGCCTAGTATACCACGCTGGCCAGACGGGTTGATATATTTATTTATTTATTTAAAACTTTATGCACAAATGTGGCAAAGGCGGACTTAATGCCGTAGGCATTTTCTACCAGTCGACCTTAGGGCGATGCAGAGCCAAACGTGGTAGATGCACAGAAATTAAAAATGTGATTTATTAAAACTATAGCATATATAGAATATCATATAACCAGAGTACTTATATAAATAACATTGGAATAATTTTAAAGATAAATACAATAAGTAATACACATATAATACTAATACACATAATACATAAATATAGATACATATGCATTTATATACTTAAATACACATAATATAAATTCTAAATGGAGAGGGTATAAAATTAAGATGGATTTGACAGTGTGTTTAAAAAATGTTGCCGCAACAGGTATTTAAATGTTTGCCGAGTTTTTGCCATCCTGATCTCGAGAGGGAGCGCGTTCCATAACAGGACAGATTGTACCAAAAAAGTGGAATGTACGAAGTCAGACCGGTGAGTCGGACAGTGAAGAAGTAGGTTGTCTGAAGATCTAAGATTTTTAGCGTGGTTTGCACCTAGATATTGAATTTGAGAAGTGAGGTAGGAAGGAGAATTTGGGGAAAAGAGTAAAGAATATAGGGTAGTTAATGCTCGTGTCTGTCTGCGTTGGCGAATTGGAAGCCATTTCAAATGAGAGCGATGCTGAGACACGTGATCGTATTTGCGTAAATTGAAAACGAATCGAATGCAATTGTTGAGAAGACGGTCAAGCTTATTGAGCAGATCTGCATTCAGGTCAAAGTAGCACATATCACCATAGTCGATTATAGGGAATATAAGAGACTGAACAAGCATTACCTTAGTTTTCGATGGAAGAAAGTTTCTAAGTCTATAGAGGGCCCGCAGCGAACCTGTCACTTTCTGGCACACAGATGCAACTTGTTGTCGCCAGCTCAGAGTTGTGTCAATATACACTCCGAGGTCTTTCACACTCTCACAGTATGGAATAACCATGCCATCGTAGGTAAGTGGTGGAAGTGAAGCAAGGTCGAGCTGGCTCATAGCTCGGTTACTCCCGATGACAATAGCCTGACATTTATTTGGATTGACCGATACGCCAAACATATCAGACCAGTGTTTAATGGCTGTCAGGTCACTATTTATAGCCGAAATCGCGGACGATACATTGCACAACTCTGTCTGGTAGTATAGCTGCAAGTCATCAGCGTAGAGATGAAAGGAACACTGAAGTCTTGGGATGATAAGATTAATGAAGATAGAAAACAGAAGAGGTGAAAGAATACCGCCTTGAGGGACGCTAGCAGTAAGATCACACCAGCTAGAGGAAGAATCTTCGACACTGACTGACTGCTGACGATCCCGAAGGTAAGAGGAAAACCAGCCCAGTGCATCTTGAGAGACCGAGAAATGGGACAAATAGGACAGCAAGGAGAAGTTCATGACTGACGGTATTGAAGGCATTCGAAAAATCAACCAGTACTAAGGTAGTAACCTTAGTATTCTCCATCCCCACCTTAATATCGCCAGTCACTTTAAGAAGAGCAGATGCCGTGCTATGGCCTGGTCGAAACCCTGACTGAAAGGGACTGAGTAAGTTGTTACTGTAAATGAAGTGGGAGAACTGTTTGTGGACGCAGGCCTCTAGCACCTTGGAGAGGAAGGGAAGGATAGAAATTGGACGAAAGTGTGTGGGAAGAGACGGATTGGCAGTTTTAGGTAACGGGCGCACATACGCTCTCCGCCATAGAGAAGGAAATGTGCCAGACATGAGAGAAAAGTTAACAATATGGGAGATAGCGGGAAGGAGGTGGACAAGCAATGTGGTGATCATTTTCCGACTAATGCCATCACAACCAACTGCTTGGGATCTGATAGATTGAATAATCTTCTTAATCTCTCCTTCTGCAACCGGACTGAAGTGAAAAGGGTTTAAGTTAGGGCGCGGTAGACTATTTATGTAAGTACGGGTGTTATGTTCAGATACAATGTCTAACGTGAGAGAGGTGGTAAAATGTTGGTTTAGGGAATCGAGATTTATGGATTGTGGAAAGTCCACATGTCGCGATCTGCCGATACCAAGAGTCCCAAGGAACTTCCAGATGTCGGCAGGAGATGAAAAGGAAATATTATCTAGAATGTGGCGGCGTTTAGCGTTCCGTATCACTTGGGTACACCGATTCCTTGCAGACTTGTACAATTGCCAGTTGACTTCGATACGGTCCCTCTTATAAGTCCTAAATGCCCGATCTCGACGTCTCATGGCCATCTGTATACCCCTGGTCATCCAAGGTGCTGGCAATCGTTTAAGCCTAACCTTTTTAACCGGTGCATGAATTTCGTACAGTTTAGTCACTATTTCGTTAAATACGTGCACCTTGTCATCGATAGAAGTAGAATCGATCAGGGATGTCCAGTCAATATGTGACGCATCGTCATTCAATTTGTCAATATCCATTCGTCCAAAGCAACGCCTGTAAAGAATCCTAGGTTTGGGTTTAGGAGGTTTGAGAACGTAGGAGAGGAAAATCAGGTCATGATGTGAAAATCCGGAAGCGTCAAGCTGACCATGAGAGGAAACAAGGGAAGGATTAGAGGTAATAATTAAGTCGAGCCAAGTGTCCTCGCTGACATTATTGTGGTGAGTGGCCTGTAATGGCAGAACAAGAAAGCTGACCGACTCAAGAAGGAGTTGGAGTTTACAGGAACGAGTGGAGTTTCGGGCTAGGAGATTGGTATTAAAATCACCCATGATGACATGATGAGCGTACTCTGCACCCAGAGATTCAAGAACTGTTTCGAAATCAGTGAAATAGTCAATTTGAAGGGGGACAATAGACAACACCGAGTACAACCTTAACGCCTTTGACACAAACCTCTAAGAATAGGAATTCAGCAGAAGCATTATAATGAGAAGAGGAAGCTGATATAATTCTATAGGAAAAGTCACTCCGTAGGTAAATAGCCACGCCACCTCCCCCCTTTCCGATCCGATCGTTCTGGATAAGAATAAAGCCGGGCAGGGAGTAAGAAGTGGAGAGAAGATGGCGGATATAAGGTTTGTTGGTTTTCCTTCTTTTTGCAGTGCTGTTGTCTTGCAAAGTTTGCTCCTTTAGTCGGCTCTTACGAAACTCACGAGATGAATAGGGGTGGTGACACTCCGTATTCTTAATCTATTACCACACGAATAGACTATTTATCGAGGAAGGCTAAAGGCTATATAAACATTCGCCACAATCAAAATGAACCAACCATCAACAAAAAGTGTTGCAATAAAATTGATTCATTTTGAGATACGTAGACTAAGCTACGCGGGCAAGCTAGTATAAACTATTTGTTTTTTAGTGTTCATGGTAAGTCTCACCTTCGAATTGGCATTGCAAACGAGCATCGTACCACGTTGCAGGTATTTCGTGGTATTTAAACCATCCCAGAGGGGTGTATCTATAATCACAGCTGAACTTTAGAGCATCTGAAAAAAGCACATCGTCAATACATTTTTAATTCAGGTCAAATATTTTTTATTGAATATACTAATTCTTATTAGCACCAATAATAATTTAAATAGATAAATAATACAACTGCCCTAAAAAAAGCAAGTGTAAAATAATCATATTTATATATGGAATTTAATGGTAGCCGCTTAGAAGATATCTCTAATTTAATTTTAAACTTGTCAGATAAGCTAGAATGAAATTGTTTATTATTAGTAATGGTAATACTGTATATTCCATAAGAATTAAAAACTATTGTATAACCATCACCATCTCAGTGGAAAGACGTCCACTGCTGGACAAAGGCCTATAGGCATAGTTAGTTTAAATTTTAGGAACTAATCAATGCAAATATATGATTTAATATCTAGTTAGTTGGTTAGTATAGGGTTTGTGTAAAGTTTTCCTATCAAACTTGTCACAAACCTTATACCAACCCGTCTGGCCAGCGTGGTATAGTAGGCCAAAACCTGCTTTCTAAGAAGAGGCCTATGTCCAGCTGTGGACTGTTGAAGGCTGTTGATGAGATAGGAAACTAAAAATAACAAAACAAAAAACATTACCCAGCAACGCACAACAAAAGATTAACACTATGTATTTTAAAATGAACTTCATTTTGTATATGAATGTCAACGAGTAAGTCCCGGGAATGATGATACAAATAATTATAGTCCCTTATCACTTAAAACAGGATGAAGAAAATAATCAAGTGTAATTCAGTATATAATTGTATGATTATATTCGTTTCATTTTTGTAAATTATATTATTGTATTGAGGGCAACTGACAGATGGAATAATATTGAAGGCATGATAATATAATCATAGACCTTGTAAAGATTTATATAGCAACTAGCTGGTACCCGTGACTTCGTTTGCGTGGTATTTGAAAAGCGCTGTACGGTACACAGCAGCAGTAAGCACCGGAGAAAATTTTATAGGGTTTTTTAAAGAGAAAAATAGCCTTAGTTACTCCTTAAATAGACGGCTGCCTGGTAGCTGATCTAGCATTTTCATTTACCTTTTAGATAAATTGTTTTGTAGAAGTTGAGTGTGTCTCTGTTGGGATTTAATTCATAACTAGTCCAGGATGGTAGCCCTACTACCGAGTGTAAGTGATAAAACAAAGTGGAGATGTATTTCGTTACTCGTCTGAACCATAGAGTAGGTTGCTTAAGATGTAGTTTAGAAGATATTTGCATATAGTAAAGGCTTGCAGCAGTAACAACAGGAAAGCCGACTAATACTAAACTTGAATGTCTCAATGCAATTAGTACAGTTATAATTTTCTAACTACATACATACGGATAAATTACACACAGACAAAGAACAAATGATCGTGCTCATCATAAAATTATTTGTCCTGCGTTGAAATTGAACCCACGCCCTCTGACTTAGCAGTAAGACTCACTAAAGACTAGACCAATAGGCCAATCGAAATATGCGTTGTTACTCGTAAACAACTGGACTTACGTACTTATGTAAAATTACTTACTTAATAGTTATAAGGAAAAATATTGTAGCAACTTTACGGCTAATTGCATGTTCCATATCTTAATTGAGAGCAGTATATTCAGTATGTATTAAGAAAGCAAACTAGGCAAATCAACAGCACTACAAAGAGAAGAAAAACTTGAAACAAACCCTATACCAACCCGTTTGGTATGGTAGGCCAAAACCTCCTTTCTAAAGAGAGGCCTATATCCAGCAGTGGACTATTAAAGGCTGTTGATGTGTATGTTTGATGTGATATTCAGTATGCATTTCAAAAATGTCTACACTGCGCTACATACACTCAAGGATACCACACCCACAGTCCCCTGCGCTCCTCAACGGCAACCCTAGTAGAGAACACCGTGCCATGTGACACTAATAAAAAATGTAGTCATGTATTTTAGCCGTCCGTGTGGTGACGGATTAAGAATACAGAGTGTTACCACCCCTAGAAACTCCCTTTTAAGGAGGGGCCTATGTCCAGCAATGGACTATTAAAGGCTGTTGATGTGGTGATGTGTATTTTAGCATGAGGATGTAGATTGAATGTATTTTATTTGTGAAGATGGAAGTTGTCTTGCACCTTCATGACCCTTGACTGACTCTTGATACAGCTGCAGAGTCTTGGCATAAAGTATAATTGGAAAACGAGCAGACGGGTCACCGCATGGTAAGTGGCCACAGTCGCCCATGGAAACCTGCAACTGAAAAGTCACAAGTGCGTTGCAGCCCCTTGAGTCCCCCCTCCCCAGAAAAAGAGAAGGGGTTACGAAGGAGGAGGAACGAAATAATTGAAATGACTGCACGGATGGCGTAGCTGTTTAAGCGGTCACATCGCCGCTTCCTACTACGCTGAGTGTTGTGGGTTCGATCCCCACATGGGACGACACTTTGTGTAATCCACAAATTGTTGTTCTGAGTTTGGGTGTTCTTTGTGTCCGTTTCATGTACGTTTGTAAAGTCCCGGACATATTTCTATTGCGGGAGTTGTCTTTTATAAAAATAATAATAATGATTGCTTGGCAGAAGTTTTCTGTGAGACCGTAACTAACGAAAGAAAAACTAAGTAACTTTCGGCTAACTTCAGTTTGGCATTACACGTCACGTCATCATCTCAAATCTGCTTCGACAAGATCAATAGACAGCCCCGCTCGATATTCTCAAACCAGTTTATTATCTATAGGCTAAGCAATATTCGTTTTATTTAAAAGAATAACATTTTAATCCGCTTTTTCGGTTTTAGAAGAAAGAATTGTTCCATGTTTAAATCTTTTCCCATACTCGTTTTGCGGATTCTCTGTGCGGATATCCGCTTGGATACCACCCAGCGGAGGTTATGTCGGACTCGAACCGACCAAAAACCGCACGCCGAAGGAAAACCCTGATACCCCGACGTACCTCGGGTCATCTACGGGCGTAAATGACCCCCCTCCTTTGAAAGTTTATACCAATATGGAAATTGATTAAGGGAAAAAGGCGTGAAAGCCTTACAAATAAACAAACAAACTTCCATTGTAATTTTTAATATTAATTTATAAATTTTGACATGAAATGATTGGATATTTAAGTTTATTACTATAATAGTATTTAATTCAATTATAAACACAAACAGACAAAAAAATCAAATATTTGAGTTCACAGTAAGATTCCACTAACTCGCAGGGACGACATGTTTTGGATTGGTTTTATTTTTAATAGATACAGATTCAATTTGTTTTTCTTGAGCATCATTATTACAATCGTGGTTATGATTAGACTCATCCATTGGTTTAATATTGTCGCACACTAGAGGATAGTCAGGACTTTTTTCACAAATAAATGCGAAATGCTTTTCGCACCATAAGTCATTTAATAAGCCATTACGTAACACCGATCCACAATATTCTCCTGCAGTGCCGTTATCAGGTTGTCCTGGACTGAACTTGGCGAATCCTGCTTCTTGAATTGATTGACCTGGAATAGGTTTATGTAAAAAATTAGTAATATTTACTTGATTGGTTAATAATATTAGAAATGGTAGTGAATCAAGTAATTTCAGTCTACTTTATTGTAGAATTTTCTTGCTTTTTTCCCCTCAAAATTCATTCTAATGTTTCATTTACATAAATCTACTGTCTTAAATAGTGCCCAAAGGATTCTATTGGATTCAATAATAGTAAATAAATGATTTAATGTTTTGTGAATTAATTTTTTACTACTGTTTGTTCTTTGGCTGGCTGGCTCCTTTTTAAAAACACATCTTTTAATTTAGTACCATTTGAGTATCGTACTGTACTGACACACTAAACCATACAAACGCTACTGAATTTGTGTCAAAACTTACACCTTAATTACGCAATACGTTAGTATTACATTCATACCTATTATTATATTCAAAATGAAATTGTTGAAGTCAAGATTACAAAAATTATGTAAGCGTCGCAATAGCAAAAGTAAATACCGTGGATAGTTGTCCAATCCGCGCTCTCTCCCCAATTGTGGAAACCAATGAAAGCAAAATCTTTTGGGAAATTTCCAATCATTTTGGATGCGGGATATTTCGCAAATATTTGTGAGAGGACCTTCGACTCTTCATCACTGTTGATAATAGCAAGATGACCCCCCTCAGCAGAACAGGCGAAGTGGGCTCGTGCAAACGTTCTCGGTGTTGTGTGAAATTTATAACATTTATTTGTCTGGCTCTCTAAGTGGTATTCTAAAAGTATCAAGAAATTCCTGTTACTTATGGTTACATAAATTAAATTTTCTCTGTAAGGCATAAATATTGTATTAGGTCATATTTCTAATTATTGTTTTTATTGTTAATATTGCCCATGTCTGTGTGTTTTCAACAGGTTGTATCATCCCGTAAAGTTATTGTGATTGTTGTTGTCTTAATAACCAGTGTTTGAAAATTTGAATGATAAAAAGAAAATTAATTATAATCTATTGCCATAATTACCTGAGTCTGGAGTACCACAAATATTGACATCAACATGCGAATTCTCCCTAAAGCAGATATAAGGACGCGGTTCATCACATCTTGCGTCAGAGAATTTTCCATCCGAGTTTAAAGTGATGCACCTTTCCGTGTCATTTTTATTATCAGGTTCGTTTGACTCCCATTCATGCGGAATTTGTGCCAGAGGTATACCTGAAAATTAAAATTTTAGTTTGTCTGATTCCTATATTTTAATAAATTTATTTGATTGTGTATACTTCTATTTTAATTAATTACCATCAACGGAATAGTATTGTCCTTTTGAAACAGTGGAGTGAATTCCAGTGAAGATTTCAGGTTTGCAAAATAAGTCCAACATTAAAGTTTTCAGTCCTGGTACAGTAGGTGAAGCTAATATTCCACCTGTTAATATACAAACAGTGATTATGATTTATTAATTACAACTGTGCAGATTAATATTGTCCGTGTTATGAGATATTGTCCGTGGGGTGACGGATTAAGAATACAGAGTGTCACCGCCCCTATTCATCCCGTGGGTGTCGTAAGAGCCGACTAAGGGAGTAAACTACGCAGAACAACAGCACTGCAGAGAGAAGGAAATCTTGCCACCGTGGTATAGTAGGCCAAAACCTCCTTTCTATGGAGAGGCTCTTGTCCAGCAGTGGACTGTTGTTAATGTGATGTGCAGATTAATATTTAGGATCTGAGGGAACACAAGCCACGACCATCTTGAAATAGATTGTATCATACCTACTCCTATGTCCCAAAGGAATAAGCAGAAGCGTTTTAAACGATCGACATCGTCAACAGCCTTTAGTGTAGTCTACTGCTGAACATAGATCTCTCCTTAGAAAGTTGGTTTTGGCCTACTATACCGCGCTGGCGTCTGCCAGCAAAGGAAACCTGTCTAGGTTGGTTTGTGTCAAGTTCTCTCTTTGCAGTTCTGTTGTCCCACGTAGTTTGCTCCCTTGTAGGCTCTTATGTAACGATCACTTTTTACCAAATATATTTTTTATTTCAATAGCGTAACTGTGGGCAAGCCTGGCCTTCAAACGGGTATGTTAAGAATTAAAGGGGAAAATTGGACATTTAATGTGAAGGAAAAGTTGATATGGTGACAAAAATGGTGGGAAAAGGATTATAAGCAGGCTGGATTGTAAGCAGGAGTTCAAGTAGGTCAGGTGGGCATTCCTCTAACTCGAACTATTTACCGCCGGGAAGTCCCTCCGAGCCCTCTAGGTTAGGGTGCTCAAAATGGATTGGAAATAGATGTATTTGTTAAATAAATATTTATCAAGTGTAGATGAATTATTAAATTCTTCATAAGGCTCGTTTGAAAGGGTGAGCCGGTGTGGACAGGCCGTAACAGGCAAAACTCGAGTGTTTAAAGAATCTGATGAATGTGGGAGAAGTATGACATACAGATATCAGAACCGTGGCAAAGTGAATTTGTATTGTAAGTAAGTGAAAATATATGATTCATTAGTCCCTTAAACATGAAGTAGGTACATAATCAGGCTATTTAAAAATTAACTAAACATTTTGTACTCAGATATAGTGTGTTATATAAAACTAACCTTCGAATTTACACTGCAAGCGGGCGTCGTACCAAGTGGCGGGTATTTCGTGGTACTTTAACCATCCTAAATATGTATACTTGTAATCGCATCTGAACTTTACTCCATCTGAAAGAAAACCACTGTCATTAAAAACGTTGTAATAACTTTAAATATTTTGGTCGTGTTTAGTTTCCAACCATTTACTAATACATTTACAACTATAAGTATTTAATAATAGTGTCTACATGTTTCATTTACCCAACACTTAGTTCTAATTAATACAATGATAAAAAGAAAGAATCGTTTGCTAAAGATATTAAAAAATCTAAGCAAGTATTCGAAAATAAAATAATTTAGACAAAAAGTAGTATAGAGAAGTTAAAAAAATGTAAGTTTTCATATATGTCATATAATATTACCGTAAGTTGTACAAAGTTATAAAAGTATTATTGATTATTATATTATATTAAAGTATTAAGTATTAATTTTAGCATCGTAAGTCTAAACATCAATGTGCACTGAGTTATTAACACAAAAACAATTACGTTAACTGACTAGATATTTCTTTATTGCCTTGTAATGATTACTAAAAAATATATTTTAGATGTGGCTCTAAAATAAAATAAAATATTTAAAGTAAAAAAAAATAAGACTAAAATAAGAAAAATGTTACAAAAATATTTAATATCTTACCCATAAATGCGAAACAAAATCCAAGGACCACGTATTTTAAGATAAACTTCATTTTGCGTGTAGAACCTAGCGAGTGAGGGCTAATAATGCAAATAATTTTATTTTTTTATCATTTATAACTAGCAAAGAGATAACATTGAAGTATTTTTAATATATAGTTGTCAACTTAACGCTGCTGTAGCAACCAACCAACGTATTGTCACGTGACTATATGTATGTTATTCACTGTGAACACTTTTCTAACCGTTTATCAGTCTTAAGTTTACACTTTAACTATACGAGTATTTTGTAAATGAATCTTTTTTTTTCATTTCTCAACCTTATCTATCTAAATGTATAAAAATATTAAGTTGGTTTGAGTACGTTTCTAGAACTATAAGTTGTAAACCGATTGAACTCAAAACTTGACACGATATAATATTATAACACGCTTAAAAGATGGTTTTTATCTATTTTTTGCAACCACAACGTGCCACAGCGAAGCGTGGTAGTTTGCAGTTAGTCTATTTACTTGCGAGAGCCACGTTTCAGGCAATATCTGGGCTGGCTTGACCGGTGTGAAATAATAGACTCATAAAAAATTGATGTTGAACTATTCTTTGTATGACTAAGGTTTGAGAACATAAGATAGTTGCAGCTCCATTTTCCGGATCCAATTTTGAATTTAAAGCATCCAAAGAGTCACTCAAATGCACACAAATATTTTTCGTATTAAACTGAAATATGAATCGTAGAACCGGGTGCAGCGCCCCCTACCGGTCAACCCATTGTGTATGTAAGACATCATTTGGATCACCTCAAAAATATTAAGAAAAAATCATTAGGAAAAAAATTAGAATCCTAAACCAGGTTGCAGCACCACCAGGTCTAGTTTTAAATTTAAACACCGTGAGACCCTTTGGAATAAACCTAAAAAAAAACAAAACCAAAATCTAGAAGTTTATAAAAAGTTAAATGATATTTACGTGTACTAGTACAAAACACATTTAAACATAAACGTATAGTCCGGTCAATTTAGACCAAAAAATGAGTGAAGTTACATAAAGTCCCAAAAAGCTGAATTTGAGTGAAATTGTTCAAAATATAATTATAAACAATGTCTAGAAGTTCCCCATCATTCCCCTGTAAGGAAAAAATTTAATTCAAGGTCAAAGGTCAAAAAAATGAGTTTTTTGCGATTTTCATGATTTTTTTTTTTATGATAAAACGGTAAGTTTTATCATAAAAGTACCTCAGACAAAGATTGTAGATCATAAAATTACCTATAAAAAATGTATCAATACTTTTTTTCTTACGAGCCACCGTTTCTGAGATATAACGATTCAAAAAGTTATAAAAGTTGTCATAATATGCATGAGTACGCCACGTATATACATCTAGAGTTGTAATATTTTATATAATATATATATGTATGTATATATATATATATATATATATATATATATATATATATATATATATATATATATATTATATATTAAATGTTTAAATATTTGTCTATCGGTCATTGTAACTTATACTTACAATATAAAATATACATAAGTTTTAACTACAAGAATATCAGGTAAAATGAAAAGCAGCATTCCCTTAATCTTTAAGCCAGTGTAACTTCGAGGCATCTGTCTCTTGTTCTATTGTGTGCGTGGCTAAGGGTCTCTTATACCTGCTATAATAAATGAAATACTGTTAGTCTTGAGCGTCCGGACTATAGCACTATTCAAAGCCTTTATTATTAATTTGGTCACCAAAGATAAATCAGTCAAACTTTTTGCATTATTTGACAAATTCCGAAAAGAGGAGCAACATGAATTTTTAAATAACTCTTGTTTGTCACACGTACATTCAGTCAAAAAATTATCGGTAATGGATGATTTGTTATTGGTTCCAAATTCAAATTTTTGTTTTTTTTTTTGTTGATGTTAGATTATTGCGCAACTGTTTTCAATTTTGGTGCGGAGTTTGAGTTGCATCTGTTATTTGTATTAAATACAGTGCTGTTTTAGTTATATCATATTATGTAGTGTGTATTACGAATTTCATAATGGACAAAAACATCGAACAAAGAGTTTGTCTCAAATTTTGCATCGCCAATGGAATTTCGTGTTCGGAGTCACTGAAAATGTTACAGAAGGCTTCGGTGAATCAACTTTATCAAAAACACGTGCCTATGAGTGGTACTAAGCGTTCAAAAGCGGTCGAGATGTGATGCAAGATTGGCCTCGCTCTGGTAGGCCACCAATATCTGCAACTGAAGTTAACATCGCAAAAGTGAAGGAAATAGTGACTGAAAATCCTCATTCAACTTTGAGAGAGATAGCCGCCGAATTTTCTGTATCTCGCGAGTCGATCCGTACCAATTTAACTAATCATTTGGGTATGAAACATGTTACCGCTCGGCTAGTCCCAAAAGACTTTAAATTTCTCCAAAAACTCAATCGCATTAAAATCGCTGAGGACATGCTAGAACAAGTCAATCCGACCCAACATTCATGAAACGCTATATAAATTGTTACTATTGACGAGAATTGGGTTTACGAGTTTGACATGCAAACTAGTCAACAAGCTTCGGACTGGCTTTACGTTCAGAGAATATTTTAAACATAAATTTTCGACAAGGAGATTACTGATATACCTGATAGAGCTTTTTATGTCTGTTTGAGAAGACTCCTCGATGAATTGGATTCATAATGTGATCCGGTTAATAGAACTGCTATTAGGTTCTAGCGAAATTCTTTGTATGTATTTAAGTGACACCCTATATAGATTAGCTCCTCGACTTTGACTGCAATCAGGGTCTAAAATATTTATTTTCGTATTTGTTTTATTTTTGTACGAATTGAGTGTGTCTCTGGTTATAATTCATTTACAACTTTTTCCATTTTCTTGAAATACGTAAGTTACCGGTGGCCTTTTCCCTTCCTCAACCTTAATTCTGGTTTGGAGGAGGTCTTTGGAGAGCTCTACGTCGACGCATGTGTTTCTGGGTTATTTGATTGCATATCATCATCATTAACAGCCTTAAATAGTCCACTGCTGGACATAGGCCTCTCCTCATAAAGGAGGTTTGATTGTATATTCAATATCTTAATTGAAAGCAGTATATACAGTATGTATTTCGCAACACGATTAACTTAGGATGTGTGTTTGGAGAGAGGATGGGATGTGCCTGTGTCCAGCAGTGAACTGATATAGGCTGATAATGATGATGATGATTTGCTGAAGTCCAGTATATTATAGAATGGCCAGAAAGTCTAGAATATTTGTATGTAATATATAGTCCTTGTGGTGATATATTGAGAATACGAAGTGTCACCCATGAGTGACGGACTAAGAATACAGAGTGTTACCACCCCTATTCATCCCGTGGGTGTCGTAAGAGCCGAATAAGGCAGCGAACTATGCAGGACAAGAGCACTGCAAAGAGAAGGAAAACTTGAAAAAACCCTATACCAACCCGTCTGGCCAGCGTGGTATAGTAGGCCAAAATCTCTTTATTTTTATTGCAAAAAGAAGTGTTCGAACGCTGAGCAATTTTCGTCAGTTGAAAGGATAGCACTTGGATTCCCTTTTTCGGATCCAGGAGTAAGAACTGCTTTACGTCTAAATCTTTTTCCACATCCCTGACAACGTTTATACTAATCAGGATTGGGAAATACAGGCGGGTAAGCATGACAAAAAAATACTTGAATTTTTAATTTTAATATAATTTTTAAAATTTACAATTTTGATTTGAAATGATTGGATATTTAAGTTTCTTACTATATAGTATTTTATACAATATTTTATTCAATTAAAAAAAACAGAATGCGAAAAAAAATTAAAATAATGGAGTCTGGGAGTCCGCAATAAGATTCCACTAACTCGCAGGCACGATATGTTTTGGATTGGTTTTATTTTTATTAGATACAGATTCGATTTGTTTTTCTTGAGCATTACTAGTACAATCGTGGTTATGATTAGACTCATCTTTTACTTTAATATTGTCACAAAGTAGTGGATAGTCAGGACTTTTTTCACAAATAAATGCAAAGTGATTTTCGCAGCCTAAGTCATTTAATAAGCCATTACGTAACACTGATCCACAATATTCTCCTGTAGTGGCGTTATCAGGTTGCCCTGAAGTGAACTTAGCGAATCCTGCTTCTTGGATTGATTGACCTGGAATTTGTTTTTGTAAAGAATTAGTAATGTTTACTTAATTTATCAATAATATTTTGATAACAATATCAGAAATTGTAGTGCATAGAGTAACTTGATTCTACTTTATGTTAGACTTCTTGCTTCGTTCCCCTCGAAATTCATTTTAATATTTAATTAACATGAATCCACTGTCTAAAATTTTGTGGATTTTGGAAATTTCTTTGAATTGAATGCTCGGGCGATTGAATTTTTACTACAGTTTGTATTTTAGAGTTCACTGGCTTCTTTTTAGGTAACAAATCTTTTAATTTAGTACAATTTAAGTATCGTACCGTACTGACACATTAAACTATACTCACCACTGAATTTTTTTTGAACCTTTACATTAATTACGCATTATAATATGACGTATTATTATAATCTAACTAAAATTGTTGTAATCAAAATAACAAAAATTGTGTGAGCGTAGGAATAATAAAGATCAATACCGTGGATAGTAGTCCAATCTGCGCTCTCTCCCCAATTGTGAAAACCGATGAAAGCGAAATCTTTTTGGAAATTGCCAATCATTTTTGATGCGGGGTATTTCGCGAATACTTGTGCTATGACCCTCGACTCTTCATCACTGTTGATAATAGCAAGATGACCTCCCTCAGCAGAACAGACGAAGTTAGCTCGTGCAAACGTTCTCGGTGTGGTGTGAAATTTGTAACATTTATTTGTCGAGCTCTCAAAGTGGTATTCTAAAAGTTTGAAGAAATTCCTATTACTTATGGTTACATGAATTAAGTTCTCTATAAGGCATAAATATTGTATAAAGTCATATTTCTAATGATTGTGTATTTTATATTTCCCAACTTGAGTATTTTAGACAGGTTGTGTCAACTCGTAAGGTTACTGTGGTTGTTGTTGTCTTATTTACTATTGATTTGATCGTACATCAGAAGACGAAAGTTTGAAAGATTAAAAGAAAATTAATTTGAATCTATTTGTAAATCTCGACATGCCAATATTAACGACATTATCCGTCATGCTCCTGTTACCGCCGGTGTTCTAGCTGTACGTGAACCCAATGGTCTGGTATGTAACGCAACTAGCTGAGCAACCATAACAGACAATTAGCATCGCCATTCAACGTCCTAATGCTGCCAGGCTTTTGGGAAAGCTACCAGTAGGCGATAATGCGGAGGAATTTTTTGATGCTCATATGTAAATAGTGTGTATGTTATGAATATTTTAATTGTTTTGTAGAGTGAGTGATTCAAGAGGAACATTTATATATATGCATTATGTATGTAGTTTATATAAAATATATTGCTATAATTACCTGAGTCTAGAGTACCACAAACATTGACATCAGCTTGCGAATTCTCCCTAAAGCAGATATAAGGTTATCCTCCTGTAATCCAAAATACAAAGTACCTCCTCCTGTAATACAAAAATAAGGACGCGGTTCATCACATCTTGCGTCAGAGAATTTTCCATTCGAATTTAAAGTGATGCACCTTTCAGAGTCATTTTTGTTATCAGGTTCGTTTGACTCCCATTCATGCGGAATTTGTGCCAGAGGTATACCTGAAAATTTAAATTTTAGTTTGTCTGATTCTGATATTTAAAAAAAAATATTGTTGTGTACATTTTTATATTAATTACTTACCATCCACTGAATAGTATTGTTCTTTAGAAAAAGTGGCGTGAATTCCAGTGAAGATTTCAGGTTTGCAAAATAAGTCCAACATTAAAGTTTTCAGTCCTGGTATTGTAGGTGAAGCTAATATTCCACCTGTTAATATAAAAACAGTAATTACGATTAATTAATTAGATATGTGAAGATTCTAATAAATTAAGAATCAATGGGAACACAGCCCATGACCATACCAATGTCATGCATATATCCCCAAACGGTATGCCAATAACGTAACTGTGGCCAAGCCTGTGCGGAAAAATTGGGCATTCCATATGAAAGTAAAGATTAATAAGGTAACAAAAAAGGTGTGAAAAGAATATTACTGATACAGATGCACGCATTTTTCTAAGTCGGACTAGTTACTGCCTGGAAGTCCCTCCGAGCCCGTTTCATGTATATTAGTAAAGTCCCCGCGACACATGATATATTCCTATTACGGGAGTTGTCTTTATAAACAAAAATGAATTGGAAATAGATGGATTTATTAACTAAATATTATATTTATTAAGTAACGTGGTAATATTTCTTTTATAAACTAAAGAGCTCCTTGGATTATATCTGACTTTAACCAATAAAATTTATACAGCACCCTGATGGGACACATTAAAAAACCGGTAATTTTGTCATCCCTGGGGTTTTTAATCTGTTGCCCATAAATAAAACAGATAGGTTAATTGAAGTTTTCATTTAAATAAAAGGCGATCTGATTACAGTTTACACGTTCACTTAATTTTTTCATAAAAATTGTATATTCAAATTCATCATCATCATCATCAACAGCCTTTAATAGTCCACTGTTGGACATAGGCCTCTCCTTGGAAAGGAGGTTTTGGCCTACTATACCACGCTGGCCAGACGGGTTGGTATAGGGTTTGATTCAAGTTTTCCTTCTTTTTGCAGTGCTTTTGTTCTGCGTAGTTTGTTCCCTTATTCGGCTCTTACGACACCCACGGGATGAATTGGGGTGGTGACACTTTGTATTCTTAATCAGTTAATACAATGTGTGAATGAATTATAAAATTAGTTTATAAGGCCCTGTGGCCGTAAAGGGCAAGTGTGTATGAAAGACTTGATGACTGTGGAATAAGTAAGGGCTGCATGTCAGAACCTTGGCAAAATGACGTTCTATTGTTGGGCCTGTTGGTCTAGCGGTTAGTGACCCTGACTGCTAAACCGGAGGTCGTGGGTTCGATTCCCACCCAGGACAAATATTGTGTGATGAGCACGGTTATTTGTTCTGTGTCTGGGTGTAATTTATCTATAATATGTATCTATTTAAAAATATTTAAGTTTATCAGCAGTCTGGTTACCATAGCACAGGCCCTGCCTAGTTTGGGATCAGACGGGCGTGTGTGAGATGTGTGAGATATATTATTATTATTATTGTCTCTGCCTATCCCGGAATACATGATTCACTAAGTATAGTCCCTAAAACATAAAGTAGGTACATAATCAGGCTACTTAAAAATTAACTAAACGTTTTGTACTCAGATACAGTATTTTATATATAACTAACCTTCGAATTTGCACTGCAAGCGGGCGTCGTACCAAGTTGCGGGTATTTCGTGATACTTTAACCATCCTAAGTAAGTATACTTATAATCGCATCTGAACTTTACTCCATCTGAAAGAAAAAACAAACATTAAAAACGTTGTAAAAACTTTAATTATTTAGTTTTAAACCATTCACTCGCCAACATTTACAACCATAAGTATTTAATAATACTGTCTACATGTTGTAGGTACCCAAAACTTAGTTTCAACCAATACTATAATAACAAGTTGCCGGTAGATTCGCAGGCGTATTAAAAAAAAACCTTATTTCTTTTCCATACTCTTGACCTGGCAACATGCAGAAGAAATATAATATATGTTTTATCGGATGAATAGCGTATAAAATCCAAAAAATATATTTGTTTGTACTGATTTTTGTACTAGTGTTGGTACTTGATGTATTTATTCGCCCTCCACTACGAGTGTCTATTTAATCAATGTATAATTTTATTTAACATACTATTATTTTTTGGTTTTTAAAAAATATATTTAAGTAATTTATGAAAATAAATAGTAATGAATGTTTGCGAACAAATCGGGAAAGTAGAAATCATTTGTTACAATACAAAAAATCTAAACAAAAATTCAAAAATAAAGTTGGGTTTTAATATTTATTAGTTGATATTTATAATTTAGACAAAATAAAGTTTAGAGATGTTAAAAAGTATGTATTAATTTCTGTCATAAAAAACCCAAAAGCTTAAAAAAGGTAAAAAACTATTGGATTTTAATTTAGTTTTTTTAGTAACGTACACTGAGCTATTAACATAAAAACAATTACGTCAACTGGCCACTTATCTATTGCCTTGTAAAGGTTTTTTTTAGATTATCGTTCAAAAATAAATAAAATTAAAGTTGAAAAACAACTCTAAAGTTAGGCGAGTATTAAAAATTATACTAATATCTTACCGATAAATGTAAAACAAAATACCAGGGCCACATATTTTAAGATAAATTTCATTTTGCGTGTAGAAGCTAGCGAGTGGGGCCTAATAATGCAAATAATTTTGTTCCTTCATAATTTATAACCAGGAAAAAGACTACAAGGAAGTATTTTTAATATACAGGAGAAGGAGTCGACGCTCGAAGCGTGGCCAACTTCACGCTGCTGTTCCAACCAATCATTCTATTGTCACGTGACTATATGTATGTTATTCACTGTGAACTCTTTTCTAACGGTTTATTAGGCTTTACACTTTAAGAAAAGAGCGTACTCCTTCCTAAAAGGCCAGCAACGCGTTTGTGACTCCTGAGTTGCAGACGTTCATGGGCGGCTAGTCTGCCCCCTCTAACATGAAAAAAAGAAAACTATGAGTATTTTGTATTCCGTCAGTACGTGTGGTGACGCCACCCCTATTCATCCCGTATTTTAACAGTCAATCCAGATTTCATAGTACAATATTTAAGCCAGTTGCATCTTCGTTATCCAATCTTGAATTTCAAAACATCTAAAGAGTCACTCAAATACACACACTTTTTTTAAAGCGAAATTAAATAATAATTCTAGATCTCCGTTGCAGCTTCCCCTAACGGTCAACTCATTGTAAACGAAAATCATCCATGGACTACATCACTTCACATCAATAAAATTTCATTAGAAAATGAATTAGAATCCTAAGCCAGGTTGCGGCGCCACACGGTCCAGTTAGAATTTAATCATCGGGAGACCTATTCGATAAAATACTTTTATTAAATCTTTTCAAAGTACTCTCCACCAGCCTCTGTATAAAGTTTTATGCCTCTAAACTAGTTTTCGAAATAGTTTTTCAAGTCCGCCGCAGACAACGATTCTACAGCCTTCTTCAACGCTGTTAACGCATCTGCCGGCGACGAAAACTGTACCCCTTTCAGTTGATTTTGTGTTTAAGGTTATGAAAAGAGGTCATACGATGCCAGATCACGACTGTAAGGAGGGTGACCCTAGACTTTGACCAATGTGGTGTCCAGGAAGTTGTTTTGAGACCTAAATGCGCCGGCGTGTTGTCGTGTAGACGCAATAGCCCGCGGAGCCCGGTATTCGGTCGCTTGTTGCTCATTCCAGAGAAAACTTTATGCAGGCATTTCATAGTACACCATTGGGTGATAATGCTGCTTTGATTTTGTAATGTAATCGACACCAGATACCTCGTCAAAGTAAAGAAACTAGCAAAAAAATTTTACGTTCGCTTCTCAATCGCATCATTTTGTTAGGCGTTAGTTCATTTTGAAACAGCCAAACTGTCGACAGACGCTTTCTTTCTGGATTCGTCATCTGTTCCAATGTCGTAAAAGCGCCGAGATGAACCTGATTCAAATTTATTAATCATGTCACGGCACTTTGTTAAGGTTGTGCGGTACCCACCACGAAACTAAGGATAGTTTCTCACGTGCAGTTGCTTGTGTCAAATCTTATGAACGCTTCTCGGTCCAATCTGCAATATATGCTGAAACTTTTTGTATACAGTTCGTCTGTCTTCTTGAATTAAAATTTTCACTGATAGGAGTTGCACGTTTAGCTCCGTAGCAGCCGTCGAAGGACAACCATTCTCTTTCTTCACCCCCCAAAGATAGACGATCGCGCTTGAATTTGTTATGCCAACGGCAGATGGTTGCTTAGAACGGCCATCCACAAATGCCCATTAAAGACGATCTTCTGGTTTGAGGCCACATTTGAAATCTTAAAAACCATTGCAGGAAAATATTCCCCACTCAGATCCACTTTTCAATGAGACACGATAATTCAATTTAGCTCTCAAAAAGTGTAGAGTAAAATTTGAAATTCAAACGATAATATTTATATTCACAGCCATTTTATTTCAATAATAAAATTGAAATAACTCACCAAAAATAAATCAGTCTAAAGTTTTTACACTATTCCACAAATTCTAAAAGGAGTATTGATATGACGATTGCGACTCAAATTTTTAAATGGCTGTTGCTTGTCACATGTAGACATTCATTTTCAGAAAATTAGATGAAATGAAATAGCCTAAAGCTAATAATAATTTTTCAACATGTAGGTCCCACTGTAGCTAAGCAAAATGTATGGTATGCACAAGTAAACCTTGTCGAGAGGATTTCGAGGAAGACTTGGACACTCTTAATCATCACAGTAGTTTTCACTAGCTTAACGTGCAGAGAATATTATAAAACTATATTCTCGACAAGGAGCTTAGAACGACCCTTGATTGTGCCTTTTTCACCGTTACTGAATTCACAAGTGGATCCGGTAAGTAGCACTGCTATCAGTTTCTAGGAAAATTCTTAGTATGTATTTCAGTGACACCCTAAATAGATTAGATCCTCGACTGGGACTGCAACCGGGGTCATTTTTTTTTGTGACGGGTCTAAAATCCTTTCAGATCTCCGGCTCCTTGGGGATATAGGAGCCAGGAGTATATGGTATTTCATCCAAAAACCACACTAACATACACTGATCCACAATATTCGCCTGCAGTAGCGTTATCTGGTTGTCTTCCATCGAACTTGACGAATCCTGCTTTTTGGTTTGATTGACATGTTTTTTTTTTGCAAAAAAATAGTGATATTTACTTAATTGATAAATACTAACTCTATCCACTAATATTTATTTCTTAGTTTTCTTCGAAATTCATTTAAATATTTAATTTCATCATCATCAACAGCCTTTAACAGTCCACTGCTGGACATAAGCCTCTCCTTAGAAAGGAGGTTTTGGACTACTATACCACGCTGGCCTGACGGGTTGGTATAGAGTTTGTGTCAAGTTTTCCTTCTAATATTTAATTTACATAAATCTATTGTCTTAGAATAGTGCCCGAAGGATTTCCTTAGAATACAGGGGCATTCAATTTCTACTAATGTTTATTCTTCAGAATTTACTGGTTCCTTTTTGAGAAACACATCTTATAATTTAGTACCACTTGAGAATCTTACCGTAATAAACCATACACACACTACTGAACCTTACACTTTAAATACATACATATAATAATCTAAAGGAAATGGTTGAAATTAAAATTAACAAAATAATATAAACATAAGAACAGTAAAAGTAAATACCGTGAATAGTAGTCCAATTTGCGCTCTCTCCCCAATTGTGAAAACCAGTTAAAGCGAAATCTTTTTCAAGACAGGCTCTGACCATCTTAGAACAAATTCAATCATACCTATATCCCCAAAACAGTAAGCAGAAGCGACTTTAATAGTCCACTACTTGTTTTGTTTTTCTTGTTTTTTTAAAAAGACAACTCCCGCACTAGGAATAAATCCTGTGTCGCGGGGGACTTTACAAACATACATGAAACGGACACAAAGAACACCCAGACTTAGAACAACAATTTGTGAATCACACAAAGTGTCGTCCCATGTGGGGATCGGACCCACAACACTCGGCGCAATAGAAAGCGGCGTGGCGACCGCTTAAACCACTACGCCATCCGTGCAGTCAATACTACTACTGGACATTGACCTCTCCTCAGAAAGAAAGTTTTGGCCTAGTAAACCACGCTGGCAGACCGGTTAGTATAGCTATAGGATTTGTGTCAAGTTTCCTTCTCTTTGCAGTGCTCTTGTCCTACGTAGTTTGCCCCCCAAGTCGGCTCTTATTAAACGATCACTTTTTACCACAGTCGGAACACAGGAAATCTAAAACATATATTCTCTAGTTTTCAGCATTGCCATTGTAATTATGCAATACCCGCTTGCATCAGACACCGATACGTAATGCGACCCGACCTTTATACGTTCTTCTTAATGTACCCACATTTTAATTTTAATTTTAGTTAGATTTAGTACAATGCTTGGTAACACCGTCAAATGCGCTCCTAGATTATAAGTTTACTTTTAAGTTCATAATTTGTATATCTCAATATAAGTGAATTGTATTCTTTTGAGTAACAAATATCTTAAACCAGATATTATATTTCCATGGGAGCCATGCATGGGCATGCTAGCTCAACATCCTTATTTGTTTATAAACACAGCTAAAAGCTCAACTCCTCCTTCTACGTCAAGTCAGTTCTTCTCTGGAATGCCCTCCCTGACGAAATCAGGATGTCCACAAACTCAAGAGAAAAGTGCGCGATCTTCTTCGGGGTGAATAGGCAGAACAATTACAACGCTAGTACCCGACTGAGTATATATATATTTTATTAAATTTATGTAGGTTTATGTATGTATGTGTGTTTACCAAATCAAACATTAAATGTTCATGCACACAAAATGTTTTACTTGAGCGGGAATCGAACCCCCCACCTTTGGAATAGCAGTCCGTTACACAAACCACTCCGCCATTCGGTCGTCAAATAATAAATAAGTCAAATAATAAAGTATGGTAGTATGGATAGTGTCGTTAATTACAAGGCACGGCTTGTGCCTTAATCTCTATAACTAATCTCTATAACTTCAGATTAACAGTTCTAAAATAAAATTCTTTTGTTAGTAAAGTGTTTTATTACCCAAATAAAAATGCATGAACAAAGGAATATCGTAACATACATTAGGACAATAAGATCTCCGTTAAGGAAACATTAAATATATAAACTACCATATATGAAAATTCTGTACTACGAGCACTATCAAAATGTTGTTATCACAAGACCGATTATTATTAAAAATGATGATTTTTAAAACGTATTCAAAGTCTTACAGGCATAGTGTCATCAAATAAAAACCAATATCACAAAAATAATAACTTCATTTCAAGTTACTAGGACTCACATTATTATTGATAAGTAGACTTAACCACAATTGTTAATGACCATGTTAACACTAATATAAAATGACATATAAAAATATAGTGTACAGACTGCATACAATACACACATTTCAAATATGAAACCCATACTTCAAGATAGTAAAATTACAACGGAGAGCTACAAAAATGTTTACATCTTAAAAAAACAATTCATATGAACAACCTCTTATCGAACTAAACTTAACTATACTGGAACAACAAACATTAAAAAATTAAATTGGTCATTACAATGTGAAAGACATCGGAAACCTCTATACTATGAATTCAAATACCGAATTGAGAAGACACTTATTGAAGCTTGCCAGGTCTTTATCTGTTAGAAACCCTAAAGACAATTTCTACCGAATCGCGTGGTTACTATTTGTTTACCGGAAAGTGTAATTAGTACTGGATAAATGAACATTTTTAAAAACAAACTAGACGAACATTTAAAAACAACAAAACGAACATAATTGCAGTGATATGCACGCATCAGATCTGTAATCAAATAGTGCATTATAGAGTAATAATAATTATATCCTGCTATAGCCATACCCCAATGCAGAGTTATCCGAGAGATGTTATCCGCTGTTGCGATATGTCCCGTGGGGTAGCCCATGAGCTGCCGTGCCAATCCAAAAGACTGTAACTCGACTTACAGTGTTTTGTCAGTTTCTTTACGTAGGTTTAGTACCCCTGATCAACACTTTTGTTATTTTACAGTGTATTTTAAAACAGACAATAATCTTAAAAATACAGTATTGTATTGAAATGAGGGTTTTAACATGGTAAAAAACTATTTGACAATGCTTTCAAAGTCAAAAGTCGTTTTCAAAAGTTACAGTGTATTGGATTGGCACGACAGTGGGGTGCTACACATCATTGCACCTTCGGTAAAACAGACGCATAAATGACAAAGGCCGGCAACGCGTTTGTGACTCCTGAGTTGCAGACGTTCATGGGCGGCGATGGTCACTTTCCATTGGGTGACCCGTCTGCTCGTCTGCCTTCTCTAACATAAAGGATAATAATCAGAAACTCAGTTATTGAAAAGTCAAAAATATTAAAAAATACCCCATACAATAACAAATACTTTTATTAAGTTTCAGCGAATATAACAGTAGGCAATAATGCAAAGCTAACACAAGCACAAATATACGACATTAATTGAAAATTTATATTTAAAGTGGCTCTCCTGTAAAATTAGATAAATATTTATCTTACCGAAAGTACAATACTATTTAAAACTAATATACTGGGTTGTTAGTTTTACCTGGCGAAGATTTTCCTTTATCTTCAAAATTACGTCTACAAATACGGGTGTAATTTGCTTGACGTTCTAAATTCTCACTATCACAAATTTCAGGATAATGAGGACTTTTTTCGCAAATAAACGCGAAACGTTTGTGGCATGATACATCGTTGAAGAAGCTGTCTCGGTACACTGCTCCGCAATATTCCCCTGTAGTGCTATTGCTTGGTTGTCCTTCTTGAAATTTTGCAAATCCAGCTTCTTCTAAAGTTTTTCCTGAAAATAGAAGATAAAGTGTTTGAGAAGTAGATTAATGATTTTGTTGTATATAAGTTATCAAAAACTTCTAGTTTTGCAGAAATTTTATTGAAGAAAATCTTTACGCAAGCTGACTTGGGTACTAAGCTGGTGAATGCGTGACGAGAGCATTACGAAAAGTGTGATCGGGCGAGGCAATCGGAAGTTGAGAGGGAGATATAAGTTAGTGATGATATATATTACTGTAGGGGCAAGAGAAAGTGGTGCAGCACACATTTTCTTTTTCTCTTTCTCTCATAGCCAAGATGTTTTACTTCGGTCGTGTGGGGATTAAGCTCGTGAATGCATGACGAGAGCATTACGAAAAGTGTGATCGGGCGAGGCATCATCATCTTTTAATAGACCACTGCTGAACACAGTCCTTTCCTTAAAAATGAGGTTTTTGGCTTGCTATACCCGGGGCGGCACGACTACGCTATAGAAGGGTTGGTATACAGGTTTCAAGTTTTCCTTCTCTTTGCAGTCCTGTTATCCTTGCTCCCTTAGTCCGTACGGTAACAGTTGTACAATACTGAGTGTCACCACCCCTATTTACCTCTATGGCTCTCTATCTTCGGGTTGACTTCATTTAACAAAAGTTAATGAACAATCGGTTTCGTAATTGATTTAAAGTTAACCAAAAATGTTTTTACTAATTACGCTAATATTCAATCACCATGAATCGTTGTCCAATCAGCGACATCTTCCTCGTAATAAAATCCAAGAAAAGCGCTATTTTTATCATAGTGTCCAGCTATTTTATTTGGTGGATATAGGGCATGAAGTTCGTGGATGACCTTCAATTCTTTTTCACTGTTTATGATGGCAAGGTGACCACCCTCGGCAGAACAAGTAAAAAAGGCTGGCGCGAATCTCTTTGGTTTGTTGTGAAGTTTATAGCATTTGTTGGTCCGTTTGTCGTAACGGTAATCTGAAAATGTGAAAAGATTTTTTTTTAAACATTTGTCTTTAAATGCCTAATAAATACGAGTATACTCGTGAAGTGTACTGTCTAAATGCAGTAATGCGATAGTTAAAATATAATTCAATTGCAAAAAAGTCTTTTAACACTGAAAATTAACTACATAAACTTATCGTGGGAGAGCCATGTTTCGGCACGAATGGGCCAGCTCAACCGGAGTGATACCAACCTTAAGTGAGTAAGGTTACTGGAGCCCAAATCCCCCCTCCCGCTGACTCGAACGGGAGGGACTCCAAGGGCGGCAACGTACTTGTGACTTTTGAGATGTAGGTGTCCAGGTAGTTGCTTACCATCAAAAACCCGTCTACTAGTTTCCCCCCTTATACCATAGAAAAAAAAAACACATTTACCAGGATCTGTAGTACCACAATCATTAGGATCAATATTTATATGCTTCTTATGGCAAATGAAAGGTCGTGGTTCATCACAACTCACATCGGATAGTTTGCCTTTATAGTTACTGGCAATACAGCTCTCAGCATTATTTTTATTATCAGGTTCGAATGGGGCCCATTCATGATAAATTTGTGCCAATGGTATACCTGCAAAATATTAGAATTGCATAAATGATGTACTAATTTAGAAATCCTGATATTTTTTTAAATATTTATATAAATCGATGAAGATTCAGTTTACCAACCATCAATGGAATGAAATTGGCCCTTAGCGAAAGTAGAATGGATACCCGTAAGTATATCAGCGTTGCACATTAATTCCATCATAACAGATTTGATTTCAGCTGTACTCGGGGAAGCTAACATGGCACCTGTTGATAATAAATAAGTTTGTATTGGAATAGCAATAATTACAGAGGAAAGAATTGGTTACAATACCTGAGTATATATAATAATATAATATTCTCACACATTTCACACACGGCCGTCTGATCTCAAACTAGGCAGAGCCTGTACTATGGTAACCAGACTGCTGATAAACATACTTTTATATTTCTAAATACACACATGTTATAGATAAAATGCACCCAGACACAGAACAAATGACCGTGCTCATCACACAATGATATGTCCGTGTTGCAAATCGAACCCACGAGTTCTGACGTAGCAGTCAGGGTCACCAGACCAACAGACCCATCAATAAATCATTGATGTTATGCCTTACATAATAAGTTTCGTGTTTAAAGAAACACTTTCTTCAAATTTTTAAATTTATATTTGAATCCTCAATAACAGAGTCCTAAATAACAGACATACTAGCACACATCAAAACAATGTTGTGGTATATTTAATAGTGCCATTGTATCTATCTGTAAATTGCAAAAAAGTGGCCATGAGTTTGTTTGCCCTTTCTTCTCATAAGGCTCAACCCCTTGGAAACAGGCGGATGTAGATCGGCACAGACATATCATAGATTTTGTATGGGTTTGATTTTTGTTAAAATTATTTGCTTACTATTTGACAAAACAGAGATTGTTGCTTTTGTATGTGTTGATCTATGACTTTAGAGTCTACATAAAAGACGACTTCAAACAATTTTGAAAATTTTATGAAATAAAGAGAGTTTGAGTTTGAATACCTTTTTCTTAATTGGAACCCTTTAAAATAGAAAATAACTCAGTAAAAAATTTAAAGAACTTAACTTGCAAGAATTCTTAAATTATAGCTTGAGAATAATTTACTTAATATTCTCGCTTAAATTATTTAAAACTTGTTATCGGCCATTGTTCAACTTACATTTTTCATAAATATCATTCTAATTAGTCTGTAAGCTATCTCTAAAGCAGAGAAAAATACTCTTTTTGTCATCAAAATCTCACTCCAATGATGTGACAAGCGATTGAAAATATGTTGAATGGGTTCAAAAAAACAAAAAATAATAATCGACCAGCAGTGGACTATTGTAGGCTGTTGATGATGTTGATGAAACTCTATTCGTACATTTTTTGAATTTATTATATCTCCATTAAGAAATACCTTCATATTTGCATTGCAGATATGCGTCGTGAAAATTGAGCGGTACTTCATGATACTTGAACCAGCCGACATTTGTGGACATATAATCACATCGGAATCTTGAGCCCTCTGAAAGGTAAATTAAGATATGTTTTTAAACTATATAATTTGAACGAATCTATATACAGTTTTAGGTAGAATTAGAATTTAATTATGCAAAAGTGTCAATTATTGTCGAAGTTTACTTCACAAAAAAAATATTATATCGAATGTGAAAAGAGACGGTAGTGTGTTACACAAAGCTGTGCAAGAGTTGGCCTTTAGATACTAGATTAGACATCAAATATCATATGCGAATATTGCGTGACTATGTAATGAAAGGTATTGTAGTATGTCATGCGCCTACTGTGTGACTTTGTAATGTGTAATGTAATGTAAGGTAATGTAGTATGTAATGTGCCTACTGTGTGTCTTTGTAATGTGTAATGTAATGTAAGGTAATGTAGTATGTAATGCGCCTACTGTGTGACTTTGTAATGTGTAATGTAATGTAAGGTAATGTGTAATGTAATGTAAGGTAATGTAGTATGTGATGCGTACTAAATATTTAATAAATTTAGATTTTGGTTGAGTTACAATGTATATTTTATTTGTATTTAAAATAAATAAATTTGTCGGCAATTAAATTCAGTAGCTAGCTTTTATAATAATACATATTTTTGTAATAAAATAATAAAAATCAAGAATGCAGAAATTAGTTTACAAGTTTAAAATACAATTAAAGTATGTTAATTTTAAACTGCGCAGAACAACAGCACTGCAAAGAGAAGGAAAACTTAAAATAAACCGCATACCAACCCGTCTGGCCAGTGTGGTATAGAAGGCCAAAACCGCCTTTCTAAGGAGATGGAGACGTTCAGCAGTGGACTAGTAAAGGCTGTTGTATGGCTTTGAGAGAGAATGTAATGAAATGATATTTATGAACGTTTAAGTCTAATTTATTAGCCAAGCAATGGTGTTCCAATCCAATTCAAATCCAATTCAAGTCCAAGTCTTCTTGAAGTTGGAGACAGTCATTTAAGCAAGTAATGTTTTTAAATATATTCGTATCGCCGCCGTAAAGCACAAATTTTGAATATTTTATACACTGGCGTCGTTTATAAATAAATTAAAAGGAAGTGGAAGAGACGTTGCACCAGGTGGAACAGAACCCATTTAGTACTACTGCCTGAGATCGATTCTCAATATATGAAGCAAACCACCTGTAAAGGTTGCCGTGGACTCCCGCGAAAAGCAGTTTCTGTTAAAGTATTTTATGATTTACGTGGCTAATACAACTTACCCAAAAATCCTAATTCCAATGCAACCAATAAATACTTTAAAACGGTCTTAATTTTACACATGACGGTTAGGCAAGGATCAACTTGTACTGATACAGAAATTTATCATTCTTTGTTATAGGTAAACACATCCAATCCAGTTGTTTTCAAAGTGTAATGAAAGAACAAAAATTAAAAAAAAATATCAAATATAAATTCAATTTCTGTGTGAAAAATGTCGTGTTTCAAAATTTGTTGTTGACTAAATTTTTGCGTGGTTAAAAAGTATTATTTTTTTGTATATATATGTGTATGTATACATATATGGCTATACACTGGTCAGACGTATATTTCCTTTATATCTTTAATCTTTATGACGTGTTGTTAAAAGATCTGTGCACTACAAAAATGTGCACCAGAAACTACCAATATCCTACAAATGCATTCAAATGTTGGTTGTTTACTAAAGTTTACTAATCTATATATATTTCTAATCTATTATATTATTGTATTGGGTATTGGCTTACTATACCACGCTGGCCAGACGGGTTGGTATAGGGTTTATGTCAAGTTTTCCTTCCCTTTCCAGTGCTGTTGTCTTACATAGTTCGCTCCCTTAGTCTTGTCTTACAATTGTCACGGGGTAAATGGTAACACTCCGTATTCTTAATCCGTCACCACACGGAATTCTACCCTATTCATGTATGCAATAAAGAGTAGCTATCTATCTGGTTATCGCGTAATGTCGTCTAGCCGTGAAATCTTCCTGAAGTCATGCTATCATGTAGTGGTAATAAATCATAATGATAATAGTATGGTCATTTGTTTCTAAAAAAAGGCAAGTTTTTAGGGAGTTTTGAAAAATGCTTTCATAGCTTTTGATGTGCTCTTTCTGAATTCTATCTTGGCAACCTCGTGCCTTTGCTCCTCGTGCCGCCATATTGAAAAAATGCCTACTAATAGCAGTTTCGAAAATATCCTTTCCGACTTATTTTAGTATAACATTTGCTACAAATCATGTATCTATTCTACGAATATGACTTCGCGAACAGCAGAGAAATCAGGTAGCAAATTCGCAATTCAGAAACAGCACATCTAAATGTATGAAAATACAAATTTTCAAAACTCTCGGAAAGTTTCAAGCAAAAAATAATATTAAAAGGCCTATACTGTAATTACTTTAAGTATTTTTTAATTTTTCCGAAAGAAAAATGTAACAAACAACTTTGATTGATGACGGTTTTGTTAATAACACTTTGAGCGTCTCTGGAAACTCTTATATGATATCTACATGGGTCAAATCTTGACCTTATAGTCGATAACCAGATTCAAATTAACCATAATTCATTATCATTCATTATAATCCTCAATTGTAGTACAGTTTATAAAAAAAGCAATAACAAAATTAAAAACATTATTTAGGTATTTGCAGTAATCATATGAGGGATTGTCAGTACGGCATTTTACTATGGGTGAACCATGCTTTGGGCCGGCTCGCCCGGAGTTTCATAGAAAACCGGTGGTAAATGTTTCTTCGTTACTTTTCACAGAGGGAGTAATGTTCCCGGAGACCCGAACTAACCTAATTCTTGACTGGCATGTTGGTCTAATGGTTAGTGACCCTGACTGCTACGCCAGAGGTCGTGGATTCAATTCCCACCTTTTTTTTGTTGACGGGGTGGAAAGTCCTTTCGGATCTCCTACTCCTCGGGGAACTCAGGAGCCAGGAGTATGTGGTGATTCCACTATATGCCCCCTAAACGCCAGTGGAGGTTAGATATAGATATAGAGGATAAACGGAGAGAAATACTTGGGCACGAATGGGCAGGCTCGATCGGAGCGATACCACCTCAACTCGCCTCAGACAAAATCGGTGTTAAACAATTCTCCCGTTGCTTTTTACTGAGTGAGTAAGCTTATCTGAGCCTAAACCTCCTCTCCCCCCCCTTATTCTAGGAGGAGGGAAGCAAAATGAGGCCACGAATTTGTGACTCTTGTGTTGTAGGGGCCAGTAGTTGCTTACTATCAGGTGCCCCGTCGACTCGTTTGTCCCCTTGTACTATTTAAAAAACGTTTTCTTTCATTTAGTAGAAATATTAATATAAAATATTATTATAACAATTCCATTCATTCCTATTCATTCCCTAATTTATTGTAGTAGGAAGAATCTTTTCTTTGGTTCCCAGTAGATGTTAAACTTGCTACCGTAGTTTTGATCTCACACTAATTTATAGATTGGTAACTCTTTATTGTATAATAAAACATAATATTTTTTATTGTGTATTAATATCTATATATGTATATGCGTGTATGTGTTTATGTATGTGTGTAATTGTATATGTTAGTTATAACTGCTATAGCAACTGCAACTGCAACAGCAACTGGGGTCTAGAAATCTGGTGAGGTAGGTGCACTGAGCACCTACCTCACCAGATTTCTAGACCCCCAAAGGTTGGCTAGTAGAGAATACCTTGGGAATTAAGCCCGCCGTTGTACATAAGTGCATAAAGTTGTAAGTAAATAAATAAATAATAATACAGTTTGGACACATTGGTGTAAGTCTTATGATCTAAAGTTATATAAAGCAAAAAAAAAGAAAGTAGAAAATTAAAAAGATTTGCTGCCTTTTCGCCATTTGCCATCTCTTCCAGGCAACTACTGGATAGAGAAGGAGAATACCGAGGAGATGTGAAGTTGCAATTTGTAGATCGAAGTATTCTGAGTAAGACTATTGTTATATACAAACTCAAAATAGATATAAACACTAAACACATAAACATCTTACTACACATATATTCTTTATACAAAATGTAACTTATGTGGGCTTCAAGGCTGTTCTTGCCTTAATGTTGATATTGGAAATACATTTTTTGGAATTTAATTTATATAATAAAGGTGGATGGAGTGTGTGAGTGAGGATGTGTGACTAGGAAGTTAGTAAAAAGTGAGATGACGAATGATAGAGTAGAATGGAAAAATCATACTTATTGCGCCGGCCCCTAATAAAATTGGGAGAAGGGAATTTTGTTCAAAACTTTTGTCGCCGCTTGTCTGAACGTGTCTCAATGTGAACGCTTAACATTATTTTTAAACCAATTTATTAATCAGGTAAAAATGTAAAATAAAAATAACAGATAAATAGAAAATATAAAAATACTATCACCAAAAAAAAATGATCAATGGCAAATATATTTTCTGTGTCTGCATCGTTAAATTTACCTAAATATTCTGATAAGATGATCATATTTTTTATTAATTAGGTATATATTTAGAATCCTATTAATTTTATCGTACAAGAAAGGCCCTAAAAGTAAATAAAATCAATGAACAAATGCATGATTACCTTGAGTTCCGTTACATACTCTGTACTTCCTAATAAAAAGTAGTCTATTAGTAAAAATAAAGGTATTCATAACTAACTATCTAGCTCTCTGTCAAATCTGAGTTTTTCATATATCATAACAACCATCCATTGATCCATCTATCCATCCATCCATTCAAACTTTCACATTGTTAGTTATTGATCTTAATATATTTTTTTTCTTCCCAATAGTACAGCTATGATCTTTTGTGTGCTCTCAATTAATCCTGCCTTGCAGATTTCTCTACCTAGGTCATTCTGCATGTTCTGCTCTGCAGACCTTCATTTGCCGTTACCAGGGTTATCAGCTTATCCGTGAATCTTATATGTGATGGGTTTTTTCGGTTAATGAATAGTCCACATTTTTTCCAGTACAACCGATGAAAGACCTCTTCCAGAATTTACATATATTAATAATCATTTAGTATTATTACCAATTGAGTGTAATCCCCATAACATACAGGAAACAGGAGACTACTAAGATAACACGAATTATGACACATAGTTTTTAATCTAAATGTCATAACGTTATATTCGGGTTGATAGAAGTCAACAGTAATTATTTATAGCAGTTTGTTCTGTTTGTTTGTGTCGTATAAAGAACGAAGCGTCACCGTAACGGAACCCGTTTGCTCTTTGGACCGCCTCATCAACAGCCTACTGGACATAGGCCTCTCCTTAGAAAGGAGGTTTTGGTCTACTATACCACGCTGGCCAGACGGGTTAGTATAGGTTTTGTGTCAAGTTCTCCTTCTCTTTGCAGTAGTTTGTAGTTTGCTCCCTTAGTCGGCTCCTACGATACCCACATACCCACGGGATGATTGGGAGTGGTGGCAATCCGTATTCTTGATCTGTCACCACAGAGCCTTTTATTTGTGTTTTTTATTTGTTTGAGTTTTTATTTGTGTTTTTTTTAATAGCATGCACCCTTTGCTATTAAAAAAAACACAAATAAAAACTCTGATTCAAATATTAGTTCTTAATGATAAAATTCGATATAAACAAAGTAATATGAAATTGCCGTTGCAAAGTAATAGATACTTTGAATTGACTTGCTTTCTCAGTTCTGGTCAGGCAATAACAGCAGATGTTTATTATGACGAATTTCGAGCAATGATGGCGAAACTGGTAGTGCAACAGCCCCGACTCGTGAATCGATCTTTACCATTATTGCTCCATGATAACGCAAGACCTCACACTGCAAGAGAAATCGTTGTAGCTCTATAGAAGTTGCAGTTAGGAACCATACGTCATTATCCGTACTCGCAAGACGTTGCTCCAACGGACTAGCATTTTTTTTCAGAGGCAGTATAAAATTCACAGTTTGTCAAATCCAGATCCCCAGAGTTCTATCGTGAAGGCATAAATGAATTTCCGTTTGGATGGCAGCAACGCATAGATAATGAGGGTAAATATTTTGATTAAATAAATATGTTACATCTTAAAAAAAAACGTGTTTCAATTTTTCAGTACAAATCGGCAATTTCATACTTTAACCCCTTTTTTTGTTTTTTTTTTCATTGCGGAAATCCCGTCGAAGGGTAACCCTGATACCCCAACGTATCTCGGGCCATCTACGGGCGTAAATGACCCCCTCCTGTATGGGAACCCCTATGTCCCCTTTGTGCTCCCGAAAGGAGGCGCGCGCTTCGAAGCGCGTCTCGCCACTACCCCGGGCTGCTTCTGCTAGGGTGAGGATTGTACTTTAACCCCTAATATTAATACGTGAAGAAAATTATTTGCACCACATTTGTTAAGTGCAATTGTGTAAGTGCAAAACAATAAGTGTTATAAAGTTAAAATTATGTAAAAAACAACTACCTACTTTTTTTTTTATGTCATAGGGGTGACGACAGGGCAGACGAGCAGACGGGTCACCTGATGGAAAGTGACTATTGCTGCCCATGAACGTCTGCAACTCAGGAGTTACAAACGCGTTGCCGGCCTTTTAGGAAGGAGAACGCTCTTTCCTTGAAGGTTTGAAGGTCGTATCGGTCCGGAAATACCGCAGACGATAACCCGTTCCCCAGATTGGTTGTGCGGGGTAAAAAATGTCTTGAAAAGCGCACAGTAGTGGAGCGCCAACTATCCAGGTAATGAGGATGAAAATTTTGACGTGTGGAACGATGGCGGAAATTTGCGGCTGGTATTAGTCTGAAAAATTCCTCGGAGCACTCTCCATGATATATGCGATAGAGAATGCAGAGTGAAGCCACGTCTCTACGTAACGCCAAGGGATCGAGCCGATCGGAGATGTTTGGCCTATCGACGATTCGAGTCACTCTTCGTTGGATGCGGAAAGCAAAACCATCACAATTCTGCCGAGCAGTAAGAGGAACAAGTTTGACATCACACGAAAAAAGAGAAGGAAATAAGTAGCTGATTGACATAACATATCTTTTATACACAGTTAAAGTTATCTGGATCTAAATAGGAAAGATTAGTCCATCAAGCTATTTGGTAGTGTAGTCCTTAAAGTCTTTTTTTAACATCATCATCATAAATAGCCTTTAATAGTCCATTGTTGGATATGGGCCTCTCTTTAAAACGAAGGTTTTGGTCCACTGTACCATGCTGGGCAAGGGTTAGTTAAAAATATTCGTTCCCTTTGCAGTGCTAATTGTCATGCCTAGTTTGCTAACTTAATCGATTCTTACGACACCCACGGGATGAATGGAGGTAGTGATACTATGTTTACTTCATCACTTCATCACCACACGTTTATTTTTTTTACATATTAGACTTTAAATCTTATCTTTATCGGGTCTTTATCGGCAATATCCTTATCTGCCTTATATTTTAATATACTCCAAAATATTCTACCAAATCCCTAAAGTGTGATTGGAACTGTGTTACAATACAAGTAACAACTTCTGTAATCTAATAATTCTTGTTTTGACTTTAAAATAAATTAATAATTGTTTTTTTAGATATGAGTCAACAATAGGGGTTTTTACACGAGATAAATAATACAGCACTGGAAATTACGTATTGTTCTGCCTACACGCTTACATGTTTATTGTTATGGGAGTTTTTAATTATATGCCGAAGTTTTGTTAATAATAGCACTGCTCGTTAGTGCTTTAGGAACTAAATTGGTTTCTCTATTGTGACTGTGAAGAACGCTAACATAGTTTCAACGCTAGGACTGAGTTGCCTTAACCGCCAGTAATCATTACAGCCATGCTTCTGGGGCGCAGTGGGCTCTTTCTGTAGCTGTAATGCTCCAAATAGAGAACTCTGAACGGGCTGGGGAGAGGGTCGATCCCGAGCGTAGAGGACGTCGGCGTCGCGGTAGTCAGCGGACGACCTCGACAACCTCTGGTAGCAAATTAATTACTGCGTTAGGGGACATGTTGGTGCGCGGCTACTACCGGTCACGGGGGACGGTCACAGGGGACGGTCCATGGCTCTTTATGGGGCCCCAGTAAGGATAGAGGCCTGAAGGCCAGCAACTTCGCACTATTGCGACGACCACTGCGAGTACTAGCCATCAGGGTTATAAGGGGGTACCGCACGATCTCCTTTGAGGCGACGAGTCTCCTGGCCGGAACTGACCGTTATGGAGGATTGACTCTAGAGGCATTCCGGAGCCCTCTCATACCGGCTTACGCAGGTGATCACCGGGAAAGGATGCTTCGGAGATCACCTGTATCTGATCCGCAAGGAGCTAACGCCTGAGTGCCACCACAGCGATGGCCAGACCGTGGACACGTGGACCCTCGGTAAAACAAAAGCGTGGTTCCCAAACTAGGTTAGGGTCGGCTCTAAGTCTACTATGTTCGTATGGCAACCTGGACTGACGACTTAATATGCTCTTCGAGTCACCGAGTTCTCAATATGTCAAGAATGGTCACCCATACAAAGACTGAACAGGCTATGATTTCTTAACTTTGCAATGTGTTGGCTACTATTTGGCTACCACTTAACCACGAGCCCCTCAGGCAGCTAACATTGCTACTAAATCAAACCAAAAAAAAAGATCAATAAAAGCCCTATATAATAAGAAATATTCTTTTTCAATTATCGTTACAACAAAAATATATTTTTTTATTTTCAATATACATTTACTGAGCCCTTCTGTTCTTGGCCGAGAAAATCGCAAACTGCTGGATAGTCCGGGCTTTTTTCGCAAATAAATGCGTAATGTTCTTCACAATATAAGTCGTTCAGTAATCCATCGGGTAATATTGATCCACAATATTCACCTGTAGTTCGGTTATTAGGAGTTCCTTTTGTAAATTTATCGAAACCTGCATCCTGGAGTGTTTGACCTGGAAATATTTTTTATTTTTTTTAATTATCATGTATAAGTTGTACCTATTTTTAAATTATTAGAAAAAAAAAACAAGCTAGGAATGAAAAAGTTGTAACTCAAAATGACAAATTACTTGAAAAAATATTAATACCAAATATTCATACCATTTTATTACTATACGTAAAAAGTTTTGAAATTATTAGAGTAAAAGACGTATGAAAGGGGTTTTTTTTAAATAAAACCTCTATAAAGTTTCTTCTACTTCTACATCTAAAGAAGGAATTTAATTTTACTGACGCAAAGAGGAGTGTAGAGGCGTTACCTGTTCTGTTACCAAACGAATTCGTAAAATTCTAAATATATTTATACAAAGGCGCCGCTTCGCATAATTATATTTAAGTTTGTTTTCAAAATCATATAGAATTTATTTTCAAATATTCTCTCACGTTGAATGTTGTTAACATTCTAAAATACAACGAACACAAAGTTTATTTTGTTTGCTATTATGTTAGCTATGTCCACTGTTCATTGTTAACTTAAAGAGTTTGTTTTTTGGTTTTTGTTCGCTTTAAAAACAAAAAGTACTGCATACCAATTAAACTCAAATTTTGACACGATATATAACCCCCTTTAAAGATTGTTTTCTCAATTTTTCGCGTTAATTTTGTTCCTTAATTCTCATCAATGCAACTACAATATGCCACAGCGAAGCGTGGTAGGGTACAGCTGGGATTATATTTACATAGAATACTAGCTGAGACCCGCGGTGTTACCCGCGTTTGTTGTTATAACCGCGGGCAACGCCGCGGGGCAAAGCTAGTCTAAAAAAAGTAGCCTAAGTTACTCCTTATGCCATCAGCTATCTGCCAGTGAAAGTCCCGTCGAAATCGGTCCAGCCGTTCCAGAGATTACCCGGAACAAACAGACAGACAGACAAAAATGGTAAAAAATGTTATTTTTGCATATGTACCGTGTAAACATACATAATAATATGCATTTAGTAAAAAGCGGTTATTTTAATATTACAAACAGACACTCCAATTTTATTTATTTGTATAGATAAAGAAACAAGCTACCGTGAATCGTCATCCAATCACCGCCTTCATTCCAATTATGAAAACCAATGAAAGCAACATCTTTTCTAAAGTTGCCAACCATTTTTCCCAAATACTTGGCGTAAATTTCACCAATGAGCTTCGATTCATCTTCACTGTTTATAATAACAAGATGGCCACTTTCTGCCGAACAGGCGAAGTGGGCTCGGGCAAACGATCGCGGCTTTGTGTGAAACTTATAACATTTGTTTGTGACACTTTGAAATTGATATTCTGAAAAAGATTTTACGTGTTAAAACATCGTCGTATAGACGCAATAAAACTCAGGTAAAGTCAATGGTAGAAAAATAAATTATTCCCAAAATTTTGTTGTTAAATAAAGGGATTACTGAACAGAATTAAAAAAGAAATTTGTTGAACAAAAGAGAAGAGAAAAAAATACTGAATTGTTTTGTGAACAACAACAAACGAGTATTTGTATATTAGAAATAAATTTAGCGGAATAATCTGATTATGAGGGTAACCAGATAAAGGATATTATCTATGTTAAGGAGACAGAAAATTGGCCAGTTCTGTCTCTGTTCAAGTGGCATCTAATCACTCGAGGCCGGCTCGTCGCTCGCTCGTTCCTAGCGCATTACTGCAACGTACCCAAAATACTATTATTATTTATTTATTTCACAGACCTGTTATTCGAGTGGTTATTAAGCCGAAGGTCGTGGGTTGATTTCCGCCCAGGACAAATAATTACTGTTTTCAACGATTATTTGTTCTGAATGTGGGTGTATTTTATTTAAAAATATGCATGTTTTCTTCCTCCGAGCACTTCTACCAAACTATTTTGATGTCAACTTTAAATTTACTACGATACGGCTAAATTGCGATTTTTTACGAGAAGCGTCTGCCCTCACACCTCCACAACTCAAGTTCTAGGTTATATCGCAGTTCTGTTGAAAGACTGTTCTTGGACTTTTACCTTCCCGCAACCGCGACTAACGGCGTAACGACTCGCCGAGGTAAGGAGAGGTCTCAATGTGTTAAGAATGGTCACCCATCCATTGACTGACCTGGCTAGGATTGCCTCACCATGCAATGTATAAACCTCGGTCACCACTTAGCCACCAGCTACTCTCTACTTATATAATTATAATATGTATTGATTTAAATATTAGTAGTCTGCTATTATACCTGGATCTGGAGTCCCACAAATATTGGTGTCGATATGTGAATGTTCCCTGTAACATATATAAGGCCGTGGTTCCTCACATCTTACGTCAGACAATTTGCCTTCACAATTTAAGGTTAGACATCGTTCAGAATCGTTTTTGTTATCTGGCTCTGAGTTGGCCCATTCGTGTGAAATTTTATCAAGTGGTATTCCTGTAAAATAGATGTCATTTCGAGTTTCATTCAACATTCAAATTATTTTATTAATCTGTTACTCATGAAAATCTTTTTTTTTTTCAATACTCAACATATTTATTGCATTCCACAATGTTTACTTAGATGGTACTCAAATATATAATCAGATCATGATGGACCCTGTCGGGCACAGCAATAGATGAGAGAGGGAGAGATAATACAAACTAATAACAATAATCATATTTCAGTTTTTTATGTACATGCTTAATTTATTGATTGCTCAGATATTCATTGACGCTGTAATAGCATTTTTGTAGTAATAATTATTTTAATTTATTTAAATATATATTTAATATGGTTTCATTTCTAATTTCTTCGGGTAATTTATTGTAAATTTTGATCGACATTACTTGAGTGCTATTTGAATGGATCAAACTATCATAAATTTTAAAATTGTTTTAAATGCTGTACAATCCAAAGAAGAGGAATGTATCCATATTTCTTTAATATCTATTATCTATAATTAAATTTGGAAATTAAATAAAATAGTCACACTTACCATTAATGGAATGATAGAAATGCCCGTTAGAAAAAGTTGAATGAATTCCAGTGAATATGTCAATTTTACCAATGTACGGTAACATCACAGCCTTCAATTCAGACGATGTGGGAGAAGCTAAAATTCCACCTGGAATGAAGATAAATAAATAGTTGTAGTAGGGAGGATGTCTGTAATATAGTAATTTATACCCTACTCGAGCGGGAGGGACTCCAAGGGATGCAGGTGTTCATGGGCGGCGGTAACTGCTTACCATCAGGTGACCCGTCTGCTCGTTTGCTCCCTTAAACCATAAAAAAAAACTAAGACTTTTCCTGTTGATCTATTTTACCTTAAAGCTGTGGAGGAACGGGTGTCATGTCTTTCCAACACAAAGGTAGGATCCTCCGACCGGGCGCGGTGATTATGACTGGTGGGCTGCGGTACAACGGTTGATGTTGGGAAGTTGTCTCTATGCTAATCGGGGAGAGAATTATTCATATCGTGATACAGCATTATCAGTTACTCCGTAGTTCTATGTGTCTTTGTTAGATGGCGTTGTAGTAAGTTTTTGTTTCATGGTAAATGGAAGTCGCCACACATTCTTTGATACTGATAAATAGCTTCTCATTCAAAATACTCGAACGATATCTCTTTCTTAGTAGTCAATCACAAGTCGGACTTACGAGACTAACGTGTCCCTGGCCTCTTCGAGCTATTGGAGTCTCAGGCTCCTTTCCCTATCCGAATCTTAGGGCATCCTTTCTCCTAGCTTCCTCTCCCGATTACCTATTTTCCTTTTCTCAATTCATCTTCAATTTACCTCCTTCATTTGTTTCATCTAAAAACGATGCAACTCCTGTGACCTCAGACTTGTGGCAAGCCAATCATCATCATCATTCAAAACCCGAAGGTGCAATATCACACATTGTACTTTTTTTGTACCTATCCTCAATGAAATTAGAAAAAGAGCTCAAAAATGATGATGATGAGGATAAATATTTATTAAAACGTATCAATACTTTATTATACAAGAGGTGACGGATTAAGAACACGGAGTATCACCACCCCTATTCATGACGAGCAAACTACGTAGGACAAGAGTACTGACTCCATATCGCACTTATTTCATTTTCATTCAAAGCTTTATATTCTGACTCGCCTGTTGGTCGAGTGGTTAGTGCCCCTGACTGCTAAGCCGGAGGTCGTGGGTTCGATTCCCACCCAGCACAAATATTGTGTGATGAGCATGATCATTTGTTCTGTGTCTGGGTGTAATTTATCTATAATATGTATGTTTTTAAAAATATATAAGTATGTTTATCAGCAGTCTGGTCACCATAGCACAGGCTCTGCCTAGTTTGGGATCAGGCAGCCGTGTGTGAAATGTGTGAGGTATAAAAAAAAAATACATCATTTTATCTTAGTACCTTCAAGTTGACACATCAAGCGAGCGTCAGGCCAAGACGCTGGTATTTTGTGATATTTGGACCACCCTATGTCATTGTACTGATAATCACACCTGAACTTTACACCATCTGTAAATGTAAAAGGAAATCAGATGCTAGAATAACTCAATCAACAACGTATGTACTTAGTACCCTTTTTTTTTTTTTTTTTTTTTTTTTTTCCGTGCGGAAATCCCCTCGGATACCACCTCTCGGTGGCATGTCGGACTCGAACCGACTAAAAACCGCACGCCTTCGCCGGGTACTAATTGCCGGGGAACCAGGTATACCCTAGAAAGGAAGGCCCTGGTGCCCCGACATACCTCGGGTCATCTACAGACGAGTAGACGACCCCCGCCCCGTGTGGGAACCCCATGTTCCCTGTGCTCCCTGGAAGCGAGCGCGCTTCGCAACGCGCTCGCCGCCACCCCGGCCTGCTTCTGCTAGGGTGACAGATGGCCTCACCTGTCACCCCCAGGCCTGCGCTTATGGAGGACGGAGGTCGTTCTGCGACCTCCGGCGCCTGAGTCGCCTGCGCTGCCTGGCCCGTGCCCGGGCCTGGCGGGCCGGGAGAGTTCTAAACCTCTCCCGGTCCCGCTCCGCCGTCTCCTTCGCGAGCATAACTTGCTCGCAGAAGGAGACGGCAGAGTTCCACGCACTCTCGCTCCGCACGATAGCCGCAATCAGGCTATCGAGCGAGAGAACTCCCACTCCGATGGCCGCCACGAGGTCTCGCCTCTGCTCAACCCACGCCGGGCACTCTGCCAGCGTGTGGAGAGCCGTGTCCACGGTCTGGCCATCGCAGTGGTGGCACTCAGGCGTTGGCTCCTTGCGGATCAGACACAGGTGATCTCCGAAACATCCCTTCCCAGTGATCACCTGCGTCAATCGGTATGAGAGGGTCCCGTGACGCCTCTCGAGCCAATCCTCCATAACGGGTCTTACCGCCGCAATGACGGCGTGCCCAGTACTTAGTACCCTATCTATATAAGTAATAAGGCAAACAAAGTATTGAAAATATGTGCCGTATCGGATACAAGGTGTCAAACTCTAGTAGGAAAAAATTTAGGTAAGCTTACGAGTACTTACGCAGACACAGAAAACATCTTAGCAATTTTAAAATGATATAATTATAACCATAATAGCCTTATTAAACAATAAGTAATATATATGTGTGTATACAAACGTGTCTTAAGTAATTTACATTATTATTCTCTTAGAATTTTAATATATTAACGTCCTATAAGTAACATCAAAGTCAAGTGTCTGCCAGAAACACGGGTCTCACACCTTTTTTTTACGTATGGAAACCCCCTCGGCTCGTCACCCCACCGGGGTCGGATATGTCGGAATCGGACCGACTAAAACCACACGGTGTGCCACTCTGTGCCTGTAATACGAGGGATCCAGGAACCGCTGTTATTAATAGAGCTGGACCCCTCCTAGCGCCTGCCCGCAAAGGTAAGGAAGGAAAGGTTCTCCTGCTGCCGCCCTGCCCAGTCAACGATCACGCCTCACGCCCGGAACTCAGTCGTCCGCCGATATACTTCGTCGAGAACTTTCTCCTTAGAATCCCAAGGTGGGAGTTCCGTCCAACACGCACGCCCCCTCACAGGTCTCACACCTAGGTCAGGCTGTTTGCAAAAGAATTTGTAATATTTGGATTTAATCTTTTTTTTCTATTCACTCCACTCTTGCACGTTTAAGAATAGTTATATACTAGTTTTAGCTTTAGTAACAAACTTTAATAAGAATCTAATGACAATAAGATGGAAATCATATACAAAATGTTACCAAAACCATATTCTGATTCTACAATTTTTTTAAATATATTTATCTTATCGAATCAGGTAAATAAATGCAACAAAATACGAAATTTCATATCAAGAGTTAATATTTAATTACTTTTAAGGAAAATAACACGGGACGTACTAAACGTAAACAGGTTTACTCGAGTTTTTTTAATCTTTAGGAAACTAATGAGCAGACGGGTTAGTTACAAATTTAATAACAGTTAAAAAAATACAAAATTGTAAAACAATCTCAGATTTATCTTACCAAGAAATTTTGCACAAAACATTAAAACTAGGTATTTTAAATAACTTTCCATTTTTCACAAAGACGCAAAATGCGTGTATCTCATAGAATAAAAAGCAAACAATTGACATCAACAAACTTTATAAAGATACTTAACGTTGTAAGTAGACAGGTTATAGCTCAGATAAGAGCAAGGTTATCACAGCTATTGTGACCGGGAGATTTCTGAACGAAGCGCGCCCATCTGGTAGGTACCCCAGAGATGAATAAACGGTATACATAACGATAAACGGGACTAATCCCTCCCATTCCCACCACTGTAACTCCTGTTCACCAGGATCAACAGCAGTGACACACGAACACACCGAGTTATGACAATCGGGAAGTCCCAGGAAAAATTAAACTATCTTGGAACTGGCAACGATATTAAACAAAAGTAAATTGTTTGAAATATAATAAATCCATTTCCCTACTTAGCAAAATGGGGGACAAACTAAAGTAAAAAAAGGCAACACGGAAGCATAAATGTGGATGAAATAAACTATGGTTATATGGTAATTGGAGCATGGTTTCCAGGGCTCCATGGTACCGTGGGCGAGCCATGCTTAGGAACACATGGGTTGGCTAAACTGGAGTGATACTACGGCAAGATATTGAAGGTACACAGTGTTATCAAGGTATATGTTTCGGAGATACTCACTAGTTTCGCCTTTGAGTATAACCTAATGTTACATTAGTCACTCGGAGATATATTACGAAGTAATTACTTAACAACGCTTTGTGCGAGACGTGATGATGATGATGATGATGATATCACTCCGGTCAAGCCGGCCCATACATAATATGTGTTGAAACATTTCTCTCCAACGGTTTCTCCTCTGTTTATCACAGATTTTCGTTTTAATATTAAAAACTAACCAGCATGAATAAAAACTAAAACATTTTTCCTACGTGTGATGGAACAGTAATAGTATGAGTTAGCTGTAACCTGTCATGCTGTGGCATATTGTAGTTGAATTGATGAGAAATGAAGAATGAAACGGACGCAAAAATAGACCAAACCAATCTTGGAAGCTAGTGTGGTGTCTTTTGAGCTCAACAGGTGCAGAACTCTTTGAGTTTTCGAAGAATATACAAACCAACTCCGTCCGTGTGGTGGCGTCCGTGTGGTGACGGATTAAGAATACAAATTGTCACCACGTGGGTGTCGTAAGAGCCGACTAAGGAAAAAAACTAAGCAGGACAACAGCACTGCAAAGAGAAGGAAAACTTGAAACAAACCCTATACCAACCCGTCTGGCCAGCGTTGTATAGTGGGCCAAAACCTCCTTTCTAAGGAGAGGCCTATGTCCAGCAGTGGACTAGTATAGGCGGTTGATGTGATACAAACCAACTTACAGTTAATAGGAATAATTAAATAGATAATTGATTTTGATTGTTTTGTTATTTAAATCATCTAGTAAAAATATACTATTGGATTTTAAGAACTTATCACCTTCTCAAGTCACAATTATACTTTACTAGCTTTTGCCCGTGGCTCCGACCGCGTGTATATCGGTTATCGCGGCAAAAAGTAGTTTACGATACTCGCTGATAAAGAACTTTCCATTGGTGAAAGAATTTATAATATCAGTTTAGTAGTTTAGGCGTGAAGCGTAACAAACAATCAAACAAACTCACTCAAATTTGTAATAAAATATCGACACATGCACACACAAAATTATACCTAAATAAACCCACTGATAAGATTTGAAATGAAACATGAAATCTCATTGATAGTGGTGAACGTACCCTTTTTTTTTTTTTTTTTTTCGTGCGGAAATCCCCTCGGATACCACCTGTCGGTGGCATGTCGGACTCGAACCGACTAAAGCGCACGCCGTCTCGGGTACTAATAGCCGGGGAACCAGGTATACCCTAGAAAGGAAGTCCCTGGTGCCCCGACATACCTCGGGTCATCTACAGACGAGTAGACGACCCCCCCCCCCCCCGTGTGGGAACCCCATGTTCCCTGTGCTCCCTGGAAGCGAGCGCGCTTCGCAACGTGCTCGCCGCCACCCCGGAGTGGTGAACGTACCCTATAGATTACTTACAATAATTATGGCAAGTAATTTGTCTGTAATATGTAATGTATTTGTTTCTTTATTATAATAGCCAAGGCTCTGGTTAGTTTAAGGTCATATGGTCGTTTGCTAAGTATCTAAAGCTTAAATTTGAAAAAAAGCGTTGGGTGCCTGTTGTGAATAGTAAAAAGCACCCCACGCTTTTCTTCAAACTTATTTTCTATTTTTTAGTTTGGTTTTCTATAGAAAGCGTGTTTTTTAGTTTTTTTAAAACTATTTTTTTTTATTAGTGTATTGTCATCGGTCCTCGATATATCTACAAAGTTTGAACGAATTCTAACCGTTTAAAGGCAGTCAAAATCACGCCCAAAGGAGTCGGTTACAAACATACAAACAAACATACAAGTGAAGCTAATATAAAGCGAGTAAAAAAGACTTGTGAAGTAATAAAATTCAAAAAATCTTTGGAAATTTAGGAGGTTAGCTTAGCAAGGTTTGTTATTATTTTCGGTGGATGAGTTTCCTTATAACTAGCTGTGATCTATTAAAATAAAAATGTCTTTTGCAGACTGCACGGATGGCGTAGTGGTTTAAGCGGTCGCCACGCTGCTCACTACTGCGATGAGTGTTGTGGGTCCGATCCCATCATGGGACGACACTTTGTGTAATCCACAAATTGTCGTTCTGAGTTTGGATGTTCTTTGTGTTCGTTTCATGTATGTTTGTAAAGTCCCCCGCGAGGCAGGATATATTTCTAATGCAGCAGTTATCTTTTTTTATTAAAAGAAAAAAAGAAGAAGAAAAGATAAAGTCTCACTGTAAAACTATATACATGATAAAAAAACTAGTAAATGTTTGGCCCCTAAGACTGATGCGTGCGGGATGTTAAAATAGTTCACAGTGCAATAGGTTTTTTATCCCGACTGTCTTTTCAGGAATTACAGTAAGTAAGAGAGAGAGAGAGATTTATGATGAACTAGCTGCGCCCCGAAGTGTTACCCGCGATCGTTCTTGTACCTTGCTCATCACACGGAAACACTACATTTTTTCGGGGTAAATAGTAGTCTATTTCCATCTATCTCTCTGCAAAATTTCATCAAATACAAATTTAATATAAAAGTGTATAGTAAATATACAAAAATGCAACTTTTCTAATGTTCCACGCAACGTTCTTAAATTTTTCTTCCATAAAACTCTTCTCAACAACACAACCAAAAAAGAATTAGCGAAATAGGTCAAGACGTTCACGCGTGATGCCGTGACCAATTAAAATAAGGATTCATTATATATATATAAATTTAAATGAAGTGCCTGACGATGTACATGCAGCAATTCTTCTTTAGACCGTTCACGTTATATGAACAAAAATACTTTCATGAGCACCAAAATAATAAAAAAATAAAAAGATCGTAATTTTGTCATTATCATCGATGTGCTCTTTTTATTCTATGACTACTTACAGATAAGACTTTTGTACGGGTCATCACATCATCACATCAACAGCCTATACTAGTCCACTGCTGGACATAGGCCTCTTCTTAGAAAGGAGGTTTTGGCCTACTATACCACGCTAGCCAGACGGGTTGGTATAGGGTTTGTTTCAAGTTTTCCTTCTCTTTGCAGTGCTGTTGTCCCGCTTAGTTTGCTCCCTTAGTCGGCTCTTACGACACACACGGGATGAATTGGGGTGGTGACAATTTGTATTCTTAATCCGTCACCACACATCATTTTTGTACTGGTGCGGAGCGGCAACCGTGGTACACTAATCAGCACTCGTACTTGTAACACCGAAAGCTTGTAGATGCATGAACTTCAGTAGCGTTATTGTTAATTAAGCGTGGCAAGTATTTGGATTTGCCTCATGCCTTGTATTTTGCCTTTTCATGTTGTCTATGCTAAATTTGGATCACTGTCTTGACTTAATATGTACCTATCTTCTAATGTTTCCTGTCACATATAATAACAGTAATATGTAAGCGTGCCTTTTAGAAATTAATAAGATACACTCTAAGTACGTGTATCGAGTGAACACCGTAGTGAACCAACCAATACTACGAGTATTGGTTGGTTCAGCCAATAGCCTACTCTTAAGTACCTAAATTCCTTTTTAATAATAATACCGTTTTTATTTTTCTGTCGGAACTCCCCTCTCGGACTCGAACCGCCCAAAAACCTACGCCGTCTCCAGGTACCAGTAGCCGGGGAACCAGGTATACCCTAGAAAGTAAAGCCCTGGCCTCGGGCCATCTACGGCTTATAGATGACCCCTCCTGTGCGGGAATCCGGATTTTCCCTTCCTGCCCCGAAGGGCGTGCACGCTCCGTAGTCAGAGTAACAGATGGCCTCACCTGTCAGGCTCAGGCCTGCACTTATAGAGGACAGAGGTCGCTCTGTGACCTCCGGCGGCCTAACCGTCTGCGGTACCGGTCCGGTTCTCGGACCTGGCGATCCAGGAGGGTTCTGAACCTCTCCCGGTGTCTCTCCGCCATTGCAGTCGTTACATACCTCACCCTCTGGTAGCAAAAATGCGATCGGGCCGCATCATATTGTTACGATTGGGCCGATTGCCGGGAATAAGCCTACGGCATCCCCCGGATAGGGCCTTACTAGGAGCGGCGTCGATCTTGAGGGGACCTGAAATAATATGGTCCTGGTCCTCCTAGGACCTGGTTTTTCCCCTATATCTCCAAGGAGCCGGAGATCAGGGGAATCAGGGGGGTAAGTAACATCACTCAATTGGTGAAAGGCAAATACTTAGTAACGGTTTTCTGTGATACCAAATACCCACTTCGGTCGAGCTAGATCATTAGTGTCGATGCATTACTATTCCGACGACGACGACAATTTCAAAATAGAAAAACTCTCAAAAAGCATCTTCGTGAGCAACGTAAGATCGTAACCTTGACTAGGAGACAAGCAACAAGAAACCTTTAACTATGAAAAGAAAAAAACAACTTTTGCACTTCAAATTCAAAATGTCGTAATTTTTTTTTTAAAGACTACTCCCGCA